TACCTTGGCATGTGCTGGAACCTGCTGGAAGGATTGGATGGTCAGGTGACCTGCTGTGCATGGCTGTGCATGACCTCATATGACCTCATCCTTGGTCATATGACCTGATCACCTGACTAGGCTGAGTAAGCAAGATGTTCTAGCAGGTTCCACCACAGAGGTATAAATATAAGGCCTACTCTGCCTGGGACTGTCTCTTCAGACTTGGTCTCTTAGGATCATCCACAGATACCTATACTGTAGATAGGTCTTAGTCATCAGGTCTACTCCACTTCCTTGTTGCCTGCTTAGACTCTTGGCACTCTTAGGTGAGCAGACTTAGTCAGCCTGTGTTGCCCTAACAAGGTGACAGGCAACTCTGGACTCCTCCCCATCTGACATCCCCTCAATTCTGCCCAATCAATGAAGGGTTACCATTGAGATCCCATCCCCTCCCACTGATACATGTGCAATACCTCCACCAACTTCCAAAGGCATGGCTTCCTCCTGCCTGAGTCCAATGTCAACACAATTGGTCATCTACGACTTCCAATACCTTGTGGTTTGACCTTGATACTGGTCAACTACAGCACCCCCCCTACTACCATTTCTGATTCTCCCATACCAATGTGTGTGACATGCTGAGCATGGCCAATTGTCAATGTATCGGGATGATTGACCCTCTTCCCATACCACCCTCACTACTCCATGTGGCTGACATGGCCAATACCACGAGAGAGCCCAAAGCAGGCATGTGAGGACCACCAAGAGGTCTGATGTCAGGCTTTTGGATGATTAGTGGTTGTTTGGCAGTCAGGTCACCCCAATAGGTTGCAGCTTCACCCAAAACCTTTGTGTTCAGCCTCCACTTGATGGTGTGCCCTGACAGAGGCATAATAGGCAAGCAGAGATGAAGGGTACAGGGATGACATTTCACCATAGGATTTTCCTCCCAACAATCACACCTATGAAAAACCCTCCTGGACTGGTGATCACTATTGTTATCCTGGGTGATCCTTGACTGGTCATTTCTCCCTATCTACTGAGTCCGTTCCACCTCAACCTCATCTTTAACCCCAAGGATGCTCACAGGGACGTCAGAAGAAGTTGATGAGAACGAGGCGAAGCCTCGTTCGTCGAGCATCGTTATTTTGCCAGATCGTTACCACCAGGGATTGCTGTACAAGGGTCGCCCTCTGCAGCTTGCCACTTACGTACGCGGTCAGCTGTTCGTCGGCGCCGCGCGGCGATTCGAAACAAAGCCATGATCGAATTAACCGTCGCACGCCCATCCTCCCCGAATGAACCGTACCCTTGAGGATGTGTGGTTATTGTCTCTCGAACTTGGGTGGTTTCGTCGACGAGGGGCGGATTCACTGTGGTGACCGGTGTTGTCGAGCCCCGTAATGGCAGAATTTCGCCTGTGGGTGGTGGTGCGACGCTTACGCCGACTTTGGTGCGCCTTTCCATCCTCAGAAGAAGAGGTTTCCTCGGGTGCTTCATAATCATCCTCCTCGTCTTCACTGTCTTTTTCTTCGCCAGTAGACCTAGCTTCCTTCGTGGCATGGAAGTCAGCGGTTCTGAGAATCGCATTCGTTTTGCCACAGTGGTGCAAGAACGCGCAGGCAAGATGATAATGGGAAAGCTTGGCTGAGGGCAATGGAATCGAGGAGTGTCGATCAGTCGGAAAGAGGGCGTCGGTGTTGGCTCGAACAGCAATTTCCCTATTCAGGCGGCGTGGGTGAGGATATTGAATAGTGTAGCGAATGCTAGGGAGTGGCTCTCGGCCAGTGATATCTCTGTCGACGTTTTCCGGAGCAGTTGCAATGTCTTCCGTAGTAAGAACTTTATTGGGCGTCTTTGAAAGCAAGGAAGATCAGCGTGAGGTGTGGTGAGCAAGCGAAACGATCTAACGCACCCTCACGATCACACAGGCGTATCGCGCGAACATCTTGTGTATAATGGGGCTCACGAACATACCATTGGCGGGTGAGTTAATAGAGCGCTTATCTTCTTCGTCTCGATCCAGACGGAACGTGCCATTCTCCGTTTCCCTGGTGTCATCGATATATCGTAGGCACTGGACACAGACCATGAGGACTAACTTGAAACTTGAGCGTAGGCACACTCACCTCTGATCCTTGTGACTGGGGCAATATGTGCATAGCTTCACAGTAGTCCTTAATCATCCCGGTGAATACACAGGAATGGTCGCGTCGAGAGATGAGCTCGCAGAAATCTCGTTCACGTGCCTGAATTTTTCGAAAGCTGGGTAGACCAATCCAACGTCGGTGTTCTGAGGAAAGGACACTGCTTCGCTCTTCAAAATAACGGTCGTCCACAGCCTTGGAATCCAGCTTTGTAGTCGAACGTCCTTATCGTGAGCAGATATTTAAGGGGAAAGAGAGCAGAACGGGAACGTACCTACGGGGTGACCCTCTACCCACAACACCCACTCATCTCCAGCTCGTGGTACATCGTCGTTGTGTCCCCCTTCTTGCGGGCGCAGCCGATGTAGTGACGGCCTTGATTCCCCATGTTGTCCTGCGACGGTTGCAGCCACGAAGCAAAGGTAGGCATTTTGCTTGCCTGGCGCGGCATTGCGCGTCGGCACGTCAATGGGTATATCAAGGATGATTGGCTGGCCACTTAGATAACCAACCACAATCCGTGCGCAATCAGGAGACAATATAGGGACGTGTTGCTCTTCATGCACCACAGTCGCAGACATTGAAGCTCAGAGATGAGAGGGGATGAGAGCGACATAACGAGGGTAGGGACGAGGAGCTATGGAAAACCGATAGTACTGCGAGGTTCGAATTACTCGACACAGACTTGAACCTTAACCCTGCTACTTACAACAATAACAAGATTAAGATTAATACCAAAGCCGGCAGTAATAGTAATATATGTTCATAACAGGATCCTCATACCATCAACTCAGAACAATACTAAACAGACGTGATCCCCGTTTCACACGACAAGGTCTCAGGAAAGTCCTATATCGCTGGTGGTAGCCAAGGCTGGTACGGATGTATGGCTCATGCCAATCGGTGTATTGAAGCTGACGCTGCACAAGGGAGTGATGATGAGCAGGAAATTGAAAGCCGCTGACCCCAAGCGTAACGGAGGCACCGACGACCACATCAAACGTCGCGAAACCGCAGCCGGCGCTTGGGTACGAAAACCAATATCTCGCTTCAATGACTTAGGGCATCATTAATTAAACATGTATAATCGCACTGGTATGTATTGGCATGCCACTAAGCTCCTTTTCGTTGACGTTTTGATTGTTTTTATCACAGGCGGAGATGATGAGCAGGAGGAGTTCGTGACCAACCCACAATCGTATGGGTCCCGTCCCTCACAGCATTCGTCTCATTACCCCTCGGACGACCGTCGCAACTATCATCCCCCTAAGTCTCCCTCAAGAATGGAAGATCGCTACGATTCACGAGCAGATCGGGGCAACTATGCGCGGGACCGCAATGCATGGCGAGCTCACGACTCCCAGCAGAGTTCTCAAAGGCCTACCCAAGATCCGTACTACCGTGAAGACGCTTATACAAGACATGACGACTACTACTATCGCGACTCTGCTTCAACGTCACGAACTACTCAAAGTTATCCACCCGAGTATTGGCAGCCATCTGAACCTGCAAGATATCCCCCAGATGAGCGTCGAGAATGGCGTCCGCGAGAGCAGTTGTCTTACGACTCTCGTCCGCCAGCGTATGGTACCTACGAGCGTGATGACCGTTACACGCAATCTCGTCATTCTGACGATCGCTATGTTCAACCTGATACTCGTGCTGATCCATATGCATATTCGCGAGCTGTGGGTGATCGCTATTCTCATTCACTGACCCAAGATAACGGCTGGCCGCCACCGAGACGAGAAGTGGCCTACGATGACCGATACTCCCGTTCCGTCCCCGAAAACAATAAAGCTTGGCCGTCGAGAGACCGGGTCCGTGATGAAGCATATTCAAAACGTGCACGTTCTGCACAGTGGGACAGACGGGATGACAAGAGGACGGTGGATGATTCCTCTTGGGAGCCAGCACCGGGGTGGAAGGAGCGGGAGGGGAACACTGTTCGGGATGAAAACGTTCCAGCCAGCTCCAAGAAGAAGAAGAAGAGCAAAAAACAGCGGGACAAGAATAAAGAGAAGAAGAGAGGGGAGGAAGAGTTGCAGAAGGAAACAGAGAAAGAGAGGGATGACGAAAGTAATAGGGGTACACGGGAAGACAGGAAGAAAAATGGAACTGTCCACAATGGTTCACGATGGTGCGTAGCATTCCCCTCCTCCCCTACCCCCAATCTTTTATCTTATACCAAACAGGTCGGATGACGAGAGAGAGAGTCCAACACGAAAACGGCGGAAATCCGTGTCTCGCTCTCCATCCAAAGATCGATCTTCCCAGTCCCCTACACCCAAGCGTCGACGGTTAAGCACGTCAGAACGTCTTCACGCCGAAGACGTTCATACGGCACACGAGACACGTGGAAGGGCTGGTGGTATCAGCCCTGCGGCTCTTAAACAAAAGGCACGCCGTGAGGCTGACATTCCTGCCAAACGAAAGAGAATGCCATCGTCTTCCCCCGCATCCCGTTCACCATCCACGCCATCTTCTCACGCAAGCCCTAAACCACGCAGTCCAAAGCCAGTGCATCGTCTGAATGGCGCTTTACCTGTTGTGAGATAAAAAGTGTGCTAGTATTACAACGTTCTGATGTGTTTATCGCAGAAAATCACACCCACGATCATCCGCCCTCCTCCGACTGGACCTCGACAGTCGCAAACCTCCGTGGCACCACTTAACGATCATGTTATCCCGAGAGCTCCCCGAGCGGCCGTAGTTGGCAGTGGAGCCCCACCTGGACCGGCCAACAGTTCAATCCGTCGGTTCTTTCCAGGAGACGAAGAAGACACTGAGCCGACGATTGCTACTGGTCCGAGAGGTTCGACTGCACGAAAGGTGAGGATATTCCAGATGTGCTCACTATCTTCAATGGTCTAATGTGTTTGCAGCCACCGCGTGGCCCTCGAGGAAGTAATGGTCAGACGCGGTCTCCCGTTGAGGAGAAGGAGGAAGGCAAGCCCGAAGATCCTGCACGCGCTGCGGAGGAAGATCGCATTGTGCGAGGTGGATGGTCCATTATTCGTCCAGGAATTCCAGGTAAAAGTCGAGGTGATGCAGAATCTCAAGCAAAGGAAGGGAAAGGCAGTAAGCAGCATGATGAATCTCCAGAACCAGCGGCAAAAGAGCATCGCGAAGATCGGGCAGAGGATAATCGTCGAAAAGATGAACTACGAACTGATCGGCCACCTGAACGTGCGTACGATGATCGGCGCTCTCGGGAGCCGCCAAGCGAGCACACCGGCGGTTGGCAATCATCTCGGGACTATTCTGAGCCTCGCTATCGAAGTCGTTCCCGAAGTCCACCTCGGAGGAGAATGCAAGAAGCCGATGACCGATATCATGATCGATATGAAGAGTATGGACGAAGTCGACGTGATCACAGGGCTGAACGTGATTACTATGACTCCACCGATGAACGCTATACTCGCGGCTATGGAGCATCATCACAATTGCATGGCACGTACGACGAGAGGGAGCGCGATCACAATCGGGACAATCATCCCGTCGGTCCTCCTAGGCATCCCGCGCCTCCTGGACGAGCAAGGCCGCAAGAGCAAGTAGCAAATCGAATCTTGCCCACGCATCGCACTTCGCGAGACCTAGCAATCTCATATCAAATTGGTAATGCCGTCGGCGAAGGCACTTTCGGCAAAGTCTACAAAGCCACCGATTCAGCAACTGGCGTGTCAGTGGCTCTGAAGCGAATCCGCATGGAAGCCGAAAAGGATGGGTTTCCTGTCACAGCAATGCGGGAGATCAAGATTCTCCAAGCATTGCGGCATCCTAACGTCGTTGGGCTGTACGAAATGATGGTTGCCAAAGGCGTGTCCTACCTTTGTTCAGAAATACCCCTTCCTGATATTTCTCCACAGGTTCTGTGTACATGGTCTTCGAGTATATGGAGCACGATCTCTTGGGCGTCCTATCACAGTCGCTGTTCAGTTTCACCGATGCCAACCTAAAGTCTTTTTCAAAGCAGATGTTGGAAGGCCTAGCCTACCTGCACCATCGAGGTATCTTGCATCGTGACCTGAAGGGCTCAAATATTTTGGTCAATAAGCACGGTGAACTCAAACTCGCGGACTTCGGCCTTGCCAGGTTCTACAACAAACGACGACGACTCGATTACACCAATCGGGTCATCACACTCTGGTATCGGCCCCCGGAGCTTCTTCTGGGTGCCACAGAATATCAGGGCGAGGTCGATGTTTGGAGCGCTGGGCATGTTGCTTCATTCTTCTACGTGATTTGGATCCTTATTGTCTCTCACAGATGTATTATTGTGGAGCTATTCAATCGCGGAGCCCCTTTTCGAGGCGAGACAGAGATTGATGAAATTCAATCTATCTTCAGGATTAAGGGCACGCCGAAGCTGGAGGACTGGCCTGAGGTGACAGAACTTCCATGGTACGAGATGCTTCGACCTAAGCAACAGCTTCCGGATCGTTTCGAGGAAACGCTCAAAGAGTGAGCTCTGCACAAATCCAGGCAATGGTCCCTTCTAACTTCAGACAGTGCACTCCATATGCCGGGGTTGATGGATCTCGCCCAGCAAATGCTGAGGTATAATCCCCGCAAGCGTATCACTGCGGCTGAGGCTCTCGACCATCCTTACTTTACCTCACTATTACCAGCACCTCAGCTGCCGACTCAGTGAGAGATAGTTGTGCTCGCTGATACGATTACTGATTTCTTTTGGTTTAGGATGGAAACCGTTGAAGGAGAATGGCATGAACTCGAGACCAAGCCTATGCGCGACATGGCTAGGCAAGAAGAGAAGAAGAGGAGGGCTGCCGCGGCAGCAGCGGTTGTACAGGAGGATCTCGGTAATGTTTCAGCTTGAACCTTGTAGCACCAAGGCATGTGCACCCAACTTTTCACTATTCATACCTCACCCAACCTGTATCCATACAATCTCCCGTCTCTATCTGATTATGCACAACCCGCCTGTTCGAACCTAGCACACATACCTGGTATTCGATGGATAGTATACAGTGCACTTTATCATGACACCGTGCCGATCTACGCCCTGACAGACACGGGTGGCAAGTTGTCTAACAAGCCCTTGTCCGTCAACCTCTGCACGATGAGCTCGACGCTCGACGCCGTCTGTCTGATCTGGCGATCCCACGCCCTGGTACGAGCACCCCCTAGGTTTTCTTCCTCTTTTTTCTCCGCGACCTCTCCCAGCCCGCCGACCTTACCCTGACCATCCTCTTCCTCCTTCCCGCCTTCAAAATAGACAACACGCTCCACTTGGTCTATCCACCCGCGCAACCGACCCTGCTCTATCATCCTCCTTGCCATCGTCTCCGCTGCACCTGGAGTCAATGACAACAATGAACCCAATCCAGCAAATGTGATGTTGTTGTACAGCAAGCTCGCAGACAGAAGGTTGTGCTCAAGAACGGCACGATCTAAGACGGTCGCTGGTCCCGTGCGGGTGATTACAGGCTCGGCATCGGCGTCCTGGATCTCAACGTCCTCGTCTCTGGCAGCGGCAGCAGCAGTCGAAGCTTTGTCCGAGCTACTTTGGGCAATCTTGGCCAGCTGATGCGTTTTGAGCGTTGCTTCGAACCCGGCGACTTCGGACGGTCGCAGGATATGATCAAGGAACATCTTGCTGAGAATCGTGTGGGAGCGGAGGTCTTGAGTACGATCGTCTCTGTACAACGATGCGAGGATCCGAGAACGTTGAGGACCAGCGGGAGCGAGCACTGCACACGTTACAGCGGCAGACCTGGAAATCCTTATGAGACCGTATTAAAACATGAGCAAAAAGACCTCACAAGCACTGCATCCGATCCTCCTCATCCAGTTCACCAATCCAGCTCAGCTCATGATACCGGCTCGCCGCTTCAGCGAACCTCCTCCCATAGTCGAAGATTCTTGCTTGGCAGAGCTTAAATTGCAGCTGCAACTCCCGGTCTTGTGTCGCATTCGATAAGAGTGCAGCACGGTTGTAGTACGTCTCCGCCTGCACACTGTCCTCGTCCTCGAGGAGGAGGCGCACGATGCGGATGTAGATACGCAGTTTATCCTCATCAGCGATATTGCGCGCTCCGGAGTCCAAGGTCATGCCCATAAGGACACGAGCGGCGTCACTCCATGCCTCTTCCGCTTCAAACAGTGTCGCTAGTTGTTCACGTAGTTGAGATGCCTGAACCCTGATGAGTCACGCGAGTTTGGGCGCCAAATGATAACCACTCACGTATTCATCGAAAGTAACAAGCCTGGGTTGGATCTTCGCAAGCGCGCCTTGGATGATGTCTTTCTTCTTCTCTGCATCCTGCGCTGCCGGACATCCGTCCGCGAGCTTCTTAACCAACTCTCCGAGCACCTGACGAGCGATCACCTGCCCAACCGCATCCTGGTTGACGATGGCATCTACAAAGTCCACGACCGAAGCTGATGGGGTAGAGGCAGATGACAAAAGATCTGTGAGCAGTGCCGAGCAGGCTGTCAACTTGTCCCTCTGGGCTGAATTAGATCCAATCTGAGCTAGCCGTGCCTGCAAATCCATATTTGCCTTTGTATGCGCTTTGAGAGGACACGAGTAGGGGACGCGTCGTCCACACACACACACATGGAACAGACGCCGCGGAATGAGCGGAACGGAAGTAACTGGAAGCTTAGCGGAACCAGTCAACGATGGCGGGCACAACAGGAAGGCAGTCCGCTCGCCGTCTCCTGGCGTCGACACTATCTCCCCCCACCGCGCTCTGCCCCATACCACTTCAAAACCAACGATGCTGCCTTCTACGGTCAGAGCTGCCTGGGTTCCATTCCTCAACAGTGAGCATGAGTTCTTATTATGCCCAAAGGAGGCGTACTGAAAGAGCGCGCAGGCCCCAACAAGGTCCTTCAGAAACAGAGGATCTTCCAGGTTCGTCGTGCTTATACTTCGCTCCCGGAGACAAAGCTAAGCAAGGTACAGGACCGGTTCAACCACCATGTTCCCACCCACCTAATTGCGCCTGGATCGGGGCTGATCTACGGTACGTTTGCTCTCTGTGAGCCTGGTCTTGCGCGACGAACTGACCGGGCGATGCAGGCACCTATGTCACTTTCTGGGGTGTTGGCCTCGTGGGTACAGCCTTCATGGCATATCAGATGATCATGGTGTGTTACACCGTTATGCTAGCCTGTAATTCGGCTGATTAAGGCGTTCGCAGGGCAAGAAAACCACTGCCGACTAAACGAAAGCGGGATAATCATGTGAGGGAAAGGATGGTAGAAACCCTGTCCATTCAAAGCAAATGGAATGTATATGGCCCCAATGTTCTCTTGGGCGACTGACAATGCCGCCAGTTGTCTTCCAGCCGTGTCATTTCTTCAGCAGTCCAACAGAAGGGGTGTGCCGTTATGCCCGCGATCATCTCCGGGCATACCGGAGCACGGAGCAGACCAGGAGTGAGGTCATCCACTCTTATGGAGTCAGAGATGTTACTATGGATGTCACGTTTTCAAGTCCATGCCTTCCAGGTGTGGAACTCCCGGAAGTCATCTCGCGTCGTCAACGCGAGCTACATAAACAGTCTCAAATCACGCTCGGTATAAGTGATATCGTCGATCCACTTCCTGCACGGCACCGCACTGTTTTCTGACAACTTTCGGATTTCGTTCGCGCTACCGTCGTCTTGGGTAGAGTGCGCCTCCTGTGTACATCGATCACGCCCGTCGCAAAGTGATCGGAGGATATCTGGATGCAGCGTGTCCATTGTAAGTCGAGGCCAAGGTTGTATAACGATTCGCACGCTGGAGCTTGGTGAAAACCAAACCATGGGTCACCTGGTGATATTTTGCTCACAAACTTACTGATGGAGCGATGATCGTAACGCCTAATTTGCGATTTGGTGCAGGTGAAAGAAGGTTATTAAAGCAGAGCAGCTGGAAGGTTCAACCATGCATGACCTAAGCTTCGTTGTGGGATAATCCCAAGCTTAAGAATAAGCGAGACACTATTTCCAGTGCGAACACCGAACACAACTCTGGCCTGTGCTCGTGGAAAGCTTAAAGCACTGAGTGGCCAGTGTACATCGATCTTAATATGATTTATCCCTTCCTCCACTCTGAGAAGTAAGAAGCTCAAGTCGCTATTTTGGTGTACCAACCGAGACACGTATGCAGGCAGGAGACTACTCGATCCTCTCACTCGCATGGCAAGATCGGCGCATCACCGAGTCAGCCTGGTATCGCTGATTCTTGCCAACAGAGCGAACACGAACAGGACACGTGACGCCCAGCGTCCCGGCTCGATCGTATTTGGGCAAGATCGGTCACCCTAAAGTGAGGCATCGAGTATCTTCCGGGAGCTAATGGTGTTTGCATTCCGGATCAGGGGGACGAGGGTTTGGGGATCGGATGTACAGTGTGGAAAAAGTGCGTTTGATTAGGTGTAGGTATGACATGAGTGTGCAGATGGAGAGGGAAAGGAGTGACATGTGGTGCGTGGTGCAGGCTTTTTTGCTCGTTTTACACAACAGTGGACGGAAGACCCATTAATGGTAGATTGAGACCCGGGATTCCCAAGATTGAATTGGATGGACTGGACTGGAGGAATGGATGCAGAGGTGAAATTTGGCCAAGAAATGACGAGACGAGAGGGAACCGACTCTGGGATTCGGACCCCATATCGATACATGATCACCGGAAGAAGGAAGAAGGATCGGAGTGCAGAGGGGATCGGAGCGTGCGAACGAAGAAGTGGGAAGAAGAACAAGAATAAGAACGAAGGTTGGCATGTGTCTGGCTTGTACAGATCGGCGTTTGATGGCAAGGGAAATGAGGTGAAAGGAAGAGACAGATCTGTACGAGCTGGGATGCGGTGAGTGTACAATTGCGAGTTTGGACAAGGTGAGTGAACCGGATCGAGATTGGAGTAGACAGGCAGAAAGGGCTGCCTAACGATCGTACCATCAGTCATCGGTACACGTCTCGATGAACAGAACGCACCAAGATACGTAAGACCACCTCCATTTCCACATCGCCCAGTCACCGGGGGTCAAGCGAGTCAGGCGATCACACAACCATTAGAGAACCACCAGTTGTTGCTCAGTTGCTCGATCCAGTGAACGATCAGTCTCAGCCTGAGTCTAGTCGATCGGATCGGGAGGAGCTTAGCCTTCTCCGCTTCATCTATTGGCATGATCTGCAGCAACGTTAGAAGTGTTAGTGAGAAAGGAGTGCAGGAACGTACAGCTGCGATCCAGAAGGAGTAAGCCGATGGGTCCGTAGGGGCATCTCCGTAAGTCGTATCCAGCCTCTGTACGACCCAAGGAGCACTGCCGCTCCTCAGAGTGTGCACAAATGCGCGACACTTGTCCATGAGCTCGTCTATCGTCGGGTTGGGCACTTCTGCAAGGAGGGGTGACGTTTCCGACAGCGCCACGGGGAGCGTTAACGGCGCCGGCTCCTCGCTTGTGGGGGTCACGAGAGCGCTAGGCGGTGTGGGAGCCCTGGCGAGCGGGAGCCCAGGTGTGAAGGGCAGCGCACTTTGCTCGACCTCAACTTCTACTTCTCCCGGATAATCATCGATCCTCTCTATCTTAGCGACGATGTATCCGTCCAATAAACCGCGCTCGACGATCCTAAACCTCCATGTTCCTACGGTCTCTAGCATCGACCGTCCATCGGGGAACATCTGCACTGAGCGGATCTCCATCATCGTCCCGTACTCCATTCCCTCTGAATGAGTGCGGGACTGTGCAATGGCACCGAATCGGTAGGTACGATCTTCCATTACGCGCCGGAGCATGAGCCGATAGCGAGGCTCGAAGAGATGAAGCATTGTAGGCGTGCTGGGGAAGGCGAGGAGAGGATAGAAAATGGGCGTGTCGAGTCGCGAATTACGACCTTCTTGTTCGAGCTGGGTACGGCGCTCGATGTACGCCTCGGGGAAGGCAGTGAGTACTGCAATACGTTAGAAGTGATACATAATGAGAGCTAGAGAACTCACTGAGGGATAAGACAACCTTGTTATTCGCGTGATCTTGGTGGTACGAGAACCCGGGCATCTCCTCCCTGCAGAGCGGGCAAGCGGTGCCATGGTCAAGACTCCTCTGCAAGCACTTTGCGCAAAATGTCTGTCCCCAGTGTCAGACCTCTGTTGAAGCATACAGTCGAATAAACACGTACATGCTGGCAGGGCGTCGTGACAGGCTCGTACAGAAGCAAGTAGCACATCGAGCACAGGAGCTCGCCCATCATCTCCTTCTCAAGCTTGGTCAGGTCAGCCTCGTCTGCACCTGCTGTACCAGCAGTTCGTCCGGATGCGGGTGGGGCTCGAGGCGGGTTGCGCGTAGGGAGTGTGCCTCTGCGTGGACGTTTTCTCGGCCTGACAGTACGTGGGGAGGAGTGACTGTCAGATGAGGAGCGAGAAGACTCTTTTGTAGGCTCTTCGTCGCTCGACCCGTCTTCATCCGGAAAGCCCTCTACCACGCCGTCAGCTTCTCGTCGTCGCTCAGCCTCCTCCTCCTCCGCGTTCCGCTGTACAATGCCCATGAGGCTTGTGACAGTTGTGTCCTGCCTCGGGTTGGGGACACGTATGACCGTCCCTTGTGGTCCACCATTGAGGAAGGCGTCCATGCGTGGGGTAGGGTAGAAAGTGACTTTCGTCTGCGTGCTCGACCCAACTTGAGGCTCCAGCGAGCGCACGCGACTCGTTACACGGGCGCAGGTTTCTACTGGGCATGTGGGGATATTTGCTGGCTGACCTGGACGTACAGGGGGTGCTGGAGTGTCTGGGGGAAGAGTTACGTGCGAGGAGCAGACTGTATGCCCACAGAGGAGAGTAGTGGGTTGCTTCAGCGGTGTTCCGGGGCAGCAGGGGCAGTTGAGGAGGGGGAGAAGGGACGCCGGGGGGACAGAGCGCCGCACGGGAGTAGGCTCACGTGGGAAGACGAGCGGGGCTGAACCTGATGGAGGGGTGAGCACCTCGTCTGCAGAGCGCTTTCTGCTCGTGGGCGTGCGCTCTGTCAGCGAGGGAGTACGCTGTCGTTCTTTGCCCTTTGCTTCTGGTGACCGTGGTTCGCTAGGCCCTGGGAGCGGTTCTGGGAAACCGAGTGCGTCAGTCGGTGAGCGTGGTGCGGCGGAGGGGAGAGGGGTGAAGATGGACATCTGTGGAGAGGGCGTCCTTGGTGCTCCTATTAGAGGGGGATGTGAAGGACCAGAATCTGGGGTAGTAGGTCGTTGAGGACGTCTTTCAGGGGATGGTGAGCGATCCCCTCGCTGAGGATGTTCTTTATGGTGGTCGTGCATTGTGCTGTCGATGTCGTCTGAGACGGTGAGCAAGGGGGTGAAGAGGAAGGGGAGGGAGGGAGGGAAGGGGGGGAAAGACGGTAGCGAGACAGCGGAGAGTCTCAGCGGTCGTGAACGTCTCAGTCAAGCGGCGTCGAGGTGAATGTATGCGCAGAGAGGGCGATGGTCATCGTGCGTGTGTTTCGATCGTCGTGGACGTGTGTCTCTGAAATGCAGTCTCTTCGATCTCAATCGGCCTCACGCCATCGTCATCCATGACGCTCATGACATCGCACAGATCGCCATCAATGGACAACACGGCACACACCCCTCGATCGGAACATCCAGCGCGGCGTTCGCCCTCTTTCAACAGCTAAACACACAAACACACTCAGGGATCGGCCCTCCCTTTCCCCCCGTTCAATTCCGCTCCCGTCATACTCCTCTCATCACACACCAAACCATATCGCAAACCAAATGGAATAGCCACACCCGATCGCCGAGCACCGGCACACCTCTCATCGACTGCCCCCCGCGTGCAGACCACGTGCACTACTGCTCCTGCGAGGCCCCTGGTTACTCCCAGAACTCTCGGCCGACTCCCGACACCCGCAGCGCTCCGCTCCCCTTCCGGCTATCCTCCCATATATGTCTTTCTTAGCGCACCAAAAAAAAACAGTGAAAATTAAATATTCACAGCTGGGAAATTCCTCCCCACTTCTGTCTCGAACTCTCCTTCGCCCAGATCACGATCGGGTCCGGCACGGCCGCCGTTCAGTATTCGAGTTTGTGCATGTGCCTGATCGTCCAAGACCAACCGCATTGAACCCCGTGTCTCGGACCGACGGCGACCGGCACAGAGATCGTAACCTGCCAACGACGACACATTCGTCCCCAGAGAACCAGAAACACCATGGCACATCTCAACTCGCTTCCCCTCTCCCAGCCCCATATTCCCGCCCACCGCCGGTCCGCGACAACCCCCAGTGTGAAGGTCGTTCCCATCCCAACGCCCCCGACGACCGTAAATCTTTCGATCTGTTTCTCCTGCGGGGCGACCGAACAATGCGCGTAATATCACCTTCCGAACCACAGAAAGAGAACAAGGCAGAGAAAGCAAGTACATAGCACAACACACGACCACACAGCGAAGAAGATGGCAAGGTACCGGCCGCCGAGGGTGCGGTCCCTGACCTTCTGCCGACCCGGCACATATCGATACGGGCTATCAAATACCCTTGCACTCGTGAGGAATATTGTGCTTCTGGCGCCTGGCACGGCGATTACCTGGTTCTGGAAGCGCGGTCGGAAGCCTTGCTGGTCCATTTCCGAATGCCCGGGCGCTTTGGGTGATTTTCATATATAGAGTTTTAGAAAGAGGGCGCTTTTGTTCGTCGATTAGCGCCACCAGCCACCCCTATCGATCTCCACACAAGATATCATTGTACCAACTAAATTTCCTCAGATTTGGGCGACAAACTCCCAAGCCAGCCAACCAAGCCAGTTCCGCCCTTTCCGCCGCCATCATCGCCCGGATCTCGTAAATCAGATCAGTTGGACGTCGCTCCCCTTGTTCAGGATATTTAATCCCCGCTGGGATCGGCCCGCCACTTGGAAGTTGCGAGGAGGAAGCGAGGAGTGCGTGATGAGAAATACTATATTAGTGAATGCTGTATTCATTAGGCTCGCTGGTGGCGGGTGCTTGGTACTTTGCTTGCTCTGATGTGGGGCGACTGAAGAATGCGGTCTGAGCAGAAGAATCCAACGTAATCCTCTGACTCGACGTCCTTGCTGGATACTTCTGTTCTCCTCCGAGGCCCAGCCAGAGGAAGCATAGGAACATGCCAGGGCGTTCCTGCTGCCAGAAGAGCGTGTCACTGTGCAGGTCGTCGAACGCCTCTCTTCGAACCCGACATCCAAAGCAGCTTCACAACCCTCTTGACGAAAAGCTCCCGCCGATGGCCACAACCTGCTCGATCCCCGGCTATCCCAGGCCCGTAGGACACGGTCAGCTGCGTGCGACATATAAGCATATGTATAACCCTTTTGTCTGAGTTTGACTTGTTTCTCAGAGGTTGGAGATCGGATGTCCTTGCGGAGATCGCTAGGCTGGAGGAAGGAGTACCTAACACGGCCACTGACCACTTGACAGAAATGAATTTGAGTTCGGGCGGTGGAGGCACGGGGATCTAATTGAGTGACGTAACATCCCGTGATCAGGGGTTAGTCTTGCCACTCTCTACCTTCCATTGTACGAGTCTAGTGTTCAAAGTGAGCATTCCTAAGACATGTCCATACCGGGCGTGAGAACTTTTTTGGAGAGGGAGAGGCAAGCTCGCGATGACCAGCGCGATATGCATTGAATGCTCTTTACCGGCGGCAGGAGCGGATGGAACAGCTATTAATGAAGGTGCGTCAATCGCTGAGGGGTGCCAAAAGGACTGCGGAAACCTCTGGGATTAAGACATGTACGGCTGATCAGGAGCTAGAAGAACACTTCCTCAACCCTGTACAGCCCAACCTGCATGTCTGCCTCCTCCTGGGCTTTCTTCCTCCTCCGCCCTTCTTCGAATCGAGACACAGATTTCTGAGGCATGCCTGACTTGCCCTGCGCCCGCTTGCGCTTGGCGAACACTTCGAGCGGACCGCGGAGGCGTTCCAGCTCGAGAGCGAGTGAGAGCTGCGGTTCGAGTAGGGTCGAGAAGGAACGTAAGATCGGCTGAGCGGGGGGGTGCTGCAGGAGGGAGATGTAGTAGGTATCAAGCAGGGTCTCTGCGAAGGATAGGATCTAGAAATAATCAGTATCGAATTCTAGAAACTTCCAATCGGACATACGGAATCGATCCGTGGCCTAGGGCGGAAATCCACATCCACAAACCCTGCCTCTCTGTCCAGCTCCAGTCCCCTCAGACCGCTCTGCTCCAACCACCCCTGAAGCACTTCCAACAGGCGGCAAACGTGGTTCATATCCCTTAGCTGCTCCCGGAGTGCCAGGCGCAGAGCTGGCCTCGTTACTGGCGCTGCGAGAACTGCGGTGAGTACATTAGGTAATGGAATCGCCTTGGAATCGCCTTTGAGACCAGTAAGGAGCACTTGGACGATCGCTGATTCGGGCAGGTCAACCACCCCTTGAAGCGCCACGACGACACTCGCCCAATCGCCCCTGTCTAGGAGGATGTCGACCAGCGATTGCTCACCCCGTACCATGCTATATGAAACGAGCCCCCGACGCATGAGGAACCGCAGGATGGAAGAGTGTGCGTCCGTGCTCGGTTTCGGCGGTATGAGGAGCGCGTCAACCAGCTGCTCTACGAGCGCAGTAGGGAGATGCACCAGCGCTTTCTTCTTCAGACTCGCGGTCGCTGTCGGACGGTGGGCGGTACCGTTCACTTCTCGCCCATTGGTGAGCGTGGCCTCCTCGTCAGAATCTTCGTCCACGAGCCCGTTCACGCCCTCTTCTTCTGAATCATCCTCTGGCTGTATCTGAACATGGTTGCCATTTGTAGTCGCCTGTGTTTGGAGGTTGATCCAGTCAAAGAACGCCTTCTGTGCTGTATCGGAGGCACCATTCCGAAGCGCCTCGCCGACGCTCTTGATCAGTCCACGTTGCGTCTCCGACAAGGCTGCATTCACTTCCGCTGCTTGAGTATCGGATATTTGCATGCGGCCCAGCGCGTTAAGTAATGTTGAGACGTGGGGTACCGTGTAGGGGACGATAAACACCGACGAACGAGCTTTGTTGTCGCTCTTCTTTCCTCCGATCGGACATGTGAGAGTGAGCAGTGCTTGCCCACTTGCGGCTTGCGACAGGTAGACAGCAAACTTCTCCGGCGTGCTTGTGGGCACAGGCATGGAATACGATGCCAGTTGCACGCCGTAGCGCTTGTCCCAGAGCTCGATTTCGACCTGTCTTGATGCTGCGGGTGTACTTGCCACGAGGATGTGAGAGGACGCGACATGCAAAAGTGATGCTTGGGGCATGTCCGACGTTGATTTTGGGAAGGATATCTTGATTGGAGATGGGGGCGATATGCAAGAAACTGAGGATGTGGCCGATATTTGGAAGGAGAGGATTTCGCCTGATATTACTGCCCGTGGTGTTAGTGCTACATAGTGCATATACAATAGGGCTGCTTACATAGTATGCATGCATTTCCGCCAGCCTCACAACATACGCTCATGACATCGGTCGCCTGCAGAATCCGTACATCAGCGAACTATTACACACGGGATGAGGAATATAACGTACCTTCACCTCGTCTAGTTTTTCCCAACCAACATCAGTGAGCTCATCGCTGATAATCCGTACTACCCGCACCCCAAACTTCCCAGCCTCGTTGCCAAAGAAAGTTAATATCACAGCGTCATGTGTATTTTCTGGTGTTGTGCCAACAGTGTGAGGTCCTTTTGGGAAGATGAAGTTCCAGCTGATTCCCGTTATGCTAAATGGCGGGGCTAAATTTCGTATACGCTCTAGGGTGGACGAAGCAAGCGTGAGTTGACCATCCGGGGAGGCGATGACAATTTGGGAGGGAAGAGATGTTGCGAAGAGGAATTCTTTTGCATGATGAAGGAGCTGTAGAGGCACTCAGCCAGCATATCAAGGATGGTAGGCAGGACTTGCCTCGACGCTCTGTTTTGAAGCAGTATCCTCGCTGCCTTCTGGCCAAACCCAAGCTGTCTTTTGTCCCTCTGCTACATCAGATCCTGATGCCACAGAGACGTATGTCGACCGCTTCCCGCCCTTTCCTGCTCGACTTGCTGCGGCCGAATGGAAGTAGGTTGATGGACCAAGAGTATAGGATGAGACAGGATGCAGAGATGATCGCTACCATATGTCAGTTTGGTACCTTAAATAATATTGATAGACTGCTTACATCGTATGAATGTATACCGTCTCCTTGAACCGTAACGGTGATCTCCGCAACATCTCCCCATCTTGCATGCGCTTGGACTTGTGGCAGCCATTTGCAGGTCGATGGACCAGCCGTAGTAGGCACAGCATATGAATGCAAAAGAAAAGGCTCGGATATCGATCCCATAATCGGCGTCCAATGGAGGCAGAGTAGACAGCTGGGCAGGCAACAACTAAGGGAAGAATATGAACAACAGCCTAGTCGCGTGCACCAGAAGAACGACCAGACTTTTTTACAGGCGCTTCGTTAGTTTTCTCCGAGCCGAAGTCCCTGGAAGCACAGCCACGTGAAGCGCCCATTTACGCCACGAAGCAGCTGACGGTGCCTAGGACCTCAACTTCGTGTGGTATGTGCTCGTAGCGCCCGATCATGTCAGATCGAAGAATATTTGTCGTCACGGGGACTTCAAGGGGATTAGGATTGGAGTTTGTGAAGCAGCTGGTGAGTTGGACATTCGTCTATCAGGGATGCTTCCTAATGACTTGCTCAGGCAAGTGAACCTGAAACGACTGTCATTTGCGTTGTCCGGACGCTGCGGAACACAGACCAGCTTGCACACTTTTCCAATGACAAGGACAATGTTTTCATCGTAGAGGCAGATATATCGAAGCAGACGGCGGTCAAGGTGTGTCGCGTATGCAAGACCGGACACGCTGTAACTGACGCACACCTAGCAAGTTGTGGATGAGATCGACCAGATGACAGATGGGAAAGTGGATGTTCTGATAAACAATGCCGCAGTCAACACTGACCCTGCTCGTCCGCTTCACCAATGGTGTGTTCTCTACTTCCCTCACCGGAAGGGAATGTGCACTGAAGCGCATACCAGGAGTTCAAAAGCGTTCAACGACCACCTTTTCACCAATGTTACTGGCTCCATCATCATGACCAATGCCATGCTTCCCATGTTACGGAAGGGCAAGGAGAAGCGAATAATCAACATTTCCAGCGGCATGGGCTCATTGGCTTACAACGAGCCTGGCTCAGAGCCCACCAGCAGCTTCTCTGCATTCTCCGTTTCCAAAGCAGGTTTGAATATGGCTACCCGGAAATACGCTAGTGAATGGGGGAAGGAGGGCTTTGTTGCAGTTTCATTATCACCGGGTTGGGTGCAGACAAGACAAGGTGGAAGTGTGAGTCCTATTGAATGTAGCATGATGGCATTGATTGAATTGTTCGGCAGGCAGCCCCGCTCACACCCACCGATTCCGTCTCTGCCATGTTGAAAGTCGTGAATGGGCTGACGCCTGAGCAGAACGGAGCTTTTATTAACTACGACGGAACAGAAATCGACTTCTAATGTACACTTGTATATATTATTCAACTGGATTGTGAGGAACATATCATTTCAGCGCTGTTGGTCGCTCGGGCCGGTAGGTTCGGTGCTTCGGTGACAGTTCGGGGAATTGGAGACCCGGAAGAAAGCCTTGACCGGCTAGACCGGCGGGAGAAGACAGGACGCATGGCCGAACATAATCTCCACTGCTCACCACTACATGCGTAAGCTTCGTGCGCTTTGTCTTCGTGCTGCTCGACATTGAGATGGACAAAAAGGATCAGCCTGAGATCACCACCGTGCCTGTCATCGACCAACCACCGTTGTCTGCTCAGACCCTGACCCCGACCTCTGTCAAAGGGCTCCGGGAGCGAGAAACCACACTCATCAGCGAGGAAGATGGGATTGAGCTGCCTACCCTTGCAAATAATAGTAGACTTTCGGAGGAGGAGAGGCTGCAAGTTAGACCGGGGTTGATCAAGACCAAGGGACAGGAACGCATAGCGGTGGTAGCATTGTGGTGGTGCTTGTTCATGGCTGGATGGTACGTGTGACCAACCGCAAGGTTTCAAGATCCCTTCTGATTCACTTCATATAGGAATGATGCTAGGTACGTTTGGAATGAGACATGTTTGTGGTCGCTGAGGGGACAACTCTAGCACTGGTCCTCTCCTTCCTCGTATTCAGGAGAACTACAATGTGCGTTTACCAATCTTCCATGGAGAGTAGCAAGTTGAACAACATTCAGGTCAATTTCACCATCGTATCCATTCTTTTCATCTGCAATTTTATAGTATGTGAAATGTTTGGCCGCTGGACCACGGAGGAGCTTACAATGCAAACAGGGCTTCACGAGCGCGGCGGTGTTGAACGTCCGACTGACCGATCTGTGGGGTTTTGGAGCCGTGAGCGTTCTCGTCAAAGATATCTACAATTTTTTATCTCTAATCAGACTATCGCGCTTGGTGCAGCTTGCCAAGTTGTGGCTTACACAATCGACACGCCAGCTCCACCTTACCCACTATTCTGTATCGCTTTCGTCATCAACGGCTTTGGCATCGGGCTGCAAGTGAGTTTGCCCCATTATGCACCTCGGACAATCCCTCATGTTTTTCAGGATGCACAAGCGAACACTTTTGTAGCGTGCTTAACTGATGCCGATACTAAGATGGGCTGGCTGCACGCGTTCTATGGCGTAGGCGCTCTAGTCGCCCCTTTGATCGCAACACAATTCGCTCAAATGACTCGATGGTCCTTCCACTATTTGGTCTCTCTGTGCATTTCAGTGACCAATCTTGCTGTGCTGCTTTACGTATTCCGCTTGAAGAGCCAGGAAGGTGAGAATCGCAGATTTACAGCTTGAGACCTCTGTCTGAGAGCCTACGAACTACAGACCTGCTCGGTATTTCGGAACACCATCTCGAAGATGCCCAGATTCAGGGTAACAAGTATAAACGCATGTTTGCGTTGAAGATACTCCATCTCCTCGCCTTCTTTGCTCTTGTCTATGTTGGCCTGGAGGTGACTATCGGAGGATGGATCGTCACATACGTCATCGATGTGAGAGGAGGCGGCGCTTCTTCAGGTTACGTGTCCTCAGGTTTCTTCGGTGGCCTCACTCTGGGCCGTGTCCTACTTCTATGGGTGAACAAGAAGGTGCGTCATTATTTCCTCAGTCTATACCGTATTCCAATATGTTTGGATAGGTTGGACCAAAATACGTTGTAATGATGTACTGTCTGCTTTGCATTGCTCTTGAGATTATCATTTGGTTTGTTCGCGCAATCATCGGAGATGCCGTCTCTGTCTCTCTTGTTGGGCTATTCCTCGTGAGTCAACGTTTGTATCAAAACCTTCACAGATATTAAATCTTGTTCAGGGCCCCATTTATCCTATCATCATGAACGTCGCTAGCCGGATTCTTCCCCGATCTCTGCTAGCTGGGTCCATAGGGTGGATAGCGAGGTATGCATCGAACTCTGTCTATGACATCCAGCTTACCGTTGGAAAGCTTTGGCCAAGTAGGATCTGCTGTGTTTCCGTTCATAACTGGTGCTCTCTCACAACATGTAAGCATATATTCCTGCCATTCATGGCCCTAGTTCTGATATACCCACGATAGTATGGTGTACAAGTTCTTGAGCCTATCCTTGTGGGCATGTTAGCTCTCCTCATTGCCTTGTGGGCGATGGTTCCCACTCGGCCAAAAACGGACGATTGAGCAATTTTGGTTTCTTAGTTGTATTCAACAATTATGTTGTAGTTTTCAATATGGGAATGAATGCATCCACATCGATGTCTTGCTCAGGGTAAGCGCCGGCGACGCGTTCTCGCGTCACGCGTGTGACTGGAACTCGTTCACCAGGTCTGTGTCCTGGTTTATACCTGCCCACCACGAATGCCAAGCGGACGACAATGCAATTATACCACCCACGATGAGCACAGAAGACGTCAATGACTACTTTACCAACCTGGTTTCCTCCTTAGAGTCGGACCTCGCCCAACCACCACTGGCCGGAGATGCCTTAGTAGAGTTCTCGAACGATGATATCACGAAATTTCGCACATATGCTCTGCAGCTGTCCGCTTTCCTCATACTCGACGTCAGCGTTTGGGAGGACGATTCTTTCAAGCTTGCTAAAATCGCGCTCAAATACTTGCACCGCACTGCTGGGAGAATCCCTGCCGTCCTGCAGAAAGAAGACGACGCTGAACCCCTCCATCTTTTGGTCTTTGTCCGTCTCGTGACATTCTCGGTCCATATATTCAACTGGAGCTATTCCTCAGCACAAGAAGAACGACAGGATGCTGCTCGAAACCTAGGAGAAGTTGCGGTGGGGATCGCAGCTCATGTCCTGTGCACCTTGCCAGGCAGCATGTCGCGTCGAGCTATGGAAATGGGGTTGGAGTGGTCAGAACTGAGAAGATGTTTGAGTCTTTGTGCTACTTACGTGAATGGTGAGCGCAATCAACACAGTTGATGATTGTGCACTCATTGCAAAACAGATCTATTGAATGGGCGCAAGAACGAAACCTATCCTCTTCAGATGGCTTTCGACGTGGTACAGACAGATCCATATGTGCTCGGGGTCAAAAATGCACCCCAAAGCGCTGTGATCATATTGTCAGGAACGCATGAAGCCGACATCGCAGCTGTATCTCTGATAGACATCTTCGTCGGTGTGCTGCACCATTCCTCAGACGCATCTGGACTGCTTGCCGGTTTTGAGGTACAAACTCACGACCTGGCTCTGCTTGCCTGGGAGAGAATCCGTCGATTTCCCGCTCCGGGATCGAAAGGAGCTGCCAGAAGCACTGCACTAACATGTAGGCTTCTGCAGCTCAGCCACCGGATATTGCAAGATCGCGTCGCAGCACCATTGCCCCTGTCCATGGGAGATGTATGCTCTCATATCGAAAGACTCACCGGCCGGCGGCTTCTCGACGGATATTCTCCTACTCTGGAAGAGCTGGACCACAACCTTGGGATCGTATGGGAAGTGCTTCCGACCCAATACATAAGCCATCCAACGCATGCTATCGACGTCTGCTGGCGAACCGATTGGTCGGATGTACAGAAGACTGAAGGCCTTCGAGTAAGCATATTAGGCTTTTTGATGTGTTTGTTAATGATCGCTTTTCAATCAGAGTGCTCTGTACTCCTACCTTCTCCGTGCATTGCCATTCTGCACCGCTGTCGACCTGAGTCGCCTAAAGGGAAGCTTACCTGAGCAAGATTCCATTGCCCTGCTTGCTAGATTGCGGGCCGCCATCGAAGTGAAGTTACAAGCGTCACTGTCCCCCTCCGGTACTCTCAGCAGCGTGAAGAAGAGAAAGAGAGACGAGTCCTCCGTCGGTGTGGAAACGTTGGCTTTCCTTAAAGTTTTCGATATGGGTGAATTCGCCATCAATGACTTCGATGAAGAGCATCGTGTCGTCTTAGTGGACAATGTTTCCGCTATGTTTACAAAGTAAGCCAGCATGACATTGTTGCCGTCTTGCCTTGACTTTGGAAATGCAGACCACTTGAGACCTCACCTGATCAGCGATATGCCTTGGCAGAAGCCGTTGCGTGGCTGCCTTGTTTCCTCTGTCATGACATTCATTCCTGTATTCCCACGTCTGGAACAGAAAATGCTGCTTCGTCGTTCCTGTCCCTTTACGTGCACGCTTGCTTGCGACTCCTTGCTGGCAAGACTGAAGATGTTCCCTCCCGGGTCTGGACCAAGCTTCTGCATGGGATGCGAAAGGCTGTTCGTCATTCCAACATTGACACCTTGTCATACAGCGATCAGGAGCTCTTTGGTCTAGTAAAGCGAGCTTTAGAACGCGCAGAAAGGTCTGTGCGTATCGCAGCAGGGTACGTTCTGGGCCTGTCTCCAAAACAGATTGCTTATACTACAAAAAGCAACGTCATTGCTGTTGTTCTGGCACGTCATATGGAAGTAGACAGCTTTGTTCTTCCCAAATCCAATGTGTGGATCTCTGTTTTGATCGACATCGCGAATGGGCATGGCAAACCCTCTATAAGGGAAACCGCCTTAGTGGGTCTGGGCAGTGTGGGAAAGTAAGATCGCACTGGTTTGCCTTCCCATTTCTATGCCGCTGTTGACGCGTTTCAAAAGAGTGGTCTCTGAAGCCTTGATCGAAAGGATTCTCACCTGCCTAATATCGCACCTGGCCGATCAAAATACATTATTGAGAGCACTTGCATATACACAGGCAGGAACAATTTTACTCTACATCGCATGATATTGACGGCTCCTCTACAGCTGCAAGCTATCGTGCAAGCCAAATCCACGACGGCGTACATGTTGCTGATGCCTCACATGTCCCATGTCTCTGTCATTCTGGTCGAAAATCTCCCTGTAGCTCCCAATATGCTATCGGAGGCTTGCCAATTCATGGGGCGATCGCCAACCGACTTTCTCTCTCTGACACTCCATCATACGCTACCGCCTCTCTTCGCGGCTGGTCGAAAAGATGTCCTGCAGATACTAGCAAGGGACCTCGGCAAAAGCATTCCGCAGCTAGCTATGGGTCATGAATCCAGAGTCCTTGCTCAGATATTTCTTTGCCCTACGGAGGTACAGACGGATGCCGGGATCGAGTTCTTGCGTGGGGTTATAAGTGAAGCAGCAAAGGGTGCTCCCATCGACTTAACAGGCATGGTCAAAGGTTGGATAGTGGAGCTTGTTTCCGAACTCGTCATAGTCCTGGGCGACCATGAGGCAAAGAAATCAAAAATGGTAGGGGTGAAATTGTGCTTTATTGAATCAGAGTTAGCTCAGCTCTATCTAGGCGATTGAAGCACTAAAGAAAGTGGAAAAACTTCTCGCTACTCCAGCCAAAGGTCAGCGTCGTGCACCAACGTCTGATCTCTCGTCGTTCCTCAAATCGTACATGCTCGGCATTATATCCCGCTTAAATGATATGCTTCACGAGCTACACGGAAGGAAGCCGGACTCGTTCAAATGCCAAGTGGTAAGAGGCATCGGAAGTCTCATAGAGCTGGTGGGCCCATCTGTCAGCAGCATATCACCCCAGGTAATCTTCCACTCGCCGCCAGACGAATCATTCTCACTTCATCGCAGATCATGGCAACACTTCAAGGTGCCCTTCCTAAGGAGGCTCTGAGAGAGTCGGTCCTTGCGACATGGCGAACATTTATCACAAGGTTATCTCCGGACGACATCGGGCCGTATATTGGCCAGACGTCAGCAGCATTTGTCACCGAGTGGGCAAACTTTTCGAACGTAGAACGCAATTTAGCCTATCACACGCTGGATCACATAATAGAGCACGGACATCAGTTTCCGGATCACATCAAGGATGTGGTTTCCCTTCAGGGAATACCCGATCTTCGTGATTTGGAGCAGCGGCTGGTCCAAGCACAGGCTGAATGGGATATTCAGGCACATCTGCACAAACTCCTCCATCGAACTATGAATGAGAACTCTGTTGTTGGTCTCCGCGCCCTGGAGGAGCTCAAGACATTCATGCTTGCCAACGCTGGGCTCATCAGTAGTTTATCGTCGGGTGACACATTCGACCCTGTTATCGGCCTCATGGTCAATGCCCTTTTGAAGGCTTCTACTCGAGATGGGGATTCCAATGAAGCAACGCGCCACGCTGCGTACGAGTGCTTCGGTATTTTGGGTGCGATGGATCCGGATCGATTCGAGTTCTCATTCCCAGATGCCACTATCGTCATGCTTCGAAACTTCAGTGATGAAGACGAGAACATCAAATTTGTTTTATACCTTCTGCAGGATCTGCTTGTTGGCGCCTATCGTTCTACCAGTGATACAAAGTATCAAAGTCACCTAGCATTTGCTATTCAAGAACTCCTGAAAATTTGTCACTTCGGACCGGACTTGGTCATATCCGGTGCTCAGTCCGCTATTTCCGGCCCAATTCGAGGAAGGTGGAATAGCTTGCCCAAATACGTTCTCGAGACGGTGACTCCGCTCCTCGAAGGTCGTTTCAGCTTGGAGAATAGGTCGTCTGATCCCCAAATTCGACATCCGGTGTATCCCAACGCACCAACGTACAGAGAATGGATACAAGTCTGGACTACCCACTTGATATCGCGGATTTCTGCCCCTGAGGCTAAAAAGATTTTCGCGGTTTTCCGATCTGCTGTACGGAATCAGGATGTAGGGGTGGCTCATCGGCTGCTGCCCCATATTGTGTTGAACATCTTACTCACTGGGCATGATTCGGATCGCGATAGAGTCCGTGAGGAAATCATATCCGTTCTCGATGATCAAGTGCATCCAAAGCTGGGGGTAGCCGCGGACCGCCGAATGTTATGTGCTCAGGTGGGGTTTTCAGGGGTTTCCTTGCATCCATGGTGTGTGTGCTGACCATAACATTCCAGACGATCTTTTCTCTTATGGATCATATCAGTAGATGGATCAGACTGCTGCGACAAGATACAAGTCAGCGCCGAGCTGAATCAACGCGGCAGCGCCATGGCGGCCACGTCACTGCTGTCGGCCACGAAGCAGACGAGCAGCTGGCGTGTGTTGAATCTCTATTGTCATCCATAGATCCAGAGCTTATGGCAAGGGCAGCATTGAACTGCAAGTATTATGCAAGATCGCTGTTGAGTTTCGAACAACGAATCGTGGCCCTGAAAGAGAATGAGAAGAGCAGCAGAGATCTGCAGCCATATTACGAGTGCTTGCACCAAATCTATGCAGAACTGGACGAACCCGATGGCATGGCAGGAATATCTACAATGGTCCTCTCTCCATCTCTGGAGCATCAGATTCGAGAACATGAAGCTGTCGGAAATTGGACTTCCGCGCAGAGCTGCTGGGAAGTAAAATTGCAAAGTGCACCCGATGATCTTGCCTCCCACATCGGATTACTTCGTTGTCTGCGCAACTTGGGTCATTATGGTAAGTTTTCCCTCTTTGATGCGTTTAACCAGAGTGCTGAGCGACGCACTAGATACATTACGTACTCACGTGAAAGGGGTTCTCAGTCGCATCCCTGATTGGACGAGTGCATTGGCAGGCTTTCAAATAGAAGGTGCCTGGATAGTTGGTGATTGGTTGGACGTCAAGGCACTGTCAGAAACAGCTTGCGACTCTTCCGAGCTGTATGTGGCACGACTTCTCCTGGCAATTCAAATGGATGATCAACCAGGCATATTGTCGGCTTTATCATCAGCACGCGAATACTTAGGCGACCATATCCTGTCTGCAGGCCGACAGTCGTATCGAGGTTCCTACGACGTTGTTATCGGGTTGCATGTCTTGCAAGAACTAGATATGATCTGTATAACTGGAGAACATAGCCGCTCTGCGACGTTGCGATCTGCCCTTGGTATGGCCGATTTATCCACACGGCTTGCAAAACGATTCGATTCGATTCTTCCCACCTTCCGTGCCAGGGAACCTATTCAAAGCATGCGAAGAACCGCGTTCGCGCTGAAGTCTGTCCATTATTACTCTTCCTTAATATCATCGCTGATGAGTTGCTAGAAAAACGACTCAACCTAGTCTTGCCGTCGAGATTGGAAAATCCTGGCTCACTACCGCACGCATCGCAAGGAAAGCAGGATATCTCCAGACAGCATACAGTGCCACTTTGCAAGCGCAGAAATACAACGCACCATTCGCTTTCATCCAGACATCCAAGTTGCTTCGAGTCAATGGAGAACCTGTACGTGCGTTGCAGGACTTAGAGAATGCTATGGAGATCTACAAGAATGTTTCGACTGGTCCTCCCAATGAACGCATCAGCACCGCTGATCCAGAGACCACCACCTTAGCTAAGGTCAGCTGCGATTGCGCGCCAGACTTTAGAGATTGCAACTTAACGTATTCCAGGCCTTTTCATTGCAGGCCAGGTGGATGGTTGAAGCAGATCGTTTCACCGTCACCGAAATCGCCAATAAATTTAGTGAAGCATCCAAGCAAGCGCAGAGGTACTTGTCCAAGACGTTGACACATGGACATCGGTGCTCATCCCTCCTGACAGACTCGAATCACCATACTTCCACGTAGGGCATTTCTGGGATGAAACTTATACTCAATTCTCCGCGGACGACAAGCTGAAAAAGTGAGCCTATTGCGCCGGACAGCAGTAAACAGGATCTCATGGACAATAGCTCTCATTTCCCTTTCAACACTTGCAAAGCATATGGCAAAGCGCTCTCCTATGGATCCAAGTATATCTATCAGACAATGCCTCGGATGTTGAGTTTGTGGCTCGACCTAGCAGATCAAGATAGATCGAATGCTATGGGACGGCTGTGAGTATTGGGCACAATGGCCGAAAGGCGGCTCTAACATTTATTGACCACAGGGGCGAATCAACGCAGCAGATAGTCTTGTCCACCCGAGAAAAAATCACTGAAATGATTGACAAAATCCATCGGAGGTTGCCAGCTTGGCAGGTAAGAGCATGCAATGGTTCTATGTACCTATCCTCATACGATATCAACAAGTGGCTCACCGCCTTTCCACAACTGATCTCTCGAATTATTCACCCTAGCTCAAGCGTGTTCCAAGTGCTGTTGAAGATTATGGCAGGCGTCCTAGTGACATACCCGCAGCAGGCACTGTGGCTGTTGACATCGGCGTCCAAATCCAAAAGAGAAGAGCGTGCTCAGAGATGTAAAGCCGTATACAGCCGCGCCCAGGTGAGTATGTTTCAGCCGTCGGTGGGCATATTGTGATAGTTCACCTACAGGCTGCACCTGGTCCCAGCCGAGACCATGTTGGTAAACTCATCGCAGAATCCATTAAAATGACAACAGAGCTGCTCAACCTCGCTGATTACAACCTTGGCGATAACGTGTACACTATGTCGATAAGCCGCCAGTGCCGCGAACTGCGCAAGATAACTCCATCGCATCTCATTCTCCCGTTGCAAGAATCTATGACGGTAACGTTACCGCCTGCGTCAGCTGATCAGGATCAACACAAACCATTCCCCCATCAAGCCCCTATCATTCATGGTCGGTGCATGCTCAATACCTCAAAAAAATGATCTCACATTCTAGCCAGAATTCCTCGATGAGGTTGAAGTTATGAAATCTCTAGCCAAGCCACGGAAGCTCACCATTAAAGCGAATGACGGTCGTACCTACTGGTTCCTTTGTAAGCCGAAGGATGATCTGCGAAAGGATGCTCGCTTGATGGACTTCAACTCAATGATAAACAAGCTTTTGAAGAAAGATTCGGAGTCTAGGCGGAGAAAGCTTCGTAAGAAGTCTTTTGTTGCCTTGTCCTTCTCTATTTCCTGAAGTATCGCAACAGATATCCGCACTTACGGTGTAATTCCTCTGAACGAAGAGTGTGGTTTGCTGGAATGGGTGCCCAACACGACTGGTCTTCGACATATCCTCGCTAAATCCTACGAGGCACGGAAGATGAAGATTTACGTACGTGTGAATAATCGGTCCTGAATTTGATTTGATCGTAATTTAGAACAACGATATTGCCACGATGCTAGATAAAGAGCGGTATAATGGCAAACCTGGCATCATGTTTGAGAAGCAGCTACTGCCCATGTATGTACGTTAGCCTTCTCATGAGTTGTCCCTCATTATTCCCACAGGTTCCCACCTGTGTTTCACGAATGGTTTTTAGCTATGTTCCCTGAACCGACTGCATGGCTGAACAGCCGACTATCTTACGGGCGGACAGCTGCAGTTATGTCCATGGTCGGCTATGTTCTAGGGTATGTATGTCCCTTGAGACAGACTCGAAGAGTCTTTTAATATCGATCAGGTTGGGTGATCGACACGGAGAGAATATTTTATTCGATTCAACAAACGGTGACGCAGTTCACGTCGATTTCAACTGCCTTTTCGAAAAAGGTACAACCCTTGAAGTACCCGAAAGAGTGCCATTCAGGCTCACCCAGAACATGGTGGACGGCTTGGGAGTCACAGGCGTAGAAGGTATTTGTCGAGGTACTTTCCAACAGGTGTAGCTAAATTTATTTCAGGTGTGTTTCGGATCGCTTGTGAACTGACTATGGGCATCCTGCGCAATCACAAGGATTCGTTGATGAGCGTTCTCGAGGCGTTTGTGCACGATCCTTTGTCAGAGTTTGAGGAAGAGAAGCGACGCCAGGTTGTTTAATAAGCCAAGAATCCGGAGGGCCGAGCTAACATACTCCCCCTATCAGGATCAGCAAGCCAAACAAGGTCGCTCCAGGCGTGGTGCAAATGTCAGTGCGGCGACCACTGCCGATGGCAGAGCGATGCAGCTTCGCGATTATGCACTTAAATCGCTCCTTCCAATCGAGAGCAAACTGAAGGGGGTGTACAGCTCAAAGCAAATGACTACCCGTAATCAAGTAGATGTCCTCATCCGGGAAGCCACGGATCCCACAAACCTGGTTCGTTACAAGCAGTTTGGTGCGGTGCCACCACTAACACTTGCTTCAGGGCATGATGTATGTAGGATGGGCAGCGTGGCTGTAGCTGTGTGACAGATACAATGAGATGGTGGCCTGTTGGAGTACAAATACACTATAGTATACAGGCCGCAACCTAATGAAAGGACTAGACGGCGAGCTCCACTTTACGCCGTTCTACTTCCCTTTGCCTGTCATCCATCAACTGTTTGTACTTCATCACCTTCTCTGTCAACGTCTTCCTCGCCTGATCTAATCTTTCTGCCTCTTCTCGTTCCATAACTTGCGTGAACTCCGGTATCCCGCGCGACATGCTAGCAATGGACTGGGGATTGGCCATATTTGGCGGAACACCTTTCCTCCGGACCTTAGGGAGGGCAACGGGAGGATGCTGCCGTAAAATATCAAAGAATGCCTGTGGCGGTTCGGTAAACACAATTTCGTCGTACTGCCAAGCGTGCACGGAATCTTGCTGTGGCATCGGTGTGGGTGCTGCGGGCTTGGGAAGTCCCGACTCGGGATCCCAGAACGGTTCAGGCATATGCCACTGGTGAATCCGAATGTAATGATTCAATCTTATCGGTTTCTCCTGAGCCTCCGGAATGAAGGTTATTAGAATTTGCACCGAGAACTCTCCCCATCTTGAATACGCTCAGTAATAGTCACCTTGCAGAAAAGGCGATGCGTACCCAGTCTCTGTGACCTCGAAAGGAGGCTTATCCACTGCCCGATTCGGATTCGGATAGGTATCATGCAGCTTAAACGTAACACGCTTGATGAAATAGCTCAAGTCCTCTGCACCTCCCACTTGCTCAGCTCGGCCCTCGACGGACGCTGCACTTCGAACTGCGAGTGTCCATCGGTGGGTATGGTCGGCAGGCGCAGTGGCACGCTCAGTCGCAGTGAGCAGGACGGCAGAGTTGCCGTATATTATTGGCCGGTGTATTTGTATACCCTGCCAATAGTCAGCTGGGTTCAGATCTTACAGAAAGACTGCTCACCTTAACGCGTTCGGTGGACATGGTTGATGTAACGACAGGAGCGTGCACCCTGAACGGTCAAGCGCCCATTATTTCGCGTTGGTGGCGCGTCGGCGATACGTCGGAGATTCTGAGAATTACTGTATTAAGAAATCACGGAGGCTAATTTCAGAGAAGCACGCGGTTGTCTGCCAGAAAGTCGCTCGAGTCAGGGCGCATATTTCGGGGCATCTGTGACTACCACGGCCATCTCCCACAATGGACTCCAGTGAGCTGCAGCAGCTCGTTGTTGATATACTTGAGAAGGAAACTGCGATTCCTGATACCCGCAAACTGGTTATCCCAGGCACGAAGAGGCAAGCTGCCTCTGCGGAGGACCAGAATGCTGTGATTTCTGCCCTGGCGTCCCTTGCTAGTCGGGAGGTGCGCTTCCCAAGATTCGGGCTGTCTCTAAGTGCACTGAGTACTTGTCCTATAGATTGTTACCTATGATCAAAAGGATGCATTCACCTACCTTCTTACCGCCGAAGGTGCCCAAATAGCGCGTGACGGGTCACACGAAGCGCTCGTGTGGGCTGCCGTACCCCCGAAGGATAGCGGCGAGACCATGACCATTAAGCAACTACAAGAAAGCCTTGGACAGGCCGCGAAGATTGGACAGGGAAAGGCCTTCAAAAATGGCTGGGTGGGTAAAGACAGGGATAAGCTGTTCAAGCTTGTCGCGAAAATTGTGGATACCACCAGGGAAGAACTGAATGAAGTCGAGAAGACGGGCACGCTGAAGGGAGGCGAGAAGGCAGTTGCGGAGCTGAGGAAGAGAAAGCTGCTCGATCAAAAGTGTGTGACTTACGCAGGTGGTCAAATATCAACTAAGTTTCCAACAGGAAGTCGCTATGGTGCACAGTGAAGAAGGGACCAGCTTTCACGACCGACCTACGAAAGCCGGAAACTGATCTCACCGCTGAGATGCTTGCTACTGGCTCCTGGAAGGATTCGACCTTCAAGAAGTACAACTTTGATGCTGATGGAACCCCAACTAATGGCGGTGCATTGCATCCTCTCATGAAGGTCCGCGAGGAAGTCAGAGGCATCTTCTTCGAGATGGGGTATGTTCGTCTATACTACCGAAATGCCAAGTGCTTATTTTCCAATAGCTTCGCCGAGATGCCAACAGACGCTTTTGTCGAGTCCTGTTTCTGGAACTTCGACGCACTCTATGTCCCTCAACAACACCCCGCCCGCGAAACGCAAGACACTTTCTACGTGTCCTCTCCCCTTAGAGGACTTTCTCCTCCCAAAGACTACTTAGACAGCGTCGCACAATATCATAGCCGTGGGTCTTCGGATGGCTCATCGCGAGGCTACCAAGCTCCCTTCTCAAAGGAGGAATCACATCGTCTCCTTCTCCGGACGCACACTACCTCTTGTTCAGCACGCATGCTGTACGCGCTTGCGCAGAAGGGCAAGAAGGACGGATTCAAGCCTGCCAAGCTGTTCAGCATCGATCGAGTGTTCAGGAACGAAGCGGTTGATGCAACCCATCTGGCAGAGTTCCACCAAGTTGAGGGTGTGGTAGCGGATAGGGGGCTCACGCTTGGCGACCTGATTGGTATGCCCTTTTATTTCTTTTCGAGACACCAAATTGATATGCCACTTAGGTTTCATGCAAACTTTCTTCGCGAAGATGGGCTTGCCAAATCTACGCTTCAAGCCGGCGTATAATCCATACACAGAGGTCAGTTTGATAGACGATGCCGAGCAAGTATCACGTTCTGATCATATTCCATCTAGCCGTCCCTGGAGATTTTCTGCTGGCACCCTGGATTAGGCAAGTGGGTCGAGATTGGCAATAGCGGGATGTTCCGGCCTGAGATGCTGGAACCCATGGGATTCCCTCCTGATGTACGCGTACACGGTTGGGGCTTGGGTTTGGAGCGTCCAACGATGATCCGGTTCGTTACCTTCATCAGTCTAGACGATGTGTGACTGAGTTGAATGCAAACAGATATGGGATTACGAATATCCGTTCGTTGGTTGGGCACAAGGTGTCTATTGATGGAGTAGAGAAGAGTCCAGCCGTTCGCTTCTAGATCGGGTGTTTGATATGATAATATTGGCAATGGATCCCGTGATGATCCCCTTAGGATGGAGGTCGCGCGAGGCCACACGTTCGAGGGGCTGACGCCTCGCGTGAACGTCCCTCCCTCACCAATTCCGCTCACTGTCGGCTTGACCGCTCGTACACGTAGCCTTACTCATACATTGTTTTCATTTGTCTATTTGTATTGCTCTTGATCAAGTTGCATCTGGTCCTTTCGTCGGTTGACGACCACCTCTTGTTGTGACGTAACTACTGCAAGAACGTCCTGCGCTATGGCACAAGACAGTGCAGTCAAGACGAATGGGAACAGCAACAGCGCACTTGCTGTTCCTTTCCCATCAGCATCAGGCAATGGCGTCCCAAAGTCGCCAGTGCGCTTTCAAGAACCGCTCTTCGAGGCACTCCCACCTCGGGAACGGCCAGGCTTCAGTCGCCAGAATAGTGTAACGAGCGTGAACCAGGAGAACAAGAGGCGTGGAAAGATGTCGATTTGGGGGCTAATATGGCTCACCATATCAATGGCGGGCGCGCAGATTGCGTGGGTGATGGAGCTTGGGTGAGTCCGTTCTGCCGCATGTATGCGTCCGGTGGATTAGGATGCTGAAGTTGGAGTAGATATGGGACGCCGTTCCTCCTTTCCCTGGGTCTGTCCGAACAGTTGACCTCGCTCGTATGGCTTGCCGGTCCCATCAGTGGACTCGTTGCTCAACCTCTCATCGGTGAGAATCTTCATCTGCGAGTTCCCTGTCCTGCAGACGGGCTGATGCGGGCATACAGGGGCCATCTCGGACTCGTCCACCTCCTCTTGGCGTCGCCGCTATTGGATCGTCACTAGCACCATCGCCCTCATTATCAGCACATTAGTCCTAGCATTCTGTGTTGGGATTGCTGAGATTCTTGTCGATATTTTCACTGGAGGAAAGGCACAGGACCCCAATGTTGGGAAGACAGTAAGCTACGTCTCGCAACTTCCATGGTACGGTACTAATGCATCCCATAGATTAAAAACACGGCGATTGCCCTTGCAGTCACATCGTTCTATGTCCTGGACTTTGCTCTCAACGCGCTGCAGGCCTCGCTGCGCAACCTCCTGTTGGACGTCACCCCTGCAGAGCAGCTGACCATCGCCAACGCATGGCACGGCCGGATGACGCATGCGGGGAATATCATCGGCTTTACCCTAGGTGATCCCCCTATCCCCTGAATACGTCACGTCAATGTACTGATATTCTGGCTCGTAGGATTCCTGGACCTCGGCACCTGGCCAGCTCTCGCGTTCCTCGGAGGTGACCAGTTCCGGAAAGTGTGCGTGGTCTCGCTGATTGTGCTTGTCATCACGATCTGGATCACCGTCGCCACTCAAAAAGAGGAAGCACGACAAGAAGAGTTCAAGTTCAGCAGCGGCAGCGAGCTTTGGGACATCGTCAACAACATCTACCGTGCTGTGCTCACACTTCCCAAGCCTGTTCGACGTGTCTGCTATGTCCAGGTGTTCTCATTCATGGGCTGGTTCCCGTTCCTGTTTTACAGCACGACATGGGTTGGTGAAGTGATGGCACAGGAAATAGATGCGGATCCCGATGTGGATACGGCCACCCGGGCTGGAGAGTTAGCAATGTTGTTCTACAGCATCAGTACGCATGCTTCCTCGTCAGTGTAACAGCATGATCTGACTTGTCTGTATAGTGGCTGTTGTGGCCGGTACCTTGCTGCCCTATCTTGCGGCGCGCGACCAACGCCTTCTTGAAGTTGTGAAAGACGAGAGAGAAGATGCCGAGATCGCGCGTATTCGTATCATGGTTCATAGCTGGAAAATCGAAGCGGCGCGCAAGGGCGAGCCTCTCAAGTTGCCCACTATGCCGTTCATGCTACGTAATATCTGGACTGGCGCCCTCCTGCTCTATACGGCAGTCATGATGAGCACGTTCTTTGTCAAGACCGTGTTCCAGGCCACCATAGCCATCACTCTCCTCGGTATTTCATGGGCTGTCGCCTGCTGGGTACCATTCGCCATCATCATGGAATACCTCAAAGAGATGGACGACCAGTCAGAGCGAAATCGGAAGGAGGACTTGAACTCGGCATCTCGTGCCAGCGGACCACGGGATCCCGAATCCGGACTACTGGCGCGTCCTGGACATGCACGGGTCGTATCTACTCCAGCTCGCCTCTACCAACAAGACGAGGCCACGGATCGTACACCGTTGATCCGCCGTCATTCAATAGCGGAACCAGGGCCCCTCAGCGACATGCCAATGGACTACACTAGTTCACAGCCTGCGGCTGGTGGCACTGTACTGGGCATCCACAACCTCGCTATTGTCTTCCCACAGTTTGTTGTGAGTATCGCTGACTGCCGACCGGTCACCCTTGTTATTGAGATACCATTCCTCAGGTTGCGTTGGTTGCCAGCGCCATCTTCAAGGCGGTGGACTCTGTTACTGTAGCACCAGATGACCCAACGGGTGGTGGGTATGTGTATTATGGTAAGAATGGTGTCGCCTGGGTGCTGCGATTTGGAGGTATCTGTGCCTTTGTGAGTCCTTCGTCGATACAATCTGCTTCCTTGTTAACATGGGTTCCAGGTTGCCGCTCTTCTCACACGTCGTGTGCCTCCCACCAAGACTGAGAAGTTGATGCGACGGAGACGCGCGGAGATGAACTTTATTGACACGCCATGAATCCGTTAACTTTACGTTAGGATGACCCGATTCCTTCCAACCGAAGCGATGCTTTCTGCGCCCGGACTGGTCCCTCTGTTGTCCATTGTTTGATATTATATTTTTATGCAATTGTATTTTATTCATGACTGTAGTAAGCATAAAAGTGCGAGATCCATGTCCTCTCCTCTGATATTCGCGATCCCTGAGCAAGGAATCAAGGTGATTCCAGGCTCATGAGTACTTCCTATGGCTTCCAAACCTGTACAAGTGCAATATTGTCAGAGGGGCAGCTCGGCACAAAGATGATTCTTGAGCACGCACACTGTAAGGCGTCATCCTCGATTCTGTAGAATATCCGAACGGAAAGAGAGTCGCGAATGATTTTGAGCACCTCAGGTGGAAAGCACGTCTTCACTTGTCCCTCGGCTGCGTTCGGGTAAGTCGACCCCCACCACTATTCGCGAGACTACCCACCTCCTCTCACGAAAACAGCCGTCGACTTCACTCCATCCGAGGCTTCGAGGTCTGCCCATGTTACAGCAAGCATTCCCACTGTGTGTGATCCGCTCGACACAATCCATGCAAGTGACTTGGCGGTATCATCGTCATCATCGTCATCTGCTTCTTCATTGGGCGTGACACGATTAGTATGAAGTGTCAGCTGCGCTTCGAATCTCGCTTTTCTCGGCAGTTCTTCAACAGCGGCGAATACGACTGGTGGTGATCCGACACCCTGTGATATGAATTAATGACAGAACAACAAATTAGATATGCACAGGCCTTATAATCCAAGTTAGCTTTCCACAAGATGGTAGCCGGACGGAGATCGTCAACGGAAGCGGTCCAGCACACAGCACACAACGCACGTCCGGTCCATCCTCCCCCGCTGGTGTGAAAAGCCTGCACGACACGATCAAGATGCTGAAATGACAACGCCGCCTGCACCAGCAATGACTCATCCGCAAGAGCCATTGTCGGAGGGTTGAGAGCAATCTGTCCGGACACGAATACGCATTCGTCGGCCTGCGACGAGTTAGTACCGTGGAAAGTGTATTCAGAACTTTTCATACTAGAACAGCTTGCGAATATGGCCCAATATTGGCGGGCGCCCAGTAACTTAGCCCTTGAACATGGAGTGCTATACGATGAGGCTTGTTGCACGCGATGATGTCCATCCTTATTCGAACCGGGGAAGGCAAGTCCACACCCACACAAGCTCTCGTCGGAGGGCTCGTACCGAAGTAAGTTGAATAGATCGCGTTGATCGACGTGAATATATCCATCGTAGAAATGAACAGGCTTATTTGTCCTATGTCCGCGAGTGTGAAGCCGTGGTCGTTCAAGTGGTCTGTCCAGAGATCAGCGAGTCAAAAAGACACCAAAATATTGATGCGAACGGTTTATTATTTCAAAACATGCTTGCGCCTCCATATCGAGTGTCAGCTTCTGCTGTTCTGATGGAGTCGACGGCACATATTGTACGTTGCCAATGCTAAGCCATCCTCCCTTGACGCACACGGATGGAAGCCCGGTGAGCAATCTGGGATGAACGCGATGGGCGGAATCAGGCGATGTAGTTGGTTCTCTATATTGCGGCTGAACCGCAGGATCATGTCGAGTGGGTAGGGGTGTCTGGACGAGTACTTGAGCCTCTTCTGAAAGCATTGGTGGTGCCGGTATTTCGACATGCTCCAACTCTTTCGGGAGGAGACGTGCATTCTTGACTCGGAGGTATGCAACTGAAGCGAAATCGGCATCCGAGTGTATAACAGTTTCGGTGTCGGTGCTGAGAATCAGCCCGTGAGATAAATTGGCTTAATCGAAGCGCTCACAGCTCTATTCGATGCCGGAACGATGGGCAGTCGAGTGTCAATGTTTCGTACTCTCCTCCTTCACCGCAGGGATGGGCTCCATACAAACGATGCTGTCACCTAAATATTCAGACTCGACAGCATTCATTCAATACTGTACTTGCCAATTTCAAGAGAGTTGGTTGCATTTCTGCGAGCGACTTTCCCAAATGTTGCGGTGTCAGGCCGATGCCAGCTACTTTGATCAGGATTGCATCCACACCCGATTCCACCATCTCTGCCAGGAGTTCCACTTGACCACGTTGCCAAAGATATGCGAGTGGTGTCAATTGCAAACGTCGGCACCTTTACGATGAAATTAGTGGTATAGTTGGGGTTCGATCGCAAAGCCTTACACATGCTCAACCCTAACCCTTTGATAGGTGGACAGAATGGCACCGACAGAAACTGCCTCAACGTTTGGGAATTGCCTCTTCCTCCGCATAAGGAGCGACGTTTAATCAACAATCCACGTACTTACCTTCACGTGTGTTAACAATTCGAAAAGATCTTCCGTTTCATCGCCGAGCACCCCTTGCTGATCTGCCGAGATTTGGGAGGTGCCAGCTCTCGTGCCGTATTCAGCGCCTTGCTCCACTGCTTGACCTTCAATTGTTCTCCGAACAAGTGGTACTTCAAGCGCTCGAGCCACGAACTCAATAGCGTCCTGCCCCACGGTTTGGTACATGAAAGAGTCTATCTCATCTTCAGAAATTACATGATCACGTAAGTGTTGATCAAAGCCGTTCAGATGGTTGAAGTTCACCTTTACCCTGTGGTGGGGATAACGTTGCAGCGCAAATAAGTTCATGTCCCCATTTCTGGCAATGTGCAATGTTGTAACAGCTGTCCTTGCCACCACTAAGCAGGGCAACAAACTTCATAGTCAGGAGAAAGAGAGGCGCGGAAGCAACTTGAATGAGTGCTTCCTCCACTTACGGCTGAAATGTACGTTATTTGTGATTCATAGAAGTCATGATAAGAGCACCAGGTAATGCAACAATACTAAGGAGGGACAGATGCAGGCATGTTTGAATACGAGGGGAATGCGTCGCTGTCCGGAGCGTTGCTGCGGAGAAGGGTATATGAAACAGGACATGTTCGTCACATCCAACGGAATTAAACAAATATCTTACAATCAACTCTGTAGAATCCTTTATCTCCATGCTGTTTTGCTCTTCATCGCACCGCTTTCTGCGGAAGGATTGAAATCCATGCTGATCGACATTGGGAAAGGTCTGATAGGCGCCTTGAACAGCCCGCGAGTACTTGCGGAAACCATCATACTGCCGCTGATACTGGAGGTGCGGCGGCCCTTTTTCATAGGCGATCGACGTGCGGCGTCTTCGCCGGTGACCATGACACGCTTTGCTGCTCCCCCGAGTACGGAAGCTCTCGGTGCGGGTGCATCGACAGAGTCATGCATACTCGGCGGCTGGGGAATAAGACTGCTGCGACGCTTTGTCTTCTGCATGCGTATCGGTCCGATGTTTGACATACGCCGCACCTTAGTCGCTGATAGGGGTGCTATCATCAATTTGTTTCCCTTGGGAGGAGGGCTTGAAGGCTCCCTGGGTTTGTACGTGTCGTTTGAAGTGATGGATGATTCATCCGATTCCTCAGGCGATGGCAGATTGACCCGCTCAGCGAGAGGAAGGGTTTTCCTGTCGGACTTCTTGGGAATAACCACCCGGAACTGGTTCTCGATGTCTTCATCTTCTTCGCCCAGGCTCTCAAGACGCCTTGCACCCGCAGCTTGCGACTTCAGGTAGCCTGGATCGAATCTGCTGCTGCGGGGCCGGCGTGGGGCTGGGAGAGTGAACGATGTTTCCTTGGCAATCGAGATCGAGTCATCCGTCTTCTCATCCTCCCACTCTGCCTCAGAGCTAGACGATGATCGCTTCTGAGAGAGTATGCTGTCGTTGGCAGGAGGAGCAGCGCCCCCTTTGCCCGCATCGTCGATACTACCTTCACCCGCTTCATCGGCCCATCGAAGGCTCTTCTTCTCTACTGGAGGTTTCTTGTTCACCAAAGGGGCTAGCCGGGGCATCGAAGCTGAGGTAGTGACGCTCTGGCGGCGGAGGGACTTACGCGGCGACCGAATTGCGGAAAGACGACGGCCGGGTGACTTGTGTGTGTCGGATGGCATAAGTGATGTGCGCTTGCGAGGTGGAACGGCCGCATTCTTGTTGGGGAATGTCTGCGTGGGGAAGCTGGAAATCGTATCAAACATAGACACGTTGAAGTTGAAAGTCGGGACAGGCGTTTCTTCAGTGCCGAGAACAGCCATCATAGACGCGTGCGAGGTCTCCGCAGCGTTCATCAACATAACTCGCACGCTCTCATCTTCTGTCTTAGAGCCCTCACGCAGTGCGCTTGTGCACTGTGCAAGCACGCCCATCATCTGGGTTATGATCTTGCTCTGCTGTTCGAGCGCGGTCTTGAGCGCATTCTCGCGAGCCGAAACACGCGCAACTTCTGTCTCCACCCGTTGTACCGAGGACAAGAGCTTAATATTCTCCACCGACGTCTCGTCGAGATTGGAAGAACGGCGCTCTGAGACGGCACGAAAGGTGGCCTCGAGCATGGAACGCGCGTTCTCAGAGCGCTGGACAGACTGAGCGGACGCTGGCGATTGCAAGAACCTCTGGTGAGGTGCTGCCATGGCGATGAGGTAGTCGCGCTCGGCCTGGAGGTTGGCGGGAAGCTCGCCTCGGGCGGATTCTGCCTCCAGGTGGATCAGGCGAGGGCGGATAGTGCGCAGGACGATGTCAGCCGCGTCCCTGGTCGCCTCGTGCGAAGCACCGTCGCAGATAACGGGCCTTGCCTGCTCGGCTCTGGAAACCATATCCTGCTTTGCCTTGTCTGCATCAGCCTTTGCGTCGGCCTTCCTGCGCTTGTCGACCTCGTTCTCGGTACTGAGCTTGCCAGCGAGCTTGGCCTTGAGCTCGGCAACCTCGGTGTTGAGCCGCTGAATAGCTTCGACGTACTGCGCAACATGACGGTCCACGTTGATCAGGTTCTTCGATACCTTGGTCTTAATCTCCTTAGCGCGATTCGCGTACTTCAGCGTGTTCTGAGTGTCATCATAATGCTGCGAAGTTGGTGCAACGCAGACGATCATGACGGTTTTGCAGTTTCCCCCGAGGGAGAACTTGAGCAAGCGGGTTAGCTTGCTGTTCCTGTATGGAATATGCCGCGTGCGTCCGCCTGACTCGCACAGTGCGTTGATACAGTTGCCGAGCGCGAGCAGGGATTTGTTAATATTGGCACCTTCGATCATCCGTTCGCCCATGTTCTTCGTCGCACTTGCACGCTCGGAACCGGCCAAGTCGATGATAGACAAAGTTGCAACAACACGCGTCTCAGTTGTGCTGGCGGTACGTGGGGACTGGGTGACGTTGACCTGCAAGACAGCATGCGAGCGGGAAGAAGTCTCATTCGCATGGGTGGGGGACTGCGTCCTACGGGCATTTCCAATCTGCACAATCTCTTGCACTTCCTCTGCCGTCGTCGGGCGCATCTCAATCAAGTTCGCGACAGTGACACGGTTGGTCTTGTCCTCGCGCAACTGCAGGCCGCCTCGGGGAGCAGGAACGGCTCCGTCCGTGAGGAGGTCACGGATGTTCTCGTTGTAAATCTCCAGGTAACTGACAGAGAGCTCGACAATCGTCTCGTCCTTGATTTCTTCAATTCGGTTGAACAGTTCGTTCATGGTGCGGTAGATCACGCCTTGGTCAAGGTCCGAACCACTGATAGTATGCGTCTTGCCGCAGCCAGTAGCCTTGGGCAATCGTCAGCCTTCACCAAAGACGCGTGCATGAGCGAACCCACCCCATAAGCAAAAACAGTGGCATTATATCCGTTGAAGATTCCATCCAGCAAGCTCTTGGTCGTATGTTCGAACACCTCTTGCTGACCAGCCCGCTCATCAAACACTCTGTCAAACTTGTACCTCTGGTCTTTGAATCGTCTCGTGCCAGGAGCCAAGAATCCTCCTTTGGCTAGTGTCCTGGGGGCGTCATCGTCTGGTGGGTCGAAGACGAGGACTTGATCGTCCATGCATTTGACGATATGACGGAGGGTCTTGCCTGTTGAGAGCTTGCGCGGTGTGGCCAAGTTCCCACCACCAAGGAAGGGCATGGTCAGGGAAAGGTCGTCATATCCTTGTAGGCGTTCTTGCTCCCATGATGTGGGGGGTCGGATGCGAACTAGAGGGCGTCATTCTCAATTAGGGCATATGTTGAGGAATCGTACCTGCAACCGTGATGGACGCTGCTTCAGACATGGTTGCAAGGAATGAGAGAATATAAACACAGCCAGAAGCCAAATATGATATCTAGGGAGCGCCCCCCCGCTGGTAAGAATGTCGTTATTTAACGCTGTTGATGCGAAGTAGATGGATGGTCGGTGTCGGTGTCGGCGTCGAGGTGGGTGGTGGGAAGAACAACGGCGACGAGGGACCGTTGGACGGTGACCATCGCTTCTCTTCTCAACTCGACGCGTCGCCTGAAGGTCACGTGAAGGAAATCAACGCCACCAGTTTGTCTCCGGGTAATGCCACGTTTCACGCGCTCACGGAAGATCCGTCGGCTCCGCGTTTGGTCACCTGCACCAGCGACGAGCGCGTCGTTCATGCATGTCACTTTGGCGATGACGACCGACCCGCACTTACGCGAGCAGTACGACCAGCTCAGCCTACGAGAACGCCTGCTCATCTCTCAGGCGGTGTATGAGCTGGGTGTGGGCGACCTGAATGCTGTGGCCAAGCTGGTTAGGGATCATCCGCTTGTCAACCGGCCGGAGTTCTTCACCCCCGAAGCGTGCGGGACGTACTATGCCCAGTTGATGGTTGATCTGGGAGAGGATACGTGCGTGTTTTCATTTCATACGAGGTGCATATGCTAATGCTACATCAAGTGCAGATGTGAAGAATCCGGTAACGGCTGTACACGGTCTCTGCCCCCGCTCTATCTCTGGCCTTTACTGACAATCTCACCAGCACCAATCCACCTCAAACTCGCCCGAAAGCTCTGGACTGCCCGTGTGGCAGAATTACGCACGCAAATCCATCAAAAGGAGGAAGACTTCCACAGGCTGTTTCAGGAGATAGAAGATATCCGTGCTGGCAAATGGGATGAGAGGATCGTCAGTGAGCTGAGGGAGAAGGGGAAGTTAACTGCCGCGGGGGATGATGAACTTGCAGCGGAGAAAGAGGATGCACAGGAGCAGCCAGAGGTCCAGCTTGATACTATGGTCAAGGAACATGACGAAGAGCCAGAAGCTGCGGTCGAAGAACCGGTCGTCCATCTGGAGGAAGATGTCGAAATGGCCGATATGACCGCCGAAGAAGCTGCTGAAGAGTTTGCAGAAGCTGAGGCTGAGGCTGAGCCAGAGCGCGAAGCTGAACCGGAAGCTGAAACAGAAGCAGAAGCGGACGTAGAAGCAGAAGCAGAAACTGAAGCACCCGAAGAACCACACACAGCGGAAGAAGTGGACATGGGTGAACCTGAAGAGATGCCGACCGAGGAAGCCGAACCTGAAGTGGAGGAAGAAGCTGCTGGGCTTCGTGAGGAGAGCTCCCCGGCTGAAGAGACGCCGTTGCTGGAGGCTAGCGAGCCTGAGCCTGAACCTGAACCTGAACCTGCGGAACCCGACCATGAAACTGAACCTGAACCGGAGCCGGAGCCGGAGCCATCGCATCCTCGTCGACGTGGACGTGAGTGTGCTGTAACGTTTCATATGACTCATAAAACTTATGCCTGGTTGGGACAGTCCGCTCACGAAAATCGACGCCCGCACCCGGATTGTTCACCGTCGGTTCACCTAGGACACGTCCCCATGATCGTGTTTCACCCTTTCATGAAGAAGATATCGCCGTTCGCGCATCCCATGAGACGGAGCAGGATGGCTCTCCTCCAAACGCGGAGGAGGCCGAAACTGGTGCCTCGGTTGCCGACGAGACACGCTCAGAACGAGAGAAGAGCGTGAAGCGCGAATCGACGGTAGAGATGGATACGGAGCCTTCGCTCCCTTCACAGCGGCGCTCCCGAAGCGGACGGTTCAGCAAACGCAAGGTTTCGGAGAGTGGCCTGGGATCCCCTGTAGAGATCGAGCTCGAGCCACCTGCAAAACGCAGGCGGAAGAGGAGCGAGTCCTTCGCCAGCACAGTGGAAAAGTCTTCCCCAGCCCCTGTTGTGCCCCTCCCCCCGCAAGCGCCGATGACCCCCGGACAAGCAAGTGCGAACCTAAAGCGGTTCCAGGCGATGATTGGCCCTTTGCTGACGCAGATCATGGCCCATCGGAACGGGAACGTGTTCAACAACCCTGTTACGGAGAGCGACGCGCCCGGGTACAGGGAAACAGTCAGGCGGCCCATGGACTTGAAGACGATCAAAGCGCGTATCCGGGATGGTCAAATAACCAACTCGCAAGAGTTTCGGAGGGATGTCTACCTCATGTTTGCCAATGCGCTGATGTTTAACCCCCCTGGGTCGGATGTTGCGAAAATGGCGAGGGAGGTGCGTGGTGCTTTTCTTGAAGGTGCTAAGGCTTACTTGGGTGGTGTAGATGATGAAATTTAGTGACGGTGTGATCAGGGACTTTCTTATGACGGAGGAGCTTGTTGGGATTAGTATCTGAGTATTGGTAATTGTGGTCATCTCCATTTGTATTGTAGTGTTCAATGTACGCGTTGTCCCAGGTGGAAGGTGCCAGTTGACTGCGGATGTGAGGCTGTGCCAATATGCGGAATCAAACTGCGGAATCAAAGTCCATAAGGAGTGAAATGAGCCGACACATCAGACAGAGGAGAACTGCTCTTGCTCATCACTGACAACCGTATCACACTTGATCTCCTCCTCGACCTTTTCTCTCTTCTCAACGTCCATATCTTTCTCCTCATCGTCAACAACAATGCCGAGGTATAATCCTCTACCACCAGACAACCAATTCGACCTTGGAGACGTTTCAGACTCGGACAGCGATAACGATAACCCCAATCCCCGTAGGCACAACAGGCCTGCGGCAGCGTCCGACGCTCGTCCATCCAGCCCCGTACACCATCCTCTCCTTTCCTCTTCTCCCACATCACCTAACTCTCCTAGTACACCACCTGCACGCCTCTCTGCATCGCCAGCAGCATCAGGTAGCCAGCCCCTGACCGTCCGAACATCCCCGAATGACACCGAAGTCCTCTTCGCTGCTCCTGGAGAAGGGGAGGAGGCAGACGACAGCTACATGCAGCCTCCTCCCACACCCCCGGGCGGATTCTTTTACCCTCCTCCTCCAGGATCTCCTCCCACCGTGAGCGGGAACTCGAACGGTGTCCCCATCTCAGCCAACTTTCACGCTCCTTCACCCCCACGCCCAAGCGTCCTTAGCCGCGCCCTCGGAGCCATCATCCCCACCCACTATCAGCCGCTTAGCATGCGCATCGTCCACCCGCAGGGCGGGGGGATGCGTAACGACGGTGTCTTTGGAAACATGTCTGCCAAGCCTGACCAACAAGGTGCGGGAATGCGCAGGGGCCTCAACGAGGAGGGCGAGAACCCGGACTGGGTGCCAGAGATTGCGAGCAACCAGGCACCCCCGAGCTACCTCTCTGCCCAAGCCGACGCCGTTCCACCGTATTACGAAGCCTCGCTCGGTGCTGGCGGACCCGGTTTCTCTGGCGCGATCTCCCCTGGCGCTTCTCTGTTGATTGACAACCTCCCACCCGGATCTCTCTTTTCATTCCTTTGGAACCTTCTCGTCTCTCTTTCCTTCCAGTTTGTCGGTTTCCTTCTTACTTACCTCCTCCACACTTCCCACGCGGCCAAACAAGGTTCTCGCGCAGGCTTGGGTATCACACTCATCCAATACGGCTTTTATCTGCGTCAGCGCGCAGAGACGCTCTCCCATGGCACGATGGACGCGAACGGTATGTGGCATTTCCCTGGGGACGAGGTGCCTCCCCCAGCGGATCCAACTCCTTCATTCTCTACGGCCGCAGAGGCAGATGCCTTCTACAAGATGCACAACGACACTTTACCCTCTACCCCCGCCTCGCTCCCCATGGGCGACGGCATGGGCATGGGTGGGAGCATGATCGGTTCCACAACCAACACCGCCTTCCCCCACCAGCTTAGCGTGGCAAACGAATGGCTCTCATTCTTCCTCATGACTATCGGCTGGTTCGTCCTCCTGACCTCTATCCTCTCTTACTGGCGTGTCAAGCGCTGGGAACGGAACGTCCGCCGACAAGCCGAGGAGCGCGCAAGGGAGGAAGCTGCTGCCCTCGAGTCTGTCGAAGGGGGTCCAACGACCCCAGCCGCTACACCGACAACCGAACGCCGCCCTGTGCACGTAGAAGCCGCCCGTAGGATCCGCGAGTTCGTCGGGCGCGTGAGGATGCCTATGGGCGCGCGAGTCCAGGGCAGAGCCAGCGTTGGGCGAAGCTGGTTCAGACGGCCTGGAGAGACGAGAGGCGAAGGTGAAGAAGCTCACAGGCTCGAAGCGGTCGACTAAGCTGCCCTATACGCGCTTGACCTCATCTTACACTCTCCCGCTCTGATAGCAGCACGTCCGGACGCTTTGTGATCTCCTGTTATGTATTGCAGCCTCGGGACTTCGCCCAGCTGGCGGGTCAAAGGCGAAAAGTGTACGTTAGACTGGTTACGCATGTTGGTGGTCGGAAATACCCAGATTAGTACATCGGATGCTGTGTGTGCGTGTCCCCGAATTGATGCAATGCAATGACAAAGGAAGGTCTATTATAAGTAAAAGTACAAGAACAGCGCTTTGCTGCATGATACACTTCTTCAACTTCGTACATGACTGAGTAAAAGGCGGATGCATTCAGTTTTTTCCGGCTATTCTTACCCAGGTCACCTGGTCCAACATGATGATCCCTGCCCACCCGAGAGCAGATCCCACACAAAGAGAGACTCACAGCAACATGGATAAACGCTAGCCTGTTCCGTTCTTCCCTGTAAATTAGGGATGATGCTGAGCGTGAGGTTGTGGGCCAGCGATCTGCATTCTCATGTCACGATGACGCTTGGCGGATTGGCTTGTGCTAATCGTGGGCATGATACCGGAGGTACATAAGAACCACACAGGAGAGAAAGATGAGCCGACAGATTTCCCCTTTGCCGGCATACTGCACATAAGCCTCGCACACACATCACAAGTAGGTATGCACGACAACGTCCTGCACTTGCACACCAAGCAGCCCAGCACGAGCGGGATGCCTACGCCGTCCGCTTCTGCCAATGGGACGAACGGCCATGCGGAGCAGACGATGAAAGCCGCTGTCTGGGTCGAGCCGTACAAGATTGTGGTTGAGCAGCGACCGGTGCCCAAGATCCTGCACCCGTGCGACGTCATTATGAAAGTGACGACGACAGCGATTTGCGGGTCGGACTTGCACGTGTATGAAGGAAGGTTGCCGGTCGGGAGCGGACTTGTTATGGGTCACGAAAATATGGGGATTGTGGAGGAGGTCGGGGCGGGTGTAGTGCGTCGGCCCTCTTGCTCCTTTAAACACATGACTGATGATCAATCCAGTCCATGTTGAAGAAAGGCGACCGCATCGTAGTACCATTCAACGTCTCCTGCGGCCACTGCCGAAACTGCAACTTCGGACGCACCGGCTACTGCACGGAAGTGACCGAGGGCTACGCCGGCGGTGCGTACGGACTCGGCATCGGGCCATACGATGGTGGGCAGGCACAGTACCTCCGTGTACCTTGGGCAGACTTCAACGCTCTCCTCCTGCCTCCGGGGAAGGAGCATGAGGATGACTTCGTGCTGCTGTCGGATATCTTCCCGACGGGTTGGCATGGGCTGAGCTTGTCGGGCTTCCAACCGTGCGTCTAGCATCTCCATACAGTGTCATTGCTGATCGAGAATAGAGGCGATACAGTAGCAGTATGGGGCGCCGGACCTGTCGGTCTCATGGCAGCATATTCTGCTCTCCTGCGAGGCGCAAGCTCAGTCTATGTTGTCGACCGTGTCTCTGACCGACTTGCGAAGGCCAAGAAACTGGGATGCATCCCGGTCGATTTCTCCAAAGGGGATGCTGTTGACCAGATTATCGCACAGAACGGGGGGATGGTGGACCGGGCCATTGACTGCGTTGGATTCCAGGCTGTGAGCCAGGACGGCAAGACCGAAAGGCCGAACGCGATCATCGATTCCCTTGCTCGGGTGGTGCGGCCTTGTGGAGGGCTCGGTATACCGGGGGTGTACACCGCATTCGATCCTGGGGCGAAGGACGAGGCTGCGGCGAAGGGGAATATCCTCGTTCCATTTGGGTTGATGTTCGGGAAGGGCTTGACACTCGGCACCGGACCGTGCAACGTCAAGCAGTATAATGCCCAGTTGAGAGATCTGATCATCTCCGGAAGGGCGAAGCCGTCGTTTGTGATATCGAAGACGGTGGATATTGAGGAGACGGCAGATGCATACGAAAAGTTTACGAAGCGCGTTGAGGGGTATACCAAGGTGATCATACATCCAAACGGGTGGTGAGCGGAGTTTGTAGAATATACTTATGTGGGTTGTATGGGATGTCCGGGGAGTGTATCTGCTCCAACACGTAAACATCACTTCGAGAACTTTGCATTCGGTTCTGCATACGCACACAATAGAGACGTTCTACCGCTCAATTCTTCAATTGCCGACCTTCATCATCTTCCCACCTTTCTCATCCTCCCCTTCAAAGGATGCCACTTCTGATTGTCCTTGCAGCTCACTCAACCCTCCATAGACACAGTATACGTAGTCCGCTTGACCAATAGCGCCAGACTGAGTCTGATAAGCGACCAAGAGTTCACATCGCGGGCAATTGAAACGGTACTGTAATTCAAGTCCACCAGGTCTGTAACAATGTCAGCCTTGTAGTATGTGTGAAATACCAGTAGCCACCTTTTGACAAACACTCTCCCACCGTCGTTCACGTTGAACTTGAAGATCGGTGCGTCTGCACCCTTCGCCCGCACCACGTATGCATCGTCTGTCTTCCTTTGAGGAAACAGCGAGAGGCGTTTGTCGGATACCAGCTGGGTTACTAGTTAGTGTAGGATAGTTTGTATCCTGGGTATACTGACGATGAACTCCCCGCACAGGCAGTAGTAAACCCTCAATGGACGACCTTCTGATGCAGCCGCGCCTGTATGTTGATCAGACATCCGCTCTTTGGCACGAACAATTTACTAACCGAGAGAACTTGAAACCGCAGATCTACTTACAACCTTAGGCATGATGTCCAATGTGCTATTATTGAGTGAGCAACGTGAGGAGGAGAATGAATCAAGTTCAAAATGCGACGAGCAAGGGTTTGACTGTCCAAAGCGCAGGTCAACATTAGACTTGATCTAAAATATTCAATTCGAATGTAATATTAATGTTTCTCATCCATGAATAAACAGTTTGTGAATTCTCTTGGAAATTAGTTTGATATAAAAACAAGCAAGAAAAGAGTTTCAGTATTGATCTCGGGTTGAAGCAAGCCCGAAAGGCGATGGACTTTTACACTGTTCCAATCATTTACACACTCTAGCTAGCAGCTTACACTGAGCAATTTCTTTTGTTATATGAATGCTGAGATGTTGTTGTGCGAATTTGTTCTGATTATCAACTTGGACATGTCGATGAGATGCCCGCGCAATTGTCGCGTCGCGTCCTTTTCGTCGCGTCCTCCTCGACCTCTTCCACGATGGACAACGACTACTGGTCATTCGAGTCCTGCCTATCTGAACAACAGAAGATCCCATGTACACTGAAGCTCGAAGTTGGAAATCATGGCAATCTACTGGGTGCTAGTGAATCGGACGCAGGTGCCATCATACAACTTTGGTGCAGGCGGTTGACTTGAGCGGTAGTTGCACGTCGGTGGGAAAGTTAGCATTCCGATGTGGCTTGCACCTACTCTGATTCTGAAGTGAGCACTGCTCTACTTAGCATCATGTTTGTGCTTATTACTACCTAGTGACTGGCTCGACTTCAACATCCCGCCTCCTTTTATGCAGCGAGTGAAGCGGGCGCTGAACGCGGATGCGCGAAGCGTACGACTCTCAGCGCTAGTGGGGAACGGAGGAGAGTGGTACGGGTTTGGCAAACTGGTGGCCGATATGTGAGTCCTCTTTTTCAATAAGCGGTCTGTACATGAATGGGTATATATAGTCTCGAGGAATCCCAGGCGAAAGAGCTGCAAGGAGTGCTGCTCACGACATTCAAAGAGCGCTTTGTAGACCTCATGGACCAAGCCCAGCATTTCGGCAGCCTGCCAGGTTCTGCAGCGGATAACATGGGTGACAGAGGATCAGACTTCAGAGAAGGGTTAGAGATGACAGAACGAGAGTGTGCGTCCTCAAGTCGAGCACCCCCTGTCTACGCTCATTTCTACCCAGTGTTTCTGCTTGGGCAGGAAAGTGCGAAAGCTGTACGACTATGGTATGAGAGTACGGACCGGAAGGAGCACTGAAGTACATACCCGCATCAATGTTATATTATATCTCTTTCGACATCTATTGATCTTTCTTGCTCTCTCCGCCTTCTGCTTCTACATGTGGTGATGATGCCGGTTCCTCCGTCCTCGCTAACTCAGCAACGAAACTGTAGACCACTCAGCATCATGAACTGATTCAGAAATAACATGCGTACAACTTGACGCTTGCCCATAACCCAATATCGATCGCCATCAGTGCGAGGAAATGCAGGCTCCAAGTAAGGCACAACAGGGATAAGAAGATGAAGAGCAGAAAGCCGAGCACTACATCCAGTGCGAGCAGGAACTGGGGTCGTAGTGACGATCCAGGTGTAAGTATGTCCGCAAAGAATGATACGATGTCGTTCGTGGTGTCGCCAGGTTCGTTTGCCGTATTTTCTGGTGTGGTGGTGGACATGGTGGAAAGGTAGAAAGGAAAGAAGCGCCCGTGAGTGGCTGTATCCTCCTGGTTGACCTCTGCACAATACAAGTACTTGCGGCTTGGTCTCTACCATGCCCTACGAAAACCGAAATGCCTACTATCTACGAATATCCCCTTATACCGTTCTGCCCATGTATTTATACCTCGACGAACGGCACACATCCTGGATGACGGACACGACCCTCCAGTTCGTGCTGGAAGATCTTCGACATCGGTTTGTCCCTCTGCCAGGTTGGATGAGCCTAGCTGAACTCACGACTTCAGGATAGGCCCGAAGCTGAGGGATGAGAGCGGTACTATCATGAATGCTTCTGCTGCGAATAAGACCAAGCCGAGTGTGGATGTCCATCGAGGGAGTGAGTCATCCCTTCCCAACTTCGGGTCGACATTGACAGGCTGCAGCCACGTATCAATTCGCGTACTTTCTAAGGAAGGCAGATCCACATACTTTGCTCGTCAAGGTAAACGTTCTCAGATCTGGATCATGTGTCTAATACCATATAGCGACGTGATTTCGTCCTGCGACCATCAGCATTCGGAGTGAAGAAAGAAGAGTCTCAATCCCCCGAGCCTCCACCTGTTCGCGGCAAAAAGAGAGGAAAGACAAAACCCACTCCGAAGAAATCCGGTTCAATAGAAACGAATGGCAAGGGAAAGAAGAGGAAGAGAGGTGAACAAGCTGCGCTGGAACGGGATGGTCCTGAACCGAGCGAGGAGGATGCGACGTTACCGCCCAGACGATCAGGCAGGACGAGGGCACAAGTGTCATATACCGAAGACGAAGATGAGGTGGACAGAGAAGACGACGAGGGTGAGGACAACAGAGGGGCACAAGAGGCCGAGGAAGACGATTTCGAGCTTGATGAAGAAGACACTGCAGACGCTGCACCTGAGCCGTTGTTCCGACCATCAACACCTCCCCGCCCTCCTTCGGAGCCCGAAGTCAAGCCGGAGCCGGCTGACCCCTCCTTGAACGGGTCTATACCACCCACACCGACAGACAATAGCGTGATCGACTTCTCCATGGACCCGGACGAAGAGGAGGAGAACAAGCCCAAGCCGGAGCTACAACTGTCCTATCAAGGGTTTTCGATCTTCGGTTGTGCCCTCTGCGTTATCGTAGAGCCTTACCCTCCAATTCGGTACAGCGTGGTGCCGCAGCCAAGAGCAAGGCAGACGAGCTTGCCCGTCTCCTGGGCCAGCAGCAGGAGCGCGAGCATGGAGCCCGTCGGTACTGGAGAGAGCAGAGGGACGACCCCGCTTTTCCGCGCTGAGACGCCTTTCGATGATCAGAGGTTCGCGGCTGGCACGCCTGCGGTAGATAGAGAAGAGACTCCTCTGTTCAGATTGGAGACTGCAGAGCCGGAAATGCGTGGACATCGGTTTGCTGCTGGCCGCCCTGATGGAGATAGAGAACAGACGCCGCTCTTCCGCTTCGAGACGCCCGAACCGGAGATGATGCGAGGTGCGAGCCTTGCCCCCTCTTTGCGCAGCCCGTCGCCCTTTGTCAATGGCGAAGATGAGCCGATGGACGAGGACGGGAGCACAATCATGGAGTTCTCGCAGGTGCTCAGCAGTGCTGGCGCAGGCAGGTTTGGTGGGAGGGATGATGGGGACGAAGGTGGGGAGGGATTCTATGGCGATGCGGATGAAGGAAGTGGGAATATGTGAGATTAGATTGTTGTGCAATATTCTGTAGCAATAATAATACATTGTGTTCACTTCCCCCATCTCGTGCCGCGCTCGCTAGTAGGCGCGGCCAATCTCGCGCAAGATCTCCAAACGCCGGGCCTCATTGACCGTTCTAAATCCATCTGCAGCCATCTCAAATGACGCCTGTCCTCCAGAGAGCGCTCTCAGCCGGCTATTATAGTCCAGAAGCTTGCTGAGCGGTGCCACAGCTTGGACAGTTCGTTTCATCCTAATCGTCCCCTGACCATCTTCACTAGGCATCGCCGAAGGGGTAAGGATTGCAGGAGGGACGTAGATCCCCTCGGTCGGGTAAGTGTCTTCAGCCTCGGCATTCGCACCCAGCTCCTGCACTTCTCCGCCTTTTTCTCCAAAGTCTTTCACTATCTTCCCTACATCCTCCTCGCATACATGCACCGTCACAGCCATATATGGCTCTCTGATCTCTCCTCGCCCAGCGTCCTTCAGCACTTTGCGCAGGGCGAAGGACGCCGCAGAGGCAGCAACAGACGGCGGGGAACCATAGTCGAGTTTAACGCTCTCGAGGGTGATATGCAGCCCTATGACTGGGAGAGAAGAATGAGGCGAGCCGGTAAGCGCAGTCTGGATTCCTTGGGCGACATGGAACAGCGGGTCGAGACTGGAACTCTCATGCGCAGGTGGGGCGAGCGGCTCATTGTTGTATACCACAGCATTGCCCGTCCACTGTGGGTCGTCTTTCTCTCCTTCCTGCTCTTTCAAACTGCGCACGTTCAACACCACCAATGCGCCCACTCGCTTCCCTCCTGCATCTCGCTGCCAGTGCTCCTCCACCCTTCGCGGCTCGAGGCCGAAGAAGCCCTCGCGGTAGCTCACCCTCCTCCGCCCGAACGCGCATGCGACACCCCACTCGTCCCGTAACCTTGACTCCACGATTTCGAGATGCAGCGCCCCAAGACCATGCACGAGCGTCTGTGCCTCCTCTTCATCTTCTGATATTCGCACGCTCGGGTCGGTGCGCGAGAGTGACGCCAGCGCCTCCAGCACCGGGAACGTGTCGTTTCTCGTGGCAGGGACGACGCTAGCCGAGATCACCGAGGGAGGAGGGGTGATGGCGCGCAGAGGCGCCCGAGTCCGGAGATTTGAGACCAGTGTGTCGCCCGTGCGGGTATGCTTGAGTCCGAGTACGACGCCAATCGAACCGAAGGGCAGGTTGTCAACCTCCACGGACTGGTCGGCGTAGATCAACATCAGCTTCGCCACGCGCTCCTTCTCTCCTGTAGTCGTATTCCAAAGCGTGGCGCCTCGAGTCAGCGTACCCGAGTATACGCGGACGAACGTCATCCACCCTTTCATCTTATCCCACCCGACCTTCCAAGCCATCACTTTGACCTCCTCTCGCGCCGCCTTCGTCAGCGCTTCCCCCCCCTTCTCTCGCTCCCTCTTTTCTTCCTTTTGTTCGACATCCACGGGACTTGCAAGCAGCTCGCCAACAAAGTTCATCAGCATTTGCGTGCCGATATGCTTCCATGCGCTTCCAGCAAGCACGGGAAGCACCTCTTCCCGGAGGACAGCGCTCCTCAGTGCGGGCATGATACTGCTCCCAGGGATGCGAAGGTACGGCGAAACAGGGTCTGAGTCGTCGGAGAGGCGCATCAGTTCATCCATGAGCGGTTCGCTCCCGTCAACAAGGCTCTCGATGAGTTTTGTCCGCGCAGGGAGGATCTCTTGCAGCAAGGGATGCTCAGGATCCTCGAACGGCGCCTGTACTTGTCCTTTGCTCAACAGGGCCGGGTCCAGCGTTATCTGGTGGGCGTTACCCGCTTCAGTGTCGGGGGTGTCCCAGTACCACGCTTCGAGGGATACGAGGTCTACAAGCCCTGTAATTCCTGGCTCGGCGAGCTGGTAGTGTTGAGAAGAGGCAGAAGCGAGAGGGAGAGAGACCAGTAGCGGTGTTCGGTGTAGCCGGTGCTCAAGCAGGGAGAGGAGGGAACCGCGGAGAGATGCACCAACCCGGTCGAGCTTGTTGAGGAACACCAAGCGTGTAGCAACGCCATTCCTACCCATTGCGTTAATTTCCCATTCATGGTAAATGGCCCGGGAAGTATGAACACACCTGTCCAGCTGTGCCCAAACGCCTTTAGTCTGTCCCTCAACCCCCTCAACGGCATCGATCAACACGACAGCTCCATCTACAACACTGCTCGCACTCTCAACCTCCATGCCAAAGTCCGCATGCCCCGGTGTGTCAACAAGGTTAAAACTCCATCCTTTCCACCGAACCGGAATACTCGCGCTCTGGATAGTGATCCCGCGCTCTCGCTCAGCGGGAAGGAAGTCCGTCGTCGTACTTCCTGTATCTACCGTTCCAGGAGCAGCGAGATGTCCAGAAGCATGCAGGATCGACTCTGTAAGCGTCGTTTTGCCAGAATCGATATGCGCGAGGAGTGCGATGTTCCGGATGAGCCAAGGGTCGGACTGGTCATGGTTGGGCGCTGTTGCTAGACTGCGGTAGAGCAGACGGGTATGGCGTCGGCATGAGTACGTTCGTAGTAGAGCTCGAAAGGACATTCAGCAAGGACATTCAGTGAGTTGAAGAAAAGAAAAGAAAAGACTTGGGGTGCAATATTTCCACTTTGAAGTTGCCGGCAAGAATGAAATTCAACTTCACGGGACCCTGACAATAAGAAATTTCATTGTACACTCGTGAAAAATACATTATTGCATTCTTGTACAAATATTGTATTGGTCAAGTCAAGAAGATTGCAAGATTCATGCCCCATTGACTGCAGCTTCCTCCTTGGCCTCCTTTTCCGCCTCTTCCTTCGCCTCCTTCTCTTCTTGCTCTACGACCTCCACGTCCAGGGGGAATGTCAATATCGCCGCTACTCCTGTGAGCTGGTTCAACTCTGTGCTTCGGTCAAGAAAGGTACAACCAGTGCAGAGTCAGACGTACGCTGTCCACTCTCATGCATACTGGAGAAGATCAGAGCTTCCCCTCCGCCCTGTCGAACCCTCTCCACCAGCTCGACATACTTCTTCCGCTCTTTCAAGTCGTTGCTCCTAAACAGCTCGTCGCTGATCAACAACGTCCCCACAGCCCCACGTTCCGCTGCTAGCCGGACATGCTCAGGCCCGTACCAAGCGCGCATCTCGTCATTTGCGAGCATCTTGAAGAACTTATCGAGTGCTATCCCTTCCCTTGCGAACTTGGACTCGCGGAGCTGGCTAGACACTTCCGGTGAACGGAGGACCTCGACGAGGGAATGCACGTGCGGGGAAGTGATATGCACTCGGATGAACTTGCTTCGTGCTGAGAGGATGGTGCGGTTGTTCGTCCGCGTCGCTTCGGCAAAGATGTAGTCGTAGACTGCGTCTCTCACAAATCCGGGGGAGGCGATGACGATCACGCGGAGGGTGGCTATAGGCAGATGGCGCAGGAGGGCGGCGTATAATGTAGAGTAAAACCGGTTCAACCCCTGCTCCTGTTCAGTATCAAATCGTCCATACTGGGGCAGTACGGACCTTCTCATGCAGCGTCGTCGACCCAACGCGTTTCCTCGGCACGGGCACCTCGATCCGCTGTCTTATGACAGTCATATGCTCGCTAAGCAAGCATATCGCCGCCGTCCCTTCTCCACAAACAACCGCCCCCACATCGGCACCCCTTCCCTCCACACAAGCCTCCTGCAGTCTCTCTAGCGCAACACTGTCCCACTCCTCCTTCCCCAGCTTGAAATCCCTATTTGCCTCCAGGTCCAGGGTATGGAAAGCCCCCATCTTGACGTACTGATTTTCCGATGTCACTCGGCCTGAGATCTGAAGAGACGCTGTCCCCGTGTCACCCGTGTTGTTTCCCGGGGTCGGGGCGGTGGACGCGGATGCTCCGGGGGAGAACTCGACGCGGGTGACTTCGAGGGTGAGGTTGAGTCGGATCCGTTCGGAGGAGACTGATCCTGTCGTAGTCGTATTCTGCACTCGTCTAGGTCTAGTTAACGACGTTGATAGCGGTAATATGAAGAATCCTCACCGGATTGCAGGTGCGCGAACTTCGTCTCCTACTTGGATGAGGTTGTAAATATGCCACATATCCTCGTCTTCCTCCGGTCGGAGCGTCACATACCCCTACGTTCTCATGTCATCAGCACTCTTAATTAATTTCAACTTGATCACAGTGCGCACCTTTCCGTCCTTGTCTATATGCTTGTTTACTAATTTCATGTTGAGGGTATCAGAGAGATGAAAAGAATGTTCATTGAGAGATCATCGTCAACGGAACCCTGAAAGAAGCATAGCCACTAATTGATGAGGTAAGCAGGGTTTCAATTCGGGGGTGGGGGGTTGTAAGGCAAAACAAGTACTGTCTGTACCTTTTGCTTAAGCAGTCGACGCGCATTTCACTGTTGGAGTTCTTCAAGTCACGTTTCGGAAAATGACCATCCAATCACTACAATACACGTGACATATCTAGTGATAGGACTTCCAAGGAGTTCCGGTCTTCACGTTCCTCCCCATTACGCGTCTACTGCTATTTCGGGTGAGCTTTCCGCGGCAGTAGAAGTTGGAGATAAAATCACACGCGGATCTATAGATTAGGTCGCCAGGCGAAGGGAACGACGCCGTCGCGAGCTTGAGGGCTGAATGTATGTCCGATGGGCCGATGTGGAACAGCAGGGACGGCACAGTCACCACTTGAGCAAGGAATCCCGGGAGTATCCGAGTAAACAAACGGTATGGTTGGGAACTTTGAGCACGACGGTACCGCTTCTAGTTAAAGGAAGTTACTACCACCAGAAATGCGAAGTTTATTGCAGAGAATGAGAGAAGATGCTATGTTGCACCGCGGACATCGGTGTGGAATGGGATATGCCGTGATGGGTTGACGCGGGTCACGCGTTTGTCATGTGCGACGCGTCTCTCCGTTTATTCCTTTTTGTCGCGTCACGCCCCCTTCCCTTCCGCGGGTCACACGGACCCAAATTTGTTCACTATAAGACAACCGTTATTCCTCGCCCTCTTTCTCTTCGTCCTCCATCCCCGTCTCAATCTAAGTCGCGCCTGTCGCGATACATTACTCCTACTACCTTCTCCATCTACTACCACCCATGGCACCCACCGCTACCCAATCATTCTTCGAGGACTTTGACGCGACACCTTCGAAGAAGGCCGCTGCTCAGTTGGAGACAATGTCCCTTGCCACACCACTTAAGGACAAGGCGTTCATGGAGAAGCTCAAGGCGGCTGGTGCACCCGCACAGGAGGCAGAGTCAGAGGAAGAACCGCTCGAAGAATACCGCAAACGCTTTGTTGGCGACCTAGAGTGTGAGGAGAAGGATGAACCCCTACTCAAGTCAACACAACGTCGCTTTGTCCTCTTCCCCATCCAATATCATGAGGCACGCTGCCCATTTTTCTGCTACAGTCGCACCTACTCACAGCCTTCTAGATCTGGCAGATGTACAAGAAGGCAGAGGCATCCTTCTGGACAGCAGAGGAGATGGACCTGTCCAAGGATCTCCATGACTGGCAAAACCGTCTGAACAATAACGAGCGTCATTTCATCTCCCACGTCCTTGCTTTCTTCGCTGCTTCCGACGGCATCGTCAACGAGAATCTCGTTGAGCGGTTTAGCAATGAGGTGCAGGCTGCTGAGGCCCGATGCTTCTACGGTTTCCAAATAATGATGTGCGCGTTGCTGACCGCTGTTAACGAGCATTAGACTGACCTGTACCCAGGGAGAACATCCACTCAGAGACATACTCTCTCCTGATTGACACATACATCAAGGATGCCGAACAGCGTGAATATCTCTTCGATGCCATTGATACCATTCCATGCATTAAGCGCAAGGCCGACTGGGCATTGAAATGGATCTCGGACAAGCGTTCGACCTTTGCTGAACGTCTCGTCGCCTTCGCCGCTGTGGAGGGCATCTTCTTCTCCGGCTCCTTCGCTGCCATCTTCTGGATGAAGAAGCGCGGTCTCATGCCCGGTCTGACATTCTCCAACGAGCTCATCTCCCGCGATGAGGGCATGCACACCGACTTTGCATGCCTACTCTTCAGCCACCTCCGCCGGCGCCCACATCCCGACACCGTCCGCAAAATCATTACTGAGGCGGTACTGATCGAACAAACTTTCCTCACGGATGCCCTTCCTGTCGCGCTCATCGGCATGAACTCGAACCTAATGAACCAGTACATAGAGTTCGTCGCCGATCGCCTTCTTGTCGCTCTCGGCAACGAGAAGGTCTATAACGTCACGAACCCCTTCGACTTCATGGACCTCATCTCCCTTCAGGGAAAGACAAACTTCTTCGAGAAACGAGTATCGGACTATGCCAAGGCCGGTGTAAACGTCTCCGCTGCCCAGAAGTCCAAGCCTTCGAAGCCAAATTCAACAGGCTCAACCGAGGTGCAACAAGAAACACCCATAAGCTCAAAGACCTTCACACTGGACGAGGACTTCTGAGTGCCCCTGGCCGATCTTACTGTTTCTTGTTTCCCTTTATCGCTCATCTCAACCGGGATAGATAGATAGTGTATTACTACCTGCTGCATTGTTACAAATCACCTTTCAACCACTGTTACATGTTAACCCCACTCGCTGTTTATACTTTGTGTTTAGTATTCATTGCCAAAATACATACCCGAGGATCATGTACTCTCGTGCCTGTGCTGGATGTGGACAGGCGAGTGTGACAAGTATATTTGGTAGCTAGCTCTACATGACAGCGCGCTGACGCCTGTCGGCTGGTGTCCGAGCTGGGCGGAGCACACCCGACCGCAACAATCCGAGCACGGCGGTCATTGCACAAGTACATTACAGGCTTTAGACTCCCCACCGTGAGCATTCCCGAGGCACCCGGCACTTCGGTGCGACATGAAAAGAGTCGATGGATAGCCGATCGTGGTTACTGTTGTGATGCAATGAAGGCTAGTGATTGCGGGTCTTGGGGACTGGAATGTTCAGTTAAAGGTATTTAGGCGTGAATTTTGAATTAAAGTACCGGCGGACATTCTAGTATCAAAGTAATCGTACAATAGTGAAGAATTTCCTTGCAGGTGTGCAGATCTGAAGTCGGGCCGATGGGTTGGGACAACTTAGAATGGCTTGCGATTGGTTCCGAACAACTACCCTTCAGGGAAAGCCTCCGCGCCCGGGGGCTCTGGGTTGTGCTTCCCTCCTAACATCGGTGCTGAATAACACTTCTCTTGCTGTGCTACAACAAACTCTTAGGGCTTGTGCACTCTCTGCAGGCTGTCCCACTTCTTACCTTGGGAATCCAAGGAAAGAAGGACGTAATCAGTCCAACCGGAAGCGGATGCCGAGTGTGGCGACGCGACGCGGTGGCCAAGCACGGGATCAGCACGTGCTCCGAAGGTTCAGTCGTGTTAATACCAGGCGCGTGCCTCCGTACCTTGAACGTTAATTCTGACCCGTCCTATTTCCCTGTTGCCCCACTGTGGGGGCGCCTATCCATGGGAACAAGCCAATACCAGCTGGAAAAATACCACCCTGATTGCCAATTATGGCATTCTTTACCGGTGCGGCGCCCATCTTGTTACCGTCTTGTGAGCAATCTAGCATTTTGAGGGCGCTCATAGCCCAGGGCTGGGCCTTGCCATTAGGCCCGGCTGCAGAACGTCACTTGATAATGCGATGCGATGGCCAGCGCTGTGTATTTATCATCCGACCTCTGGTCACGAAAGCTCATCCATACCTCCCTCTCACTCTTCTGCCGTCAAGGTGCAGTAAAGGCCTCCCCAACCGTCCTCTGTTTACATACTGTCTCCGTAACGTGATCTTGACGACAACGAAGAGACAACATCGTATCGAATACGAACTCTTTCCCGGTTGCAACACACCCTCGTCCGTTGCCATCCTCTTTCGTTCGATACGATCGACATGCCGAGCTTTCCGTTCTTCAACTCTTCGAAACGCAAGGAGAAGCGTGCTTTCTCCAACGCTTCTCAAACATCTTCGGCAGCCTCATCATCTGCCTTCTCGTCGCGCTCAAATACTCCTGATCTTATCCCTCCCACCTTCCCGCAATTCGCCCGACGTGGCTCTGAGCCCGCAACTCCACAGTCCCATGGACTTCGCTCACGTCCACCACCGATCGTCCACTACACCCCTGTCGGACCTTCAATCGGCACTGGCCCGTCTGGAGCAGTCCTACAGAGTCCCCGCTTGACAAGGCGTGGGTCGGACAATGTAACGACTTCGCCAAGGAAGCGTTTGCTTCTGCCCGTTTCCCCTGCTCGTGTACTTTCGCCTCCCCTACCGCCCCATCCAGCAGTCGCATCCTCGTTAACCCCACCGCAATACGCGGCCGGATACGCAGGGTCGTTCAACCAGCCGCGGTCGTTGACCCCAACACCAGAACAGCTGCGGTCGCGTTCCTTCGGGATGCAGGCAGAGATGACGCCGCGTTCGGTACTGTCCGCCAGCGGCCCTGCTCGCACACCCACTCGTCCACCTCGGCTTGATCTTGATGAGTATGACGACGATTTTCTTGCTCCTCCGCCTCGTCGATTGTTCGTGGGTGCGCCGACGAAGGTTCCCGAACTTGACGAGGTCTGGTCTGTATTCTTGGAAGATGCCGAAGAAGACGCGGACAGTCTAAACGAACTGCCCCCACAACCACGGCGGCGCGCGCGATCACCGGTACCGCCTGTTATCAACGTGATCCAAGCGACTGAGCCTGCCGATCCCGCGCCTGTACCACAACGTCCCAACGGCCTTATGCGCGCGTTCAGCGAGCCACCCACGCGCGCGTTGCCTTCCACTCCTTTGCAGGAGTCGTTTTCCTTACAGGCCTCCCCGGAAATCATCAGTAAGCCCATAACGCCGCCAGCAACACCTGCTCATCCTAGGTATCGCGTGCCGTCTCTTTCTCCCCTCGAAGCACTAGACGTGTCGCTGTCAATGGCGCGTGGTTTTCCTTCGGCGGGGTCGAAGTCCAGCCTTGCCTCCGGGCTGTCGTCAGCACCGAGCACACTTTCGGTAATGAGCTTGCAAGACGCGCTCAACTATTCCATCTCCCTGTCCGCATTTCCCAAACCTCCCGCATTGGATGCCGTCCAGGAAGAGGCGGTGCACAAGGTTGAGGTTGAAGGCGAATTGGTCGAGCTGCCATATTTGTCGCACCTCCCAACTCCGCCCATCTCTCCACCTGCTCTCGTCTCGATCGGCAGGACTGGCACGCTACGTGCTCGCGCGTCGACACCCACCTTCAACCAAGGTCGCATCGCCATACCGTCCTTCGGCACCATCATGGACGCGTCAAAAACGCTGGAGGAACCGGCACCGATTGACGATAGAGAATCTTCGTCGGACGAGTCATTTGCCCTGTCACAGTTCTCCCCCTCGAGCGCGAATAGCAGCGCCCACCATCGTAGAACGGTCGACAGAAACGATTCGTTCTCTTCCATTTCCTCTGCCTCCGATGTGGTCCAGGACTTCTCCGACGACGAAGATGATTGCCAATCGACAGACCCATACGATGAGCACACCCTGCACATCATGCCCCGTGGTTCGCCAAGGCCGTCCTTCGAATTCGATGAGGTCCAGCCTCAACGCAGGGACTCGTTCGAGTTTGACGACCCACAGCCGATGAAAAAGGCCCCGACTCGTCCTGTGACCCCGATGATGGTTTCGAAGGAGAGGATGCAGATGGATTTGCCAACTCTGCCCTTTGTGACAAACATGGACATCGGTTCTCTAACGCCAAAGGTGTCGGCTAACCGGTCTCCATCTCTGTTCCATGTTGGCTGGTCTCCTGCACCGGGGACCGTCGAATACGGGTATGCTGTGTGATCCTTCCCCATTGACAGCGTTTCTTTCACGAACAATGTGTATCCATTATGAACCCAAAGATGTAACTGAACGAATACGAAATTAGCTGTATCGAATAGTGTACGACAAAGTTGAATACCGAATACGAATACAAGTTAAATGTTATACATCGCGTCTCGGCCTATCCCATAGGCAGCCTCATTGGGTTTTGCGCACCTCCAGCTTCTCTTTGGCTTGCTGTGTCTGCAGCTGGTCTTGCATGTCCTCGGCTATCGCAACCATGATGTAGCCGACGAGGACGAGATTGGCAACAACAATAGCGGCAATTGCCGCGATGTTCGTATCTGACATGCACTTCGTTAGCAATTAATCGGTTTTTACTGACATGTGCGTACCTTTGGTAATATACCACGTCATACCGAAATATGTGCCTATTGGACCGACGGCTAGCATGAGGCTGAACAAAGCCAGTTTGGCCAGAACACCGCTGCAACCGAACATTGTCACCTTGGCGGATAGTATCGTTAATTTAATCGACCTACCCAATCACTGTCTGTTCTACTATTCGCGCTGGTGCGGCTTGTACGCTCATGCTGGGAGAGGTTGAAGTGGAAGTCTTGAGGTGAACGCGCCGCCTCGACGCGATGAACTATTTCAGGGATCTTTCAGTTGAGGACGACGTGTTCGTTGTGTCTATACGATGGCTTCTCCCACATCATCACTTAGTCGGCGACGGCCATCCGTGGCACCAGTGAACCCATCTACTTTGTCCAAGTCGGTGGAGATTGTATCGAATGACGCGCGTCGAAGGGTGCCTTGGTTCACCTCGGAAGAGCGGGACGTGCTGGTGCTGAGCACAGTAATGAAAGTGTTGCTGTTTCCCGCATAGTGGGTTCTGACTGTTCGTAACATGTATTACTGAGCTGACTTGGATCAGTCATTCTACCGACTTTGAGGTGCACAGAAACTGGCTGGCCATCACCCACAGCCTACCAATCTCCAAGTGGTACTACGATGTGCGTCAGCTGTGTTACCCTGAAGGTCAGCCGAGCTAACGCCCTGCAGACGACGTCGGAATGGACGCTCGATTACCCGCCTTTCTTTGCATACTTTGAATACCTACTATCATGGCCTGCATATTTCATTGACCCGGCAATCACGACGCTATCCAACTTGAACTATGCTGCCTGGTCCTGCATCGCTTACCAGCGCTCAACAGTCATTCTCACAGAGCTTGTCCTGGGCGCTGCACTTCTCAGGCATGTAGGCGTGCCGTGCCCCCATTTTTGATAACGATCCTGATACATTGGCCAGATTTGTGAGGACGTCAAATGATCCCAGTCTCCAACGTATCATCAGCGCTTCCCTCTTCCTTCATCCGGGATTCATCATCGTGGATCACATCCATTTCCAGTATAATGGGTTTATGTTTGGGATCTTTCTGTGGTCGATTATTGCCTCCAAGAATGCGAGTATATTCGTCAACTATCGATGCCACATATTCTTACCCAGGTACAGGGCCAATTGCTCACAAGTGGAATTCTGTTTACCGTGCTGCTCAACTTCAAGCACATCTACATGTATATTGCTGTACGTCATCCCAGTGACCCTTGTTTCATATACAAATCTCAGTTGACTGTAGCCTGCATACTTCGTATTCTTGCTGCGCGCGTACTGCTTCTCGCCCAACGGAGGATTCTTGTTACAGAACTTCGTCAAATTAGGAGCGTCTGTCGCCGGCATCTTCACTGTTTCTCTTGGCCCGTTTCTCGCTATGTCCCAAATCCCTCAGCTCTTGTCCCGCTTGTTTCCATTTACAAGAGGCTTGAATCACGCATACTGGGCAGCAAATGCCTGGGCATTAGTGACTGCTGGTGATCGAGTGCTGCTTTTGTGTCCGTCTTTTCTCCGTCTGGTAATCTTGACGAACTGAGACTTCTGATAGGGGCAAAGATCAGAGGTGCAAACACAGCGATCGATACGTCTGGAGTCGAGTCAACCTCACGAGGACTCGTTGGAGACACCCATTTTGCTATCCTGCCTAACGTCGAGCCGAAGCATACCTTCATCATAACCATTCTTTTCCAACTACTCTTCCTGGTTAAGCTCTGGCGCAAGCCCGACTACAAGTCCTTCGTCCATGCTCTCACCCTATGCGGGTACTGCTCATTCATGTTCGGCTGGCACGTACACGAGAAAGCCGTACTGCTAATCCTCGTACCGCTGAGCTTACTGGTGGCCGAGGATTATGCACATTACCGGACCTTTGTGATCGTTAGTATGGCCGGCATCGTTGGTCTGTTTCCGCTTCTGTTCACTCCTGCCGAGTGGTTCATTAAGGTTGGATATACGGCAGTCTGGTTCGCGGTGACATTGCCGGGTCTGGCAAGGCGGGTACCGAGGTAACCATATCCCCTTTGATTTGACGACATCGTTAATCATTTGATAGGCCAACTCCATCATGGATAGGAGAGATTGTTCACCGGTTGGAGGGGATGTACATCTACGGTTTCGTCATTCTTCAGATCGTGGTGACAGCTTTGAACGCTCTTCTGGCATGGAAGTCCCCGAACGACTCCCCTCTATCCAAGAACTCGTTATCACAAATGGAGTTCCTTCCTCTGTTGTTAACGAGTGTCTACTGCGCTGTAGGCATTACGTGGGCTTTCCTATGTTTATCATGGTTGTACATCAAATCATAATAATGGATACATGAATGAGGAATCTATTTCTTATAGATACAAACGACATCCTCGTCTTCCAAAATATGTTCCAGCCCGACCTTTTGTCCTCTCGCATGCTTGGCACTAGCTCCCCAAACCAACGCACTGTGACAATGTTAAATGCAGTGCCCGCCACATAAATGCAGCGGCTTACTACTTCAGTTGCTTAGCGATTTCCTTATGAATGGCGTTGCAAAAGTCTTCTACTGATGATTTTCCCCGTCGGAGGACGACAGGTTCACTGTAATCCGGTGCTAAACCTCGAGGCTTCGTATACACGCGCACCAGGTCAAGCTTGTCCCACATGACGTCAAGGAGCTCGTCAACGTTCATCCATTCCCGTGAAGAGACAGGCACGGAATTCGGGATTTTGTAAAGCAGGTTCAACTCTTCAATAGATATTGCGTCGATCTTGTTGAGTACGTAGATTGCCGGTATATACACTCGGTTGCCTTCGATGACATCAATGAGGTCTTCCGGCGTTGCGTTAGGCTCTCGGACGACAATATCGCAATTGGACATCTTATACTCTGCCAAAATGGCCTTGATTTCATCTTGATCCAGGTTCGTCAGGGGAACAGTATTGCTGATAGCGATCCCGCCCTTGTCCTTCTTCCTCACAGTAATATTTGGCGGTTTCTTGTTGAGCCGAATCCCAAATCCTTCCAATTCGCCCTCGATAATCTTCTTGTCACCCAGTGGCTTCAGCACGTCGAGCACAATGAATATGAGGTTGCATGTTCGCGCTACGGCGATGACTTGCTTTCCTCGACCTCGACCATCAGCCGCTCCTTCAATAATACCAGCTGCAGACGCTATCAGCAAGGTGCTATAGAACTCCTCCAATTCCACGCACGCAGATCTAATATTTGTATCGGTGCACCATGTACCTTCAAGGTACCCGGTACTGTTGTCAAAGTCTACAAGTGCTTTTCAGTCATGTGGATGGGGATCTAACAGAGTTTGGCGAACCGTGAACGCATACTCTGCAACTTCAGAAAAAGTGCCCGTCAACTTGGTCATCAATGTCGACTATTCCACCATCAGTTCACTGAACACTTTGATGGGCGTAGAAAGCTCACCTTTCCCACAGATGGGAAGCCAACGAATCCAACACTGGCAATACCAGTCCTTGCGACGTCGAACCCGAGCCCTCCGCCTCCTCCACCTCCAGTCTTGGGGTCGATTAGCTCACGTCGAAGCTTAGCGAGCTTGGCTTTGAGGAGGCCTAAATGGTATGAAGTGGCCTTGTTCTTCTGCGCTGTTTGACAGGTCAGTCGGGTTGCATAGACGGTTGATGCTGATGTACCGACTTCTTGCCTGCACCAGTCAGTGTCTTGCAGAAAGTACTTTGGCAACAGGACTCACCATCTCATCTTCTATCTCCTTGATTTTCTGCACGGTCGTCATCTTGTACTATCTTTCTGTATATCTCACACGCAGCCAGCCAGAGAAGAAGGAAGAGTAGGACTGTCTAGGTGATATACCGGACCAAAGTTGCGATACAGGGTCCACACATTCGGTCTATAAATTTCAAGGTCATGGCATGATACTTTATTGACATTGCCTAAAACTACACAGGAGATGCGAATGCAAATCAAGTAAACCACTCGTTCTACACTACGCTGTATCTTCCCACCGGGGCTCCTGGTCCTCTCGACTCGGCCTGGATAGCCGCCGTCGAGGCCTCCACAAGGAGACGCTTGATCTCCCGAACAGCAGCCTCGACCCTGTACTCCTCGTTCGACTCGATTAGCAAGTGAAGCTTTGGCGGGCCTTCCAAAGGAGGTTCTTTGCCTGGATCGTAATAGACACCTGACAAATCATCATTAGTATCTGTTCCGATAGCCAGAGGAAATGTAGGTGCTTACCTTTGTTGGTTACAGAAGCGCCAGTCATATCGATCAGCTGGCTCATGGTCTCCTTGTTTGTGACCTTCCAGCGAGCCTTTTGTGGGTAATCGTTGATCGGGATGATCGCATGGAAATCGGTTGCGTCCGGATTCTTGGACTTGCCCAAGTCTTCGAACCCAGCACCCGCGGCCGCCATCGTCAACTTCATGGCGCGAACCTGGGCGGCAAGACGAGCAGCAGCACCCTGAGCATTCCTGAAAGCAGCCTGTAGCGCCTCGTCTGAAGGATTGGCTTTGGCATATTTGTCCGCCATGCGAAGTGCGCCCTGAGCCTTCTGTTCTTCCTCCTGGATACGGGCCAATTTCGCCTGAGCGGAAGACGTTGTAAGCAGCCCATGGGAGGTATCCGGTGCGGGCCCGCGCTTGATTTCCACCTTGAAATCGCCGAAAGTAAGATCTGCATCCTTGGTTGCTTTGGCCGCAGGTGCAGCGGCGGAACTACCGGCAGGCTTTACACCTTCTTCTTCCTCGAATGAGGTGGCCGGCTTAGGCTCTTCACCCTCACCGTACGCGTTCCGCTCAGCTTTCATCTTCGTATCACGATCCTTGTCCAGCTTATCAAGACCCTTACCGCCAAAGCCAGAGCCTGCAACATGAGCTTTCCCAGTACGGACCTTCTCGAGGAATCCGTTTGCCATCGAAGACAGCTCTTCGGGAATCTTGGCTTTACTCGCCTCGAGGGCACGGTAGATGTCGACCGAGTACCGTTCTTGTTCTGGAGTGATGAAGGTGACGCATGTGCCCTTATTCCCCGCACGGCCTGTACGGCCGGCACGGTGAACATAGTCCTCCATGTGGTTCGGCGCGTCGTAGTTGATTACGAGTTTGAGTTGCTTGACGTCCAACCCACGAGCAGCGACGGAGGTCGCGACAACAACAGGTACAACACCGGATTTGAAGTCCGCGATGGTGGAGTCGCGGTCTACCTGATCTTTTCCACCGTGGAGGGACATAACGAGATATCCCTTGCGCATCAGCTCCCTCAGTAGGTTGTCTGCCGCTTCCTGTCGATCAACGAAGATCAGCGTCCGGCACTCTGGATCCTCGTTGTAGGTCTGGCCAAGAATCTCGAGCAAACGGTTGAATTTGGTATCCTCTGGCCGGACTTCAACGATTTGCTCGATCTCGGGTGCAACAACTGAGCGGCCACCGACGGTGATCTCTAATGGCCGATGGAGGATCTTTCTGGCAAGTGAGTCCATCTGCTTGGGAAACGTCGCAGAGAAAAGAACTGTTTGGCGATCAGGCCGAATATTGTTCACGATTTTCATGACCTACGCCAACGTCTTCAATATGCTGTGTACCAATGATATAAAGGTCTATTCACCTGAGGCTCAAACCCCATGTCGAACATCCGGTCTGCCTCGTCCAGCACCAAATACGTGACTCTCTTCAGGTTGGTCACCCTCCCCGAGTTCGCCGTCAACAGGTCAATCATGCGCCCCGGTGTGCACACGATGATCTCCGCGCCCTTCTTCATCTCTGCAATCTGGTCCTTGATCGGGCTTCCGCCGTATGCGCATACAGCGCGAAGGTTCATCACTTTCAGGAAGGGCTTGCATTCCCTGTGAATCTGGACAGCGAGCTCTCGTGTGGGTGTCATGATGATCGCCATTGGTCCTTCCATAATCTCGATTGGACGCTGGTCCTTGATGTGACGGAAGAGAGGAAGAAGGAAGGCGATTGTCTTGCCTGAACCAGTCTTGGCAACACCGATCACGTCACGACCGGACATAATAGCGGGGATGGCTTGTGCCTGAATGGCCGTCGGGGCCGTGTAGCCCAAACGTTTGATGACATCCAGACTGAATGAGTCATCAGCACCTCCTCGTTGGTGGAATATAGAAGTGCGTACCATACAGAAGGTAAACCACAGTGAGCCCACCTTGTGATCGGCTTTGGGCAGTCCTGACCGCGAATCTTGATCCCATCCAGGGAAAGCCGCAGCAGGCCGACTCCTTCTTCGTCCATGTCAGCGATCTCAGGCGGTTCATGGTAGAATTCTTTGCGGAATGACTCATATGCGATCTTGGCGTGATCAACAACACCGACATCCTTCTTCTTGGCCTTCTTCGCTGCCAGTCTACACATGTAAAGATCAACATGCTGATCCAAATGCAATTGTAAAAAGTTGGACGTACGCAAGGATATCCTCGGGCTTGAGATCTGTCGCGTCGAGTTCATCCTCGACCGCTCCAGCACCTTCTTCCTCCTCTTCCTCATCCTCATTTTGTTCATCTTCCACTCTAAGACCAAACCTCTTACGGTCTTCGGCATTGACCTTCTTCACCTCTTCCTTGACGCCGCTCATGAAAGCCTCTAAGGGGTCTTCCTCATCCTCTTCCATCTCGTTCCCATTCGCGGTGTCGCCGTTCGTGGTAGCAACCGCGGTGGCTGAGGTCGAGTCAACGTCCATCTTGTCTTCTGCTAAAGCAGCGGCAGCTTCATCTGGAGTCGGCCGCTCGCGTGCTTCTCCAGAAGGCGGGGCACCCTCATCCCCATCCAGGTCGCCAACCTCTTCCTCATCTCCGGCATCAACACGCATGTCAATTTCCGGCATATCTCCTAAAGCTATGAGCTGGCGCGTTGGACCTTCTTCATCCCCCAATGCGGCTACCGTCTTCTTTGAAGCTGAGGTCTTTGCAGCACCGGCTTTCTTCATATCAACTTTCATGCCCAGGCCGCCAAGGGCCTTACCGAGCAGCGCGGCTCCGGGTTTAGCAGTAGAAAGAGCTCCTGAGAAGGATCAAGTGTTTAAGCATCGTTCGAAATGCATATATACAGCATGAAGACTCACCGTTCGCGGATCCGCTGGCAGCAGCTTTAGCAGCAGCGACCGCGCGTTCTTTTGCACCTGCAGCCTCATGCTCTTTCTTCAGTTGCTGTTGGCGCTTCCACGCCTCGAGTTTCTCTCGTTTTCGACGCTTCTCGTCATCTTCTGCCGTGGCAGGTGTGGCGACACCAGTGGGTGTTATCGGAGTCGACGGCGATGCATAGCGGTCACGTTGTGGAGAACGGCCATTTTCGCGACGAGACGTACCACGATCGCGTTCCCTATCCCGCTCGCGATCCCGTTCCCGATCTCGGTCACGATACCCATCTCGGTCGTGTCGTCGGTCGCGGTCGTCATATCTGTCCCTCTCTCTGTCCCTGTCGCGTTCTCGCTCACGATCTCTGTCACGATAGTCCCTATCTCTTTCTCTCTCCCTATCCTTTTCTCGGTCGCGATCACGATACGAGTCTCGGTCTCGACCGTCTCGACCGTCTCGACCGTCGCGTGTGTCCCTGGCGTCCCGTGCCTGATGGCGCCTCGTCGGCTCGGGGCTGTCAGCTCGTGAGTATGAATGTTGCTTACGGCGCTTGGATGGTGCGTCGGGTGACGGTGAACGAGTATGCCGTGGCATATTCTCGTATGCTTTGCTAATCCCTTGATCCTTACAGTTAAGGAGTGATAAAGAGAAAGCAGGCAGGCAAGGTAAATGCTGTCGACCAAGTTGAATCTGAGTGACTGCGATAAACTGAATGGGATAAGAAAGAAGGGAATATGCCTCCGAACTACGGGAACAGATTATCACCGAGGTTAATCCGTATTTGGTAATTACGCGTTCAGCCTAGTGACTCCTCGTCCACTTCACCTTCGCTGTCGAAGACGACGACGACGACAGAAAAGACGACGACAATGGCAGCCAACCAACTCGACCCGTCAGCGCTGATGAGCACGCTCATCACTCTCCTCCCCGCCGACGAGCCCAAGATCTCCAACCCCCTCTCAGCAGTGACAGCACTGCTGCATACCATTCTCTCCGGGCTGTCCTTCCGCCTCCAATCGCACAGCGATGCCCCGCTTTCCCCTCCTCCCGAGTCCAACGTCCTTCTTTCAGACTGGGCGACCCACTCTCCAGAATCCCATACTTTGCTATACAAACACCCACGCTCATCTCTTACGTACCTCTTCAAAGTCGTCCGACTAGGGGACAAGGCCCTTATCCACGGGCGCTCGCTCGAGTCCCCCGCGACAGCAAGTGTCGAGCTCACCATCGCTGACTACACTTCTGCTTCCTTCTGGCCCTGGGAGAAGAAAGACGGTGCCGACCCCCTGGTGCACGGGTTCATCTCCTCCAACCGCGTAGCAGACTTCGCGAGCCTTGTCAAAGTAGGACTAGTCGCCAAGCTCGCCCCAGGGCTGGAGAAAGAAGGGCTGGAGACGTCCTCGGAACAGCAACCTCCTCCGCAAGGTGGACCTTCCCGACCCCGTCAACCTCCCGCTCCAGGTCCCGGACCACCCTTCACGCATCCCCCGCGTGAGCCCTATGCCGGTCCACGTAACCCCCTCTCAATAGGCGCGGACGACCTCAACCCCCCCGGACTGCCGCCTAGCAACCCCTTTGCCCCAGGACGCCTGTTCGACCCGAACAGTGGGGGGATGTTCGTCGGCCCCAGTCATCCCATCTTCGGGGATCGCGGTGTAGGCGGAATTGGGGAGCTTCCCGGTCCAGGCCGGCGATGGGGTGGCGATGGTTGGTTGCCGGAGGGCGCCGTCCCCCCCGGAGCGAGGTTCGACCCCATCGGCCCCGGGCCTAATCCTCGTTTCCCCGGGCCTGGAGGTCGGCTAGGAGGAAACCCTTTCGGAGGAGGAGCGGGTAGGATGCCGCCTGGATTCGGAGGTGAGCCGGATAACGACGAGTTCCCGCCTTCTGGGATGGAGAATGAGGGGAATGACATGCCACCTGGGATGGTGGGACCGTCTTCTGCTACAAGAGAACATGAGACTGATGAGCATCCAGCGTGACATGTTTAGTTGAACGATGGGCATCGGGTGAGCGCGGTATTTGGAAAGAGTCGTTAGCAGGGTTTGAGGTGATTTATGGGCAGGGCGTTAGTCAAGCTCGGACAAATGAAGTCTGGCATGAGGAATGATTATGATTTGTACTTGTGAAATACTATGTTGTAACGTTGTACTAAGCCGTGATCAATGTGATTCTGTGTGTACACGAAGCGTCCATTAGACAGTCCATTACCATTCTCTCCACCAAACCATATGCACACTATTATGACAGATTAAGCCCGCTGCGAAGAGCATCGACCAGCACCCAGCTTGCCGTGTCCCCACTGACGTCGAACATGTTCACACCTCTGAGGTTGGCCTGGCTGGCGTATTGTGCTTTGACAAAGAGCGAGTCTGGATCGTCGTAAGTGACGACCTGATCGGCAGCAGTCGATTTGAGCCATGGTGTGGCGGAACAGTCATCCCAGTTCTTGACGAAGCCGTTGTCGCCGACCCATTCGTTGCCTTGCTGTGTGAGTGCGCCTTGGCTGATCAGCTCCCGGAAGATGATCTGACCGTCAGAAGTACTCCCAGCGTCGGACGTGACTTGCAAAGCTCGACGCATGTATGCGCGCTTGTCGTACAGGTGGTCGACAGATGATTGGGAGACATAACCGTACGAGGGTACGCCGAGCACGATCTTGTTCGCGGGGAACTTGGCGTTCGTCCATGCTGCTACAGCAGCCATGGCGTTCGCTTGCGGATAGATGGAGTTGCCGCATTGGTCGGAGAGAGGTGCATTTGACCCGGGCGTACTGGACGAGCCGGAGACATCGTAGTTCATGAGCGTGATCCAGTCGAGTTGCTGCGCGAAAGGCGACATGTCGTTCGATGGATTCCCGTCTGCGTCTTGCCATGGCCAGTCTTGGACAGCAGCACTGAGGACGGCACCTGACGGTAAAGTATTCCGGAGCAGCTTGAAGAACTCCAGCAGATTCGCAGTATCCTGCGGTGAGGCGCCATTGCTTGGAGAAGCAGCAGCAATGCCAGGATATTCCCAATCGCTATGCATTTATGAGCTTTTGAACAACCATATGCGGACCATATCTTACATGTCGATACCATTCAGATTGTACTGATGATAGAGGTTAGCGATGTTCTGCACGAACGTATGCCGATTAGCGTCGCTCGATACAGCGGCGGAAAAATGACTGCATTTATGTGAGTTCCAGGATGAAAGCAAGAAACTGAGAACTCACGCGCTGCCAGTCCAGCCACCAATACTCAGCTTCACGCCCTTTCCCTTCGCGTGCGCCGCTTTCACCAGCCGCTGGAGCAATTGCTCCGAATCGTCCTCCGTAAACTGCAAGTTGAAGTTCTCGTCGGGAATAGCAAAGGCGAAGTCCATCCAGTTGAACCGATCAAAGTCGACTTGTTCTGGGGAGATGATGTTGGATGCCCAGTCCGAGTAATAGGCCGCGATGACGGTGTTAGATGATGGCGCAGCGGATGAGGATGTAGGTGATGCAGATGACGAGGAGGTAGTCTTGGACGTAGTAGCAGCGTGGCCTTTGGTATTGCTAGAGTGGGTGGATGAAGATCTGGATATTTGTGTGCTGCTACTGGAGCTCAGGCTTGTGCGACTGGAGGTTGAGGTAGGCGAGGTGACGGCCACCGAGGTCGCGTGCGAATGAGATGCATTCGCAGAGCATTGCGATCTTCCTTGGACTTTGTGTTGTTTCACAGGTGCAGCCCCGGCCAGAGTCGCTACAAGGGGCAAAAGAAACAGTGAGGCGCGCAGCGCGACCATTATGTTAATGTTAGGAATGAATGTGGGGGATGGATGGTGATTACAGCCAGTGTAAGCCGGGTCAACCGGAGTGATCAGAGCGAGATCAACTCGAAAGATGAAGTGGGAGGTGAACAGCCGTACACTCGTGAGGGTGATGGCAAGGTGACAGACAGAGGCCAAGACGACGCGGGTCGCAGCTCTTCTTTGAGGCCATAGAAGCACCCATCCGGATCAGATTGGACATGGCCGTTGCGTCACTCAGACAGACACACGGCGTGCCTGTGCTAATGGGGGGCCGAGAGGCTGGTTAAGGCAAACTCCGCATTCGACGAGTTGACACGTCCGACGGCAGATTGATCTAGGTCACATTGACTGATCGGATCATGCACCATTCATTTTTACTTCCAGAATTGGATAGACCGTTTCACATAGAGAGGTCAGCATAGCTCCACAGGTAGAGAAGGTATGAGCCATTCAAATAAGATTGTCAGAAGCCCAATCCAGACGTGACAAGCTCGTGGTAGTAAAACAAGCACTTCGACTGAGACTCTCAAAGGGTTCGACGCGTCTCCTCGTACATCACGTGATCAGTCAAGGCAATTTGGATGCCAGCCCTCGAATCCGCCTCTCGCGTGTAATATGTGTAATATACATGTCTTCTACTGCTCAGAGGCACCATCCTGCACCTGATCTAGTGGTTGTCCTTCAGGAGTCATGATACCATTAGGTGTAACAATCATATCCAATGGCCAGTCGTGCGGTTCAATGGGGATCCGAGGCACAATCTGCTCCGCCAGTGCAAGGCCCACTTTCTCAGGGTTAGAATAGTCCATCCACAGCACTACCTACTTACTCAGAATCGGTCTTGATCCCTTGCTATGCGTTGATGCGTAGTGTGAGAGCCACTTGTCGTAGAAGCCTTTGCCGTGTCCAAGTCGGGAAAGGTTCCGATCGAAAGCAACACCTGCTCCACCATGAGTTCGACTTACGTAGTTCGGCAATCCCATACCAGGCATCAGGACAAGATCCACATTCTCCGTGTACATGCTCGCCACTAAACTCACGTCAGCACCCGAATACAGCAGGAAAAAGCCCACCAACAGTCTTCGCGCTTGATGCCTTCTGGCCCGTCAACGGTGGGCTCAGGAATCCCCCATGTGTTTTTACTCAGGCCGTTCAGGTCATGGAGCGAATACAATCTGAGCATGCTCATCCACTGGTATTTCCCCGCTCCAGGGAGCCTGTTAGCAGCCCTGCTGTTCTTACGCGCAAGGCGATCAAAGTTGATCCGAGGAACGTAGACCCTCTTCCCTAGATCGTTTCAGCCAAGGCAAGATCTTAGGCTCACAAGATACCTGATTTCAAAGCATCCACCACGATAGCATGCGTATTGACTTCGGCCTGCTTCTCCATCGTCAGATAGCATGCGATCCCCCTGCTATTCTTGTATGCCGAGGAGCGCAGAACATGCTGCGTGATGAGCTTCGCTGTACAATCAAGCAGGCGCCGCGGCGCCGCGTTAGGGCTAACTTTCCCATCAGCAAAGGCTAGCGTTGCTCACACTCGTTCTCCACAAGTGTCGTAGAGAGCTTCTCGAGCACCTCCTTCACTTGTGATCGTACAAGCTTTTTGAGAGCCATGGTTTGTGTCCACATTGGCCCGTCTGAGCAGTCTTCTGCACTCATGAGGTGGAGGTCGGAAGCAAGATGATTGCATGGGCGCTTGTCCTCGGATGGAGGGTTTATTAGGGTAGGTAAGACAGCTCTGGTGAACCGGATCGATGCGTACTTCCACTGGTCCTTTATCGAGGAAATCCCCTCGTGGTCGCACCATGCGACTTTTGCGGTCGCCTGGGAAATGTAATAGGCAGAATGCAGTTACATTACATTACAACGTGATAATGGATACATGCGCTACGCTACACGAGTACTCACCTGCAAATCCTTTTAATCTATTGGCTCCAGCAGACCCGAGTGTCCACCTCCTCGTGAATTCAAGACACGCGCAGACCGATGCATCATTTGCTTTACCTTTTGTCCGAAAGTCAGGGGCTGGCTCAATTCGGGCTCGTCGTGGATAATATTATCGACGACGATCTTGATGGGGGAGGTTTCCAAGGGGAACTCGTCCATGTCGAGGTCTGAGCTGCGCGTAAACAGCCGGCGGCGGATAGAACGGCGGCGGAACTGTGAGGGCGACAAGTCCCCGGCTACAGCAGGTTGGGCAAATCCAGTTTGCATCTGGGGTGTGACGGGGAATGGTTGGGAGTTGGTAGAGGCAGAGTCGCGTGCTGCACGTGCTTGTCGAAGGAGCGCGCGGGAGCGGCGACGAGATGACCCGCTGCTCCAGGAAGGCGCTGCGTCCTCGTATTGTGCGGGGTTTTCAAGGTCCTCGTACAGGGCGGCTACCTCTCGTCGCCAATCGAAGACAGGAGTGTCCAGGGTATCGTTGTCGTTGCGCCTGGCTGCCTTCTTGTCTGATGGAGACTTGGCGGGGTTCGGCGCTGGGGGATTGGCGTATTCCTTTTCAAGCGGAGGTAGTAGAGGCTCAGCATGCAATTCGATCTTCTGGTTTTTGACGATCGCCACTGGTTTCTTCTTCTTTTCCTTCACCAAAGCATGGCGATCGCGGTCGAGCGCTTCCTGCCAGATCTCAAGAGCGGGAGAGTCGACGCGGAGGAAACGGTCGATCTTGAGGACGTCTTTGCGTATCTCGGGGATAGACGGTCGCAGCTTCGGCTCGACGAAGATGCGGCGCAGAAGATGGTTGAGCTCCGGAGAGATGGGAAGGATGTTCTGGAGCGCGTTCGGGTCGCGGCAGAAGTTGTCGTATACGCTGTCTCCTTCCACCGCTTTGTGCCAAGGGTTGCGGCCGGTGACGAGATTGACGAGGATGACGCCAAGCGCCCAGACGTCGGCAGCGGCGGCGCAGTATGGCTCTCGGTTGACTCCATATACCTCTGGAGGCTGATCAACGACTGATATGGAAATGCAGGAGGCGACGCACCGGGAGCCATGTAGAAGCGACTTCCACAACCCCATTCGTGGCACCGCTTCTTGTTCGTGGCTAGCCCGAAGTCCATCAACAGCACCGTCCTGCCATTGTCCTTGACTAGACAGTTCTCCGGTTTGAGATCGCGATGGTATACAGACTTGGAGTGGCAATATTCGACTGCGTTCAAGATCTGCACAAATACCTTTTTGGTGAGAGCGTCGTCACCGTAGTACGTACGCTTGCACACGATCTCCTTGAATAAGTCGCCGCCTGGACAGTACTCGAGGACGAGATAGAACCAGAGGTCGTCTTGCAAGATCTCGATATAGGGAAGGATATTCGGATGGCCGGATATTTCCTTATGATACCGGATCTCGTCTGCGGCGAGTATATGCTCCTTGATAGACATCAGCTTGCACATGCACTTGACGGCGTACTCTTTGAAGCGGCCTGTGCGCTCATTGCGTGGTCCATATGCGTGGATGACGACGCCGAAGGAGCCGTAGCCGATCACCTTGTGCAGATATATACTACCATTGCCGATGAAGTGACCAAGAAGAGACTCGGCACGAGCTACCTTTTGCTCCTTGGTCAGCTTTGGGAAGTGGATGTTCATCGAGGAGTAGCGATAGTGCGCCATGTCGGAGGAGTGAGGCGAGGAAGTCGGAGGTCGGTGTCGAGGAGGGGAGTCGGTGAATGCGATGTACAGTCGAAGTCGGATGATGCTGGTGCACTTGGTTGTTGTGAGAGATGCACCTCCTGATTCGATGGTCTTTTGTAGGTGGTACGATGCAATTTGTTTCACAGGAGATGTCTGACGTTGACCTGGTCTCAAAGGTATCCGTGTCCTATGAGGTTGACTTGGATGATGAACAGGCATTTATCCGCCCTTCTGCGGCGGTAGTAGGTGATTGAGCACTCACCCCGAGTCAATGAGCCTGGATGCATGGTGACGGCGTGTCGGAAGGGTGAAGCGAAACAGACGCGACAAGACGCGGTCAAAGAGACAGACGCTTCTTTAATAGACGGATAGAGGGAAAAGGAATGTCGAGCAGCAAGGTGCGGCAACCATGCGGGGTGCACGCGAGACACGCTGGATGTCGCCCAAGCGGGGATAACCGTTCCCCATAGACCAGATAAGAGTCGACAGTCATGATCCGAGGTCATAAGCAAAAGGGATACGCCTGAGCGGGGAGGAGCTTGAGATGAAAGTAAAGCATGAAAGAGAAGCAAACGACGACCGAGGAGAAAAGGACGACCGAAGCGGGCATTAGACTCTTTCGGGATGTCATTCAGGCGTATAATCACAGCATTAGAGTGCAACCATGATGGAAGTTGGAAACTGACCACGCAGATTAGCTACAACTCTGCGGTCAACTTCTTGCTCCATACGGTACTTTCATGCGTCTACTCGAATATTTCGCCCATTCTAGAACGGTCGCAACAGACAGAAACGGATGAACAGGCTTGCTCATCGTCGCCTCCGCCGTCACGGACGTCCCCCAATGGGGTAAGCCGGAGCAATGCCCCGTGAACCCGCAGATGGCCCACGCGGCCAGGCCGGTGCCGTGATGGCTGAAATCTCACAGTTTAAAAGGATGGAGGAGGAGGAGGAGGGGTCGGCATACACAGCGCTAAAGATAATTTCTCCCCTTTCACTCCATCCTTCATCATGGTCACTTACGGTTCGAACAAGTCCTTCGTCTTGCGAGGCATCGAGGACGTCGTCTACGAAGAGAGACCCGTCCCTGAACGTACGTCCCATGACCCCTTCGCCAGCTCTGAACGCTTCTGACCAGCGCCAACAGTTGCGGACGACGAGGTTCTCATCCAGGTGAAGAAGACAGGTGAGCGCACCTTAATTGTGCCAGCAACGCATATATTGACGTAAAGCTTAGGTATATGCGGTTCTGACGTTCGTGTCCTGTTCCCATGCTTGGTGAATGCTGCGCTCACACTTGCTGTAGGTTCACTATTTGCACCATGGTCGCATTGGTGAGTGTCGTCGCCCATAGGGCAATGTAATGTTCCTAACCAACGTCTAGGTGATTTCATTGTCAATGCCCCGATGGTTCTCGGCCATGAGTCGGCCGGTATTGTCTTCCAGGGTGCGTTCCTTAGCCATACGTACAGAAGTCGTCAAGCTGACAACTTCCTAGTCGGCAAGGGTGTCAAGCACCTCAAGGTCGGCCAAAAAGTCGCGGTAGAGCCCGGTCAGACCTGCCGCAAGTGCAACGCCTGCAAGAGCGGCCGCTACGAGCTCTGCCCCGACATCATCTTCGCTGCTACCCCGCCTTACGATGGCACCCTTGGGCGCTATTATAAGGTGCCGGAAGATCTTGCCTATCCCCTGCCTGACAACCTGGACCTGGAGGACGGTGCCATGGTGAGTTCCGGAATTCCTATTGAGGAGTAACTTCTGACGAGGGGAACAGATGGAGCCACTCTCCGTTGCCATCCACTCCGCCTCCAACATCTCCCAGATCCGGGCCAATCAGGTCGTCGCCGTCTTTGGTGCCGGCCCGGTCGGACTTCTCTGTATGGCCGTCGCCCGCGCCCTTGGTGCCCGCCGAGTCATCGCCATCGATATCAACGAGGCGCGCCTGCAGTTCGCCAAGTCGTACGCAGCGACGGACATCTGGCTGCCGTCCAAGCCCAAGGACGGAGAGTCGCGCATGGACTATTCTCGCCGAAACGCTAACGAGATCCGGGCCGCCTTCGGACTAGAGGAACGTGGGCTCAATGCCGTCGACACGGTGCTCGAGGCTACCGGCGCAGAGGTCTGCATCCAGACCGGTATCTTCCTCGCCAAGGTCGGCGGAGTCTTCACCCAGATCGGCATGGGCACCGAGAACGCCCAGATCCCTATCACCATGGTTCTCGTGAAGGAGCTCCAGTTCCGTGGTTCCTTCCGTTATGGGTATGGGGATTACCCACTGGCGATCTCTTTCGTCGCTCAGGGCAAGATCGATCTCAAGCCCCTCATCACCCACACCTATCAATTCGAGGACGCCGTCGAGGCGTTCGCAGCGACTAAGAAGGGCCTGGGGAAGGACGGCAAGCCAGTGATCAAGGCCATCATCAATGGACCGCAGTAAAGGACTTGTAGACAATAAAGTAAAGAAAATTCTGAGCTGGTTGATGGCTGATTTAATAAATTCCGCACTAGGCGATTTTGATTGCATGTGATAATACAATTGTGTTTGATTACTCCACACCGTCCACTTGCATTGCGCTCGGGTCTTCGGCGTCGTTCACTTCCGCATCTATGTCTAGATCATCAGCCGCCAGTTCTACGGTCGTTTCTTCTGTTGCCTCTCCTACACCTTTATACGCTTGATCCTCCGAAGCCTGTGTCAACGCGCTCTGGAATTGGGAGCTCGTCTCCGTCTTTGTGATCTCTCGCAAGGCCATAGTAGCATACGCGGCCGGGCCAAGGGTGAACTGGACCTGGAGGGCCAAGAATTTGCCATTGGGGTCCACAACAGGCACGTCAAATCCAAGGATCTTGTCCTCGTCCGTCTGGGCAAGGGGCAAGCTCGGGTCTGTATAATGCATCGTCTTCCACGAGAGGTTCTTCACCTGATGGAGGATCTTGCGATACGACCCAGCGAGGGAGAACTCCTTTTGCGGCTTGGAGAAACTCGCCATCGTCAGCCCGTCTGCTTCGAGGAACCGCTTGTACAGCTCGCCGAACTCGCCTCCGGGCATCTGTACGCTGTGCCCGGGAAGGGGCAGGATGACGTCGAAGATGGAGTAGTGTGAGAGATCGTCTTCGGTGAGCTCCTTGACTTTCGGACGACCGGGCCGGCCCGTCTTTGTCTCCGGTTGCTCCTCAGCAAGGTCGAGGTCGACTAGGCGCAGGTGAGCGATTGGTTTCATAGGGAACGATGTGCTCACCACCATCCTCAGTCGTCTGAGAACGTCGAGGAACGTCAAACACCAGATCGCCAACAATTGGCGACTCGCTCCCATACCGTTTTATCCGCTCGGACACCATCGCGTTCCAAACATAGGATTGGTAGGCATGAATATACATCAGTCTCAAGTTTCGCGGGATCTGCTTCTCGTCAGCATCTCCCGTTTCACGTGTAGGAAGAACACACCTTCATCAACGCATCAAGATGGTTCGAAGACCCATGATCCCGGTAATACTCTAGTACGCAAGTCTCGGCCACCACCCTACGTGGCATGAAGACCAGCGCTTGGGCAGCATCGTGTCTCTCCGCCCAAGCCTTTCGCGCACGCTCGACCTCCGGATCTTCCCCAGGGCGAGGCATAAGCAAAAGCTCGCACGCGCGTTTCCAGTCTGAGTGGAGCAGCGCCAGCCCCGTGGCGTGCGTCGGGATTGCTGCGGTGCCGAATCGCTGCATCCCATAGTAGTTGATGAATCCCTTGTCTCTAAGGGAGACCATCGCTTGCTCTATCGTGTCTAGGATATCGACTTTGACGTTCCTGTACTCGTTTAGCGAGCTTCCAAGCAAGTGGACGCGACTCACCGGAGAGTGATAACAAACTCGTTCCCTCTTAACATGCCCAGGTCCAGATGGGTCTTCGAATACGCCAAATCTGAGATCCTGACTCCTCTCTCCCCCCTCGCGGTCAGCGCATCCTTCTCGGTCCTCCGGCGTCCTACAGCGTTCACTCCTCGCCAGACATCCACCAGCGTCCGGTTGAACCGTTTCAGACAGACGCGTTGGCACGTCACCCCCCGCTTGTCCTTCGTCCCTGCGATCATGAGGTCTTTAGGGCTACAGTGGAGCATTCGAGCGAGGTACTGTAACGCGTCGTGGGAATCGCGGTTCGTCTTCTGCAGCGTGAAATGGATATACTGTCCCAGCGCGTCTCTCTCATTCCTGTCGCCTGCTATTATTCAACCTCACGAATGAGCACACATCAAGCTAAAAGCTCACCTTTTCCCCCACCTCGGTCACCGCCTCTCCCCCTCTGGCCCCCTCCACGGGGATTATGACACCACTTGACCCTTATCCTGTTCCCCTGACTCTCAACAGTCTCCGTCTCGAGCTGCCCGCCAAACAGTTCCCTCACAGCCTTGTGCAGCTCTGTACGGCCTTCTTTGGACGATATCGGCTGGGGAGCATGAGTTCTGAGCGCGGGTAGGAGGAGAGGACGTACGTCGGATAAGACTTGACGGGTATCTGCACGCCCACCGCGCGCGCCTCCACGTCCACGACCCCGATCTCGCCCTCCTCTGCCTCCACGACCGTTCCTGTCACGTCTGCCTTTGTCTGCCTGTGGCTCAGGCTCTTTGACCTCTTGAACCGGGGCCTCTCCTGGAGGCGCTTCCCCGGCCTCTTTCCCGTCCTGGCCACTAACTTGTTCTGTATTTCCTTCCTTCCCTCCCTCGAACCCGTCCTTCCCTCCCTCGGCCCCGTCCTTTCTGCCCTCATCCCCAGCCTCCCCTTTCACCCTCCTCCCCTCCCACCCCATATCACTCACCAAAGGCACCTCCTTCCCCTCCCTCCAGAGTCTCTCGAGCGCCTCCATCGCCTCCGCTCCAAACCAAGGCTTGAGCCTTTCGCCCGTATCGGGCGTCCAGTCGTATGTCGTTTTCTGGGCTTTGGCGGGCTTGGACGGGCTGGGGAGGGAGGCGGTGGGCGCTGAGGTGTCTGCTTCGGAGTCGGGGATTTCGGGTTTGGGAGATTTATCTTCGGGCTTGGAGGATATTTCGGGTTTGGACTTCTTGACCACTTGCGGGGGACCGATATCCTTAACATGTACCACTTCCCCATTCAAGTCCACCTCAAATACCAAAAAGTCCGTGAACCTAGCAAATCAACCACCCAAACAACAAGAGCGATCAATCAGCACCCAACAGTGGAAGAAGCTCGGAACTTACCGTTGCTTGACGATACCCTCTACCTTGCCTGTGAAGGACAGGTATTGGTTGATCCCAACTTCGGGTTCTTGTGCTGGTTTGGGGACTGACGGAGGGCGGGGAGGGAGTAGGAGGGAAAGGGAAGGCGGATGCAAGGAAGTGGTCGAGTACTGCTGCGTTGGGTTGGGCTCTGGAGGAGCGGCGGTAGGGGGTTGTTCAGCACTTGAGAATGCCGGCTCTGAAGGTGCTTGAGCTGCGAGAACGGGCTCTGAGCTTGACGCCGACGCCGACGTCAATGTTAGCTGCTCCCTGTCATGGTCGACGAGCTCAGCTATGCGAGGACGTTTCGCCGCTGGTTCTTCTAGTTCTTCCTCTCTGGGTCGGACTTGGGATCCGTCCATTATGAGTTTCCTTGTTGACTAGTAGTAGGTGATTGAGCAGCCGTCGAGCTACAGTTTTCTAGTTGATGAAGTCTTGGTGAGAGAACCCTGATGTGGCCAAATGTTTGAATTTTATTTATTTCTTCAACACGAACGTCGACAGTGAACAATAAACAAACGTTCTGCCAACGATGTCGCCGCAAGTGCAAACGCAGACGTACGACGTCCGGCTCTCCAACCACACCAACCCCGCCGCTCGCGCTCTACTAGAATGCATACTCCGCAAACGGTCCAACCTCTGTGTATCAGTCGACCTTTCCACGAGCGCAGAGCTGCTCGAGGTAGTAGACGCCGTCGGCCCCAGCGTGTGTCTGATCAAGGTGCCTCCCTACCAGCTGTACGTAAAATGGTGCTGATTGGGTAGACGCATATGGACATTGTGGAAGACTTTGATCAGAGCGTTATTGACCGCCTTCGAGTGCTGAGTGAGAAACACGATTTTCTGATATTTGAAGACCGCAAGTTTGCTGATATCGGTGTGTCTTCTTTCACCTCCCTCGTCGCTTATGCACAGCTCACCGACTTGGTGTAGGGAACACGGTAGTACTGCAGTACTCCAAAGGAGTGCATAAGATCGCCTCCTGGGCACAGCTCACCAATGCCCACGTTGTGCCCGGGTCAGGGATAATCACCGGCCTCGCATCGGTTGGTCTTCCCCTGGGCAGGGGCCTCCTACTCCTAGCGGAGATGAGCAGCGCCGGTACGCTCGCCCAAGGTGCATATACCGATGCTGCACTCGCAATGGCCCGAGAGCACAGGGACTTTGTCGTCGGGTTTATTGCGCAGCGCCGGTTGGGAGACGAGGACTGGCTGATCCTCACTCCTGGTGTGCAGCTGGGCAGTGGGGGAGATAGCATGGGCCAGCAGTACAATACGCCTAGGGAGGTGGTGCGCCGGGGTGCGGATGTGATTATCGTTGGGCGGGGTGTGTATGGGAAGAGAGGAGAAGCAGGCAAGGAGGCGGAAAGGTATAGGAAAGAAGGATGGGAGGCGTATCTTGCGAGGGTTGGTGGTGGTAAAGAGGAGAGTGACGGTGATGGCAGGAAGGGAGAGGATGTCGAGGTGTAGTTTATATACATTTTATTGTTGATGATAAACAAATGTGATAATTAATATTAATGAAATCAATGGAAATGTATTGTTAAGAATATTTCCATTCCATTTCCAGCGCATTTCCCTTCTATGTACGGTAATATTCCATCGCATTTCCCTAAAAGTGGCTGATTTCCCCAGAATTTCCATCGCTGACATCCCTCATTCACGTCACTCAACGGACACTTATCTCCGTCGTCACTCTTCCTTCCTCATCGTCCTTCCTTCTCTCCTCATCGTCTTTCCTATCTCCCTCACCGTCCGAGCCAGGTATATGCGCCTATTCTTGTCGATCTAACAGCCCTCTTCCGCTATCCGCCACCTACCCTCCAACCCTCAAACAGGAAACACCGGAGTAAGCGCAGGTACACCGCCGCGACCCACGCACGCATCGACTGCGCTCTGGCTTACGCACCTCAGACCCTGCAGCCGCTCGCATCGCACGTGTGGGGAACGTACATAAACCTGCTGCTAGGCACTTCGAGGCTTCTGTAAAGTAATGGACGCGATGGACATGCTCGATTTGCTTAGGACGGAGACGCCCGTGACGGCGGTTCCTGCTCCGCCGACGACGACAACAACTCCGACAACAACTGTCACACCTACAATCACAACCGACACAGCAGCAACAACAACATTGCGGACACAAGAATCAGATGGACGGCCAGTGCCCGAAAGAAAACTCACAAAGCCAGACCGAGCCCTCCCGTCCACTCCCACAGAAACGGACAACAAACTAGCTCAATCAATGGCAAACTCTCTCATCCTCCAGCCCAGCGCCGAGTCGTCCAGCACGTCGATCTACTCTGACACGCCTAGCGAGCCAGCGCCTGTGCCCCCGGAGCTGGTTGAACTCCCCCCTTCTCAGCCCCCTTCCGCCCGTGTGGACATAGACATGGAGTCCCTCTTCCTTTCCGGACCTGTCGTCCAGTCCCCCACCATAGCATCGCCATTGGACGGGGCAGAAGGCACCGACGACACCCACCTAACTCCCCTACGCGCGCACTACCTCAAGAAGACGCTCGTTGAGCTCGAGCTCTCGCAGGAGCTCCAGCTGCTCACGACCCCTCCACATAATCCGGAAGTCAGCACGCTCTCCTTCCTCGGCTCGCCTTTCGCGCCTGCACCCAAGGGTGCGCAAGTGGAGGACCTCCCGCTGCTGCGGTACATGTTCCGCCAGTTTGTGCTCACCTTTCCGTTCCTGAGCGCAGCGCCCAAAGACTTCTTTTCCGGCAAGTTGCAGCCATTCGTTGCCAGTCTTCTGTCGCGCAATTTGGGAGCCGCGAACCCGCTCCTGGATACGGAGGACGATCAGACCGAAGCCCAGTCCCGCCGACGCATGTTCCAGAAGATGGAAAAGCATATCGGGCTTGTCCTCGGCGCAGCGACAAAGCTTAGCGAACCGGAAGACGTCGTCAGGCTCACGCAGAAAGACCTGGAGAGGCTTGAAGAGCTCGCGAGGAGACGCAAGAGGAGGGTGAGGGAGGAAGACGTGTTTGACGTGAATATCGTTAGTGTGCGGAGTGTGATTGCCAAAGGACGCGTGAGGAGTCGGGCACACGAGGTATGTCCTTCGAACACGCGCGCGAGTATGTCACTCATCCCTGTGACAGGAATTCGTCGTCCGCACGAGGCGCTCTGATTTCCCCGACATATTCGTCTCCAGGCGATACGGCGACTTCCGTACTCTGGCAGAAGAGCTGCGCAAGCAGCACCCGATGGAGAACGTCCGCCCCCCGCCGGGGAAGGATAAAGCCGCAGCGACGTTTACCCAGGCGGCGAGCTCGAGTATCCGGAGTATGTACGGCGGGAACGGGAGCGGGAGCGGGAGCGGGAGTGGGAGTGTGAGTCAGGCAAACTCGAATTCGGACGAGTCCCTCCCTAAGAGCTTCCCGGGGAGCTTCACACCCACCCCCCAGTCGAGCGGGTACAGCAGCCCTTCAGGCTCGGTATCGGGGTCGGCGTATGCTCAGCAGGCGACCTCCCTCTCCCGAGAGAAGAACCGGCTGACATTGCGTGCTTATCTACACTCACTACTTGCCAACTCGGCGCTTGCCAGCAGCCCCGTACTCAGGAGCTTCCTCACCGCCAACCCGATCAAGCTCTCCCCGGAGGAAGAAGTAGACATGCACCGCCGTGAAGAGGCGGACCGGGTGAGAGAAGAGGGCAGGAAGAGGTTTGCCAAGGAGGTTGCGGTGCGTGTGGAGGGCTTGAGGGGAGCGGTGAGGGAGGTTAAGGGAAACTTGATGGCAAAAGGTGCTTGTCTGCTATCTTCTTCATGCGGAGCCCGTGTTTATGGGTGTAGATGGCCTCACCCAAATATTCTCGACTGTCAAGATTACTTCGGACATAAAAAACCTGCCCGCAGACTATCAAGCCGTCATCGCGTGGGGCCGGATCTCCCTCGCAGCCGCGATCTTCCAGACGTTCGTAGCGTCTGACACTGGGTCGGAGACGCTTGCGAACCTGAAACGCATCCATGGGATGATGCCGTATTTTATGCTCAAGGGCATCTTACGCATTAGCAACCCTATTGCTATGATCCGAGGTGTGTCTTCTTCCTCACCGATAGAGCACGAGACGCTCATGCGAGATCAGGCGTGCTGGACCTCTTCCTTGCGGCGCCATTTGGCGGGCCCTCCCTCCTCCAGCGGATGTTCTCGACCTCCCTCTCGGAGGAAGTCAAGGGCTTGCAAGAGGATATCCAGGGAGTGAAGGACAAGATCCAGGATGACGTCTTATGCGAGAAAGTCAAGATATTTGTTGATGCGCCTGCGGAGATCCAGCAGGTTTATAAGGCCGATGCTGGTGCGTCTGTTCAGTCGCACGGGTTATCTGGAATTGACGACTTGCAGAGGAAGAAAACATCGCCCTCCTTGCTGTGATCTTCCGGTCTCCTGAAGGTCCCCCGTTGGACCGTGATCAATTCCAACGAGTTGTGCGCGCTTCCCGTGCCCACGCAACTTACCTTCACCAACGGGCGTCGCTCGACGACTCGGACGACGACACCGGTCCTTCGGAGGACGAAGCGTGGCTATTTGAAGATCTTGGTATCCTGCTCAAGCTCTCTGCGCGACTCAAGGACCGTGAGCAGATGCTTGCGCTGATCTTTGAAGGGTCGACCGCGGAGCTGTTGAAGGATATTATCACTATTTTCTATAGCCCGCTGGCGCAGGTTTACAAGGCTGCGAGTATCGCCGATTCCCTGGGCGATTTGCAGACTTTTATCACTGATCTTATCAGAACTGTCGAGGCTGTTGAAGAACGTGAGTCAATGACGGGTTCCGAGTCGATAGTGGCTGATGAAAGGACAGTGAGGCAGGAAGACCCGCACCGGACGGTACAGACCTTTATCGACCTCGTCCAGCGCCACGAGCAGTCCTTCTACACGTTTGTCCATCGGGTGCACTCTAAAGGCGCAGGACTGTTCGATGGCCTCATCCGATGGATCGAGCTCTTCCTGGATCTCATGCGGGAGGGTCTGGGCTCGCCTGTCAGCCTTGAGTTTATCCTCCCTGCGGCGGACACGGAGCGCGCGGAGATATTCCGCGAAGTGGACAAAGTCGCGCATTATCATTACCGGCTCAAGGTCGCTTACGAGGAGAAGCTCCGGCGGAGGTTCAATAACGGCCGGAACGATACGGCGACGCAGAAAGAGGAGGAGATCGCCCGTGACCTCGTAGATGGTGTCGTACGGGATCTGAGCTTTGGCGAGCTGGTGAGGGGGGACGCGACTGGGATCGCTGCGGAGGAGAGCGATGATGAAAAGAGCGACGAGTATGATTCAGACGAATCGGACGAGACGACTGAGGAGTCCGAGTCTGAGGTCAGCACCCAGACCCCATCGGTCGAGGAACGGAAGCCTATGCACAGGCCAACGCGGAGCGCAACCATCACCTCGCACTCTTCCCAGCGGACAGCTTCGACCCTTACAAGGCGCGCGACTGTCGGCTCTACACTAAAGAAACCGGCACTGGAAGCACCCCGTTCGTCTTCTGGTATGGGTCAGCTGCCGAAGCCCAAGCTCCCCAAGCAGGCGGGAAGTGACCTACAGCCACCGGATCTCAAGCATATACCTATATTGGTACCAATCTTTGTAGAGATTGTGAGTGTTCATCGTCTGACTCGGGAGTGTAGTCACTGATGTTCTCTCAGATACGACCGTCGCTGATACCTAGATCTTTATGATGTTCTTCCGCAAGTAATGACCGGCTATATGACTCAAGCTGTACACGTAGATTCCGTAACATACTTATGCACATTGGCTGTACTTCATAACAATGATACATTTTTCATCATTGAGCAGGGCTACACGATGTGGTGATACTACCCAGGCAGTAGGGTATCCAACATCACAGCGACTTGTACAGTTCTACATCGACCTCTTTCAACAATTTCTGCACCTCTGGATCATCAGACGGTGTAATCTGCGTACACAGCGCTAGGGCGACGTCTTTCTCCCTGTCAATCCACCAGTAACAACTGGATGACCCGTCCCACTGTACAGTGCCCTTTGACCGGCCCGTGGGCAGGTCTTCGTCGAACACCATCCCCAGCTGTCGTTGTCAAAGTCGTTCAGCGATGAAAACAAATAGAGATTCTTACAAGACTATGATCCTTCCGGTGCATCTTGTTGATGCTCTCCTTTTCCCTCTCCTTCAACTGACCGCGCATGCCCATCCTAAGTGTCTCCTGTCCGATAATCCTCGTTCCATCCTCCGCCGTCCCACCCCTGAGGATCATCTGAAAGAACCTTCCATAATCCTTAGCAGTACTCCACAGCCCTCCCCCTCCCGAAGACTGGGTGACCTCAAACCTCCAGTACTCGCTCGCGTTGGGGACGACGTTCCCGTTCGGCAAGCGCGTGTAGGGCGACGCTTTCCGCTGGATCATGGACGGTGTGAGGTCGAAGGAGGTGCTGTCCATCCCCAGGGGAAGGAACAGATGTTCGGCCATGAAATCTCCCAGATTCTGTCCTGTGAGCTCTTCAAGCGCAACGGCGGCACAGTCCACTCCCTACCACGACCATGTTAGCCTGTAGAGTAGCAGACAGGGGAGAGACGCACCATTCCGTAATGCCATTCTTCGCTTGGTTCGAACCAGAACGGCCCGAGTGCCCCGCGTGTGTCGCCTACCACCTTTGGCTGGCGTTCGATGGCCTGCGCATGCGGGTAGTGGGCGCTGTAGACCAGCCCGGTGGAATGGGTAAGCAGGTGCCGGAGGGTGATGGGTTTTGGGGCGGTGGGGGTATCCCCTGATGAACAGGGCTGGGAGCGGTCGTTTCTGTTTGCAAGGGATATTAGGGTACTGCTGCAGGCGTGTTGAGTGCGTACATCAAGTTCGTCAACCCCGGCACCGTCTGGCAGAGATCATCATCCAACCCTACCAACCCTCGCTCAACAGCGATAAGCACCGCAACAGCCGCTACCAAAACGGGTATCCCATCTCAGCCCTTCTCCTCACACACCAAACCGGGGACGCACTAACAACCTTGGTCATACTCGCCATCCACACGACGGTATCTTCCGTCCAGGGGTCATCGGGCCAGGTAGGATCTCGCAGGCCGAAGGCACCGGTGTACAGTGATTGGGAGGAACGGACGATGTTGAGGGAGAGACCGGGTATGCCGTTGGGTTTGGAGGTGGAGGAGAGGATAAGAGCGTCGAGCGTCGCTGTGAGGGGCATTGTGTGCTGACAGTGAGCAGAACAGGAGAGGTCACGCTGCACTCGTCTGCCGATATATATTCCTTACACGGGCGCTTGTGCTCGGGCGGCTAATGATGACCAACAATTTCATTTCTTAATTTCCCATTCAATACACGTCACACCGTCACTCACGCCTTAAGTGCCTTATACACCTCCGTCTCCACGCCAACCACCAGTTTTTGCACGTCCGGATCTCCGAACGGCAGGATCTGCACACACTGCACGAGCGCTACGTCCGTCTTGGTGTCTACGAACCAGTGGCACGAGGGGGCGCCGTCCCACTGGATGCTGCCTGCTGGGCGGCCGGTGGTGAGGTCTTGCTCGAATGTCATGCCGAACTGCGTGATTCAGTCAGCGCTGCTTGAAGAAGAGTGGAGAAAGGAACTCACAAGACCATAGTCGCGCTTCGCTCCGGGGTGCTTGGACGGCTGCGTCTCCTTATGCCCATCGTTGATGCTCTGCTTCGCACCCGGCTCCAAATGCCCCTGCATCCCCAGGTCAATAGTCTCTTTCTTGATGAGCACCTTCCCCTCGGGTGTCTTGCCCCCACTCAAGATCATCCTCAAGAACTTGGCATAGTCCTCTGCCGTGCTCCACAGTCCTCCACCACCTGACTCCTGCTCTACCTCAAAGGCGAACATCTCCCCTTCGTTGGGAAGGATCTTGCCCTCTTTCCTTGCGTAAGGGGCAGCTTTCCGAGCCAGCATATCCGGTCGCATGTTGAACCCGGTACTTGTCATCCCGAGCGGGTCAAACAGGTTCTGGCGCATGAATTCGCCCAGTTTAAGCCCGGAACAGTGTTCGACCACAAGGCCGGCATAGTCGATCCCCATCCCGTAATGCCATTCCTCCCCTGCCTCGTGCCAGGAGGGGAACTTGAAGGCCTCCCGCTTCCCGGTGCGCAACCCAGGAATCCCGTGCTTGTCCGCGTAGGCCTGGGAATGCGGGTACCACATAGAGTAGAGGATACCGTTAGAGTGGGTAAGCATGTGTCGAAGAGTGACAGCCTTTGTCGCGGGCTTGAGGGTGTAGTTCCCGTCCTCGAACGGCTTTGTGCGGTCGATTCTGCGAGTAGTGAGCGCGTGTCATCGAGAGAGGGGAGGACGTACACCTGGAGATCTTTCAGCTCGGGGATTATCGGCCTGAGATCGTCATCCAGCCCAATCAGTCCCCGCTCAACGACCATCATGGCGCATATACTCGCTTTTCCCTTCAGCTTCCCCTTCCGTCACTCACAAAATATGTTACTCACTAACAGCCTTGCTCATACTTGCGATCCAGAGCACGGTGTCAACCGTCATGGGCTGCTGGGGGTTGGCGAGGTCCCGCACACCCGCAGCGCCGGAGTATATGGGGCCTGTAGACCGGGTTATGACGAGAGACACTCCGGGAATGCCATCGGGCTTGGAAGTAGCGGCTTGGAGCAGACCGTCGAGTGTCGCTTTGAGGGAGTCCATGATGGTGGTGGGAGAGGAGCAAGTTGAAGGGCCATGGCGTGGATATATTGTGTGGATGAAGAGGTCACGCAGTCTGAACGGAACAATGTAATGCCCTCCAGCATACACCGGGCCTGTATCCCTTGACTTACCGTAATTGGCTCAGCGTCGGAGCGCTGACGGGTGAATGCCCGAGATTGCTGTCATTTACTTCATTTCTATTTCTGATAATATTTAATTTAGATATTAATTCTGCTTAGTACGGCAGTACCTCGGATGGCAAGAGATGCGTAATTATGTTGCTACTGTAGAGTAAAGTTGCCCCTTTGCTAAGAGGAATCTGGGGTTGTTGCCAGGGAGTGGAGGCCAGCAATTGGGAGGATCTTGTCCGTTGTTGGAAGAAATAGATTATCTTAATGTGGGTGTATGACAGATAGCGAATATCAGTATTTTGTAGATCAGTATTTTATTCTGATTGAAATGTTGGTATGAAAGTCTGTTCAACTGAGAACAGAACATTTTCTTGGACTGGAATGCAACGAGCAATTGCTTCAGAGGCAGTGACAAAGTGAAATAGCCCATACGAGGTGATGAGCAACCAGCAGAAGAGATGTCCCACCCAATTTGGCTATTGTTATTGTGCAGAATTCCGGTTGATCTGCCTGGAACAAGAATGAATGCAACTTGCTTATATGCCCACGAGGAAGATAGCCACATTTGGTGCATTCTGATGATGGTGCCTTTTCCCATCAGCAACAGTTGCCAACTGCCATCTTCTAGAATTGTGAATGTTTGCCTCATCCACAGGTCACAGGTGGAAAGGCAGCATGCCAGGCATCAACAAGACAAGCACAAAGGGTAATAATCTCATTGATGCTCATGATGATTCGATGGTTGCCAGGAGACAAAAGAAAGTCTGCAAAATTGCAGTTTCAGGGTGAATAAAATAATGAAGAGTAATCAAAGGAGGGTGGTGTCATCCCCCCCCATGAGACATGTCAGAGCATGGGTGGCACAGCCTCCACCCATACAAGCAAAGTTTTCCCACAGATGACATGTTGTCTTCACTGTTCTACAACCACCACATTGACATGGTGGTATTGCCAATAGTTCTTGCTTTGCTTTTGCCTTCTGCCTGCTGTGGACAGCCTGCTGGCTGACCTGCAGGTGTCAACAAACTTGGTTGTGTCTTTGTGATGGGTATCCGGTTGCGAGACAAGCTGTGAAAGCACAGGAGCGCAGCTGCTCAGGCTAGGAAGGACCAGAACTGGGTAGTGGATTGTCAGGAGTTTGGGAGGAGGGGAAATGGTGTGCTCTATCATGCTGTTTTTCTCACACCTCTGGTCTAGCCCTGTACTCAGACATCAACATTCTTTCCTCCCTTCCAGACACCTTTCTCAAATGGCCATGGAGCAATGGGGCTGTCATTGACACCCTGACAACATTATTCACCAAAACTTCACTCCCTGCTCCCCTTCCTTCTGCTCCTCTCCAAGGAGACTGGATCTACTGTGTTCAACCTACATCTCCTCTCCCTCTTGGCATGCCAACTACACCCCCAGTCTTTTGTATTCACCATGCTATTTCTCTTGATGTCTGCAGGGTTATGGTATGGTTCCTGTCTGCTCTCTATGCTACCAATCCGACTCAGCATCTGCATAACAATGACACCTATCACTCTGCTATTCCTGCACTGCATGTGGGTGTCTGGCATTGGTCTAGCAGCATTCCAGCCTTCTCTCAGGACACCATTCATCAGTCTCCTTCCACCATCAAGTATATCAATTGCATGATCAAGTATCTATCAGATGTGGTGGGGAAGCAAGCTATGCAGCTGCTAGCCAGCCATCAGCCTGTGGTTGCAGAGGAAAGACAAAAGTAAGTTCCAATCAGATGTGGTTTGTTCTGCCTCTCACACCTATCTAGAATTCTGGATCATACCTACTCCCACCCAGCATTGGCTGACACTCTGATGGCTCATCCAGCACTTTGGCAGTGTGCCTGGCATATGTTGGCCTGGAGAGCAGGCTCAGCCTTTGTGCCACACTGTGATCTTAATGATGATCTCCATCAGTACACCATCCTCTTTGTCTTTGGCAACTTCACCCATGGCTATTTGGTGCTTCCTCAGCTTGGCATTCAGATTCCTTTGAAGCCTGGTCAACTGCTCTTTATCAGCACCTGTCTCTTGGTCCACCATGCAACCCACTTCAAAGGAGTTAGGTATGTGTTCTCAGGCTTCATGGACAGTACCCTTTGCAAAGACTATAGAAAGACTACAACCTCTGCATAGTATAGTCTTCAGCTCCTTAAATGATATGCCTTATGCATCTTTGCTGTGTTTAACTGGAATCCAAATGCTGATTCCTGCTGTCTCAAGGTCCAATAGCTAGAACTGTGGTGGTCACATGCACTGGATAGTGGACATTTCAGTTCAGCCCTGAGGATGGCAGGCAAGACAGGGGATGACACAGCAGGACCCAGGTTCAGCAACAATAGTAAGTTATAGTATCAAACAGAGGCTGGACATGGGAGGAATATTTATTCATAGCAAGCATCCATCCCTGCTTCAGCATTGCACCATCATGTCCATTATTCTCACAGCTGTTGGGGGCTGCTATGACTGGCGAAAGTCACCCATTCCTGCACACACACACACACTTACAGTGTTGCCTTGCCTCTTGCTGCCCATGCCAGTAGTCTCCAGTATATTACCAGCAGCAGCAATGATCTCACAGGTATTCTCCACTACTTTCTGCCAATAGGTGCTCCTGAACTGATTATGGGAGTCTATAGCATCATGGCCAAGATCACTAGCAAGAATCCTGGGATGCAGGTGGGAGATGGATTCATAGGGGAGACATGATTTTGAGCTGGATTGCTTGGTGGTGCATCTGATTCAGGCTGCTACTTTGTCTTCTGTACTAACTTGCACTTAGCTCCTTCTTTCATCTGATGAGAAGTACTCAATCCCACCCATCATATGCATTGCAGCATGTCCATATAATGTGCAAGCTCCGGTGCTTCTTCTCAGATGAAGGCTGGTTTGCCTGTTCTGCCCCAAAGGTCTCAGTGACAACCACACTGCACATTACTGGTGTTCCCACAGGCCTGGCTTTGCCTTTGGGTGAGGGTGGGCAGGAGGACTGCTTATCACTCCAGGTTCATCTCTTTGCTTACTTACTTCAATGTAATGTTCTGACTGTATATGAAGATTCTCAATCTTGACTACCTCCCCACATCACTAAGCAGCACCTCAACAGCTGCACCAGTCATACCTTCAAAGGCAGGTGGCTTTCAATGGCACAGTTTGGAGAAGACAGCAGGAGTTTCTCAGCAACCCTCAGATATCAGCTCTTCATCTCCAGCAATAGCAACTACAGCAGCACTGTCTGGATCTGATGCCTCAGATAGCTTGATGGCTGCAGCTAGCACAGAAGGGAAAGGAGAAGAAGGACATGCATGGAAGCATAGCTGGAGAACCTAGGCTTGCTTCACATATGGGGTGCATCTTGACCAGATACACCTGTCTCTAGCCTGTCTCACACATTGTCAATTGAATTTGGATACTGCCAATGGGTACCCTTGCACCTTTTGCATAAATGTCCCTATGTGGGAAATGAGCAGTGATCCCTTAGTGGTCTGCCTGATGCCTCATTGCTGTTGGACTCCCTCTGAAGAACAGGCATGCTATGCCTGCCAATCTGCTGATCCTCACTGGCATGAACATTGTCAAGAGCAGAATACAAGGCAGCAAGCAGAACATTGAGCATGGCAAACTCCTCAACAGCATGCTGAGAATCTTGCAAGATGACAGCAGGCTATCCTCAAATGGAACAGGGTGTGTCTTTACTGCCATGCCAGCCTTCTCAGGTAAGACACCAATGACTAGTGTGGGTGGCTGAGACACTGATGGCTGAGCTCCAGTGGAGAGCCTGCCACATTCTGCTGCAATGGGGCCAATATCAGTTACCTCCTCTACCACCTTTACCAGAAGAATTTGGCATTCTGCTAGCTCATCCACATATCTCTGAGCTGTCTTGCAAGCTCAATAGTCTCTTTGCATTTATGGCTATTGGCACATCAGAAGCTTTCATCAACAACCCTGCTCCTTCCAATGTGGTGCTTACAGGATGCACTTATCACTGTATGCTTGATATAGCAGAGCCAGCTCACTTGATCCACTGGTTTCTCTATGATGTGCATGAGAGGGAGCAAGCAGCTTGAGCTCAGCAGGTACCTCAGCCATTGCTCACTGCAGTGTCATTGGTGCTCAAACAGCATAATCCATATCTTCATGCACTCCAACATTTTCAGCATGTGGAACTGCCTGATGTTGCAATGTTGGAATTGCCAGAGCATACAGCAGCAGGTGACTTTGCCACTATAATGCATGCCAATAACAGTACTGTGGTGGATCCATGTAGCATCTTGATCTGGCACTTGGGTATGTGTAACAGTCTGCTCAGAGGTATATGATGGCTGACTTCTGTGCCAGGTGCAGAACAGCCATCCTTTATCAGCATTTTCAGCCAACATTACGAGCCACTTCAGTACCCACTTCTCTTTCCCCATGCAACAGCTGGATGGGGCCTGCTTGGCTATGATGACCCTCAAGGACTTTGTCTGGGTTGTCCTTGCTACCCCCATGGTCTCACCCAGATGCAATGGTATTGCAATCAGCTTCTCACAGAGGATCACTTCCTCTGCTTTGGTTGCCTTGCAAATGAGTATATATGTGATATGTTCTCTTGCATGGAAGAGCAGTGCCTGTACTATATTGGCAAGGCATGGGAGCATCAGGCTGCAAGATGCAGAGAACAGAGGGAGGAAGGAGAGGCTGAGGAGGAGGCTGAGCTGGACATTGAGTTGCCTGCCAGCTTTACTGGCTCATGCAGATGGGCAAGTGAACAGACTGCAGACTCACTCTCTTTGGCCCAGACTGATGGGAAGGCCAGTCTGTTCATAACTATGACATGCAATCCAACTTGGCCAGAGATCCTCAATGTACTTTGACCAGGACAGAGTGCATCAGATGTCCCAATGGTAGTGGCCTGCATCTTCAAGCTTTGTCTGCAGCACTTTCATCATCTTCTCCATCAACACTTTGGCAAATTGGTGTATATTGTGCAGGTTATTGAGTTTCAGAAGCATGGCCTGCCACATGCACACATCATTATGAAGGTGTGTTTAGGTTTGGCAATATTGCTCTGTTCCTCACATGGACTGCCTAGGTTCATCCTGAGCTGCCACCAGATCAGATTGATCAGGGAATTCATGCTTGCCTTCCAGAAGATCCCTGGCTAGCTGCCAAGATCCAATGATGGATGCTTCACCCTCAAGATCATCTCAGCCCAGACTGATATAGCCATTGCAATAGGGATGGTCAGTGCATATATGGGTTCCCACATACCCTCCAAGATGAAACATTAGTGGATGCTGATGGCTTTGCTCACTACAAGAGGGTCACAGAGATTGACTGGTGGATAGCACCTCATATGCCACTCTTTGTGGGTGAGCTTGACTGTCATGTTCATGCTGACATTGTGGCAACTTCACACATTTTCATCTACCTCTACAAGTACCTATTCAAGGGCATTGATCATACTCTCTTTGCAGTCTTGGATGAAAACTGGCTTGCCATCAATGAGATCACCAACTACATCAAGGGCCATTATCTTTCTGCCACAGAAGGTGCCTGGAGGATTGCAGGCTTTGATATTATTATGCGATCTCCTTCTGTCACATGGCTAGCAGTGCACTTGGAGGGAGAAAACTATGGGCAGTTTTTCTGAGCACACAATAATGAATCTTCAGCCTCAACTCTGTTGCACTACTTTGCCCAACCCCAACTGCCTCAATTTCTGCCTTTGCTCTATGAAGAGTATTTTTCACAATATATTCTTGAGACCTGGAATGGCCAACTGCCTAATAATGTGACAACTTTCCTGGAGGAGCCATGGCAGTACATGCCTCAGAAGCTTGTCAAACGACAGACCACCTCCCACCATGCTTGCCTTCAGAGTATCTTGCCCTCTGCTGGAGATGTCTTCTACCTTTGGTGCTTGCTACAGCATCGCTCAGCTCTCAGTCATGCAGAGCTGTATCAGGTTCAGCAGGTTCAATACAACTCCTACCCAGCAGTTGCACATGCCTTGGGCCTGTTTGATGATGAACATGAGGGTGCATATGCACTTGCTGAGGCAGTTTTGGATCTATGCACTCCTAGCCAGTTGCAGTTCCTCTTTGCATCCATCATTATTAAAGGCTATCCTGCTCCTCCACTATGGACATGGTACAGAGATGAACTCTCTGTAGACTTCAGGCAATGCCTACAAGATGTTAAGATGGCCTATGACCAGACACTTCTTGCTATTGGTGAGTTTCTTGCAGACATTGGCAAGGAGCTAAGGCAGTATGGTTTATGACAGCCAAACTGTTGGTCTGCAGAGGTGGAAGAAGAGCTTGCTGCTTTTGCTCCTCATGTGCTCAGATTAGCTGAGGAATGGCAGGTGGCTTTTGCCAGGTTTACTGCAGAGCAACAGCTGCTCTTCAATGAGTTCCATCAAAAACTGGGTGCTGTTCCACATGACTCCACACCAATGTTTCTTGAGGGAAAGCCGGGTCAAGGAAAAAACATACCTGGTGAATGCACTCTGTGCTTGGCTTCACAGCCATGGCAATGTGGTGCTCATGGTTGCATCAACAGGAATTGCTGCATCCAATTACAGGAGGGGACATACAGCACATTCTCTGTTTCAGATTCCAGTTCATGAGGTACTAGACTGCATAGCAGTTGCATTATCAGATTTTTTTTTTCAGGATCATGTTGGCATTACATCAGAGATTCAAGTACCATCACTCTGTGCTGATCTCATCCATGCTTCCAGCTTGATTGTTTTTGATGAGCTTCCAGGAGCAAATTGAACAACAGTGGAAGCTATTGATGCCATCTGTCACCTCATTGAAAAAAGGGATATTCCATTTGGAGGCATACCTTTTCTTGGTGTGGGGGATTTCCATCAGGTTGCTCCTGTTGTAAAGGATGGGGGAAGCATGGCATCCTATGCTGCTTCAATCCTCTCCAGCCCTTTATGGCATTTCTTCCAGCTTCACACCCTCCATGCACCAATATGAAATCAGCAAGACCTGGAATTTTCAGAGTTTGTGGATGAGGTTGGAGCAGATATATTGCAACAGAGGATTCAGCTTCCGATGTTTGGGATCATCAAGTCAGAGATGGAGGTGCTCAACTTTCTCTATCCACCTCCAATTCTGAATGACCTGGCAGCCTGTATGTGCTGCAGCTTTTTATCTCCTCTAAACAAGGTTGTTGATGAGTTCAACACATTAGCATTGAGTTTGCTTGCCACAGATGAAAGCATGCTTCTTACCTTCTTTAGAATGCATGGCTAATATATTCTATCAAGTGGTCTATTACAGTGCCAATTCCATCAAGGAGGCTGATGACTTGGATGCCGATGATCTGCACGTTTTGTCAGACTATTTAAACAACCTACAGAAGACAGGAGTGCCTCCACATGAATTGGTGCTTAAGGTGGGCTCTATCTGTGCACTGATGCAAAACCTCTCTGTGAAGGCTAGGGTGGTGAAACATGCACAGGTGGTAATTGAGAAGTTGCATCAAAGGTTTGTGCAGGTCCGTGTCTTGGAAGCCAATGGTGAGGTGGGGGATGCGGTACACTGCATCCCATGGATCCATTTCTCCTTTTGACCATTCTGTGCCAGCTGGACTGTGATATGTATGCAAATACCACTTCGACTGGCATATGCAACTACCTTTAATGCCTGTCAGGGTCTTACCCTAGACCGGACAGTGCTGGATGGACGGAGTGATGTTTTTGCACATGGGCAGCTCTATACAGCGCTTACTTGAGTGCAAACTAGACAAGATAGCATGCTTCTATTAGATGAGCACCGAGACCACACAGTGGCTAACTTACAGAGTGCAAGGCTTATGCTTCCGCTTATATAGACTGTACCTCCATTGATACATAGATCCGTGCAGTCTTGCACCCGAAGGGTGCTATGCCCTTGTATAAAAGAAAAGAAGATGTGAAGTAAAAGGAGGGTCAAATAGTAGTACAAAGTAGCTTCCATCTTCTTCCGGTTATGCATTAGTGCTTCGTTGCATGCTGCTTCACCGTGCCCTTGTCCTGAGCTCTCCATCTCCTCGACCACTACCACCACCATCTCCTCTTCCTCCTCTTATCCCTTTCACTTTCTTGCTTGTTTACATTGTTGGACTATACGTTGTCTACTACTTGCGCTCAGTGTTGCTTCTACTCTGGGCTACTCAACGCACAACATCTTCCGCCCCGTTTCCGCATTCACGTAACCGTATCTTCTGCACCTCGATACCCCTTGGTCGCATAGCTACGCCTTCACCGCACCTCTTCCTCACCCCTGTCTGCTACCCTTGCTCTTCCTTCCACACCCTAGAAGAAAATAATGGCCAACCCCATCCCCGCGCGACCCTACGCGCCTCAACAACTCTACCGCCCTCCTCCAATGATCGCGCGCCAAGCTTCGCCCAACCCCCCTGCCTCACCCATCACCCCAGTGTCTGCCTCTGGATCCTCAGCTCAGGAAAAACCGAGCGACTATGTCGTGTTTGAGCGCAACCCGAAAGCGTTGAGCGGGAACGCGATGCAGCGCGCGACGGCGGCGAAGCTCAAACTGGAGCATTTTTACAAGCTTGCCGTCGAGGCTGCTATCGAGCGGAACGGACGGTGCGTTTTCCCCTTATGATAGGGGGACGATGTCTGACAAGCTCGAAATAGTCGCGTAGAACTGGAACGCAAGCTCGCTTCGGACCTCATTATGCCTGACGAACGCAAACAGCGGCAGTTGCTCCAGCTCGGGAGGAAGGAGTCGCTTTTCCTCCGTCTGCGGCGCACCAAGCTGGGATTAGACAATTTCAGCACGGTCAAGGTCATCGGTAAGGGCGCGTTTGGAGAAGTCAGGCTTGTGCAAAAGGTCGACACGGGCAAGATTTACGCAATGAAGACCCTGCTCAAGGCAGAGATGCTTAAACGCGATCAGGTATGCAGGGCAAAGAGTTGCTCACCCTAGGGGTCTTACTGATCCGGTGTACTTTAGCTGGCCCATGTACGCGCAGAACGCGACGTCCTCGCGGAGAGCAACTCGCCTTGGGTGGTCCAGCTCTTCTACTCATTCCAGGACCCGACCTACCTCTACCTCATCATGGAGTACCTCCCTGGTGGAGACCTCATGTCTATGTTGATCAAGTACGACACTTTCTCGGAAGACGTAACAAGGTTCTATATTGCCGAGTGTGTGCTGGCTATAGAAGCCGTCCATAATTTGGGGTTCATTCATCGGTGAGACCAACATTGGACTTCCGCGGACTAAGCTGATGCGCGCCTGCAGTGATATCAAGCCGGACAACATACTCATCGACAAGGACGGGCATATCAAGCTGTCCGATTTTGGTCTGTCAACCGGATTTCACAAGCAGCACGATTCTTCCTACTACCAGAAGCTGATGGATCAGGCCAACGGAGTCGCGCAGCCCAATGGCCGCGCAAGGAATAGCGTGGCCATCCAGGCGATCCATCTGACGATGACCTCCAAGGACCGGGACACGATCGCCACGTGGAAGGCGAACCGCCGTAAGCTGCTGTATTCTACCGTCGGCACGCCGGACTATATCGCCCCCGAGGTCTTCCTCATGCAGGGGTATGATAAAGCCTGCGATTGGTGGTCCCTGGGCGCGATCATGTATGAGTGTTTGGTCGGGTATGCCCCGTTCTGCTCCGAAACTTCGCAGGAGGTTTACAAGAAGATCGTTGACTGGAGAAACCACTTGCATTTCCCCGAAGACGTCCACCTCAGCCGGGAAGGAGAGGATATGATCCTCCGGTCAGACTACTTTCTCGTCCCTCAGCACATGCTCATACTTTTCGCAGGCTGCTGACGGACGCCGAGTACAGGCTAAACGTAGAGCAAATCAAAGCCCACCCGTTCTTCTACGGCGTCGACTGGCCCACAATCCGCAATATCGAAGCGCCGATGGTACCCCACCTGCGCTCAATCACCGACACATCCTACTTCCCTACGGAGGAGTTCCCAGACGTACCCGATGAGCCTGCGGGCGGGGAAAGCACTTCCGCTGCGAAGGACCTGGCCTTCTTGGGATACACCTTCAAGCGGTTCTCTATCTCGAACCACTGATCTCGACCGCGAACCGAATCCATTTCCCGTCTCTCCTCAATCTCACATCATGCTCACGCAACGCAACGTTTCGTCACCTATTGCTCACCCCTTGTCCTCCACACGGTACAAGGGGCAGGAAGAGCAGTAGGGACAATGCATTAGTACCACGAGTTCACTTGCTAAACTTCAGATTTCACGGCTTCTTCTTTTCGCGCATGGGAGTTATGTGGAGGAGGTGTACGGATATGGTGATGTTGTGGGGGATAGGTAGCTGGATGGGAGGGGGGGGGGATGTATGCTGGGAGCAGTAGAATGGATATGAAATGCAATCTGTGTTGATGTGCTAGAGAGTGCATGTTTGCAAGATAAACGAACATTGTTGTCATTAAGCTTGACTAAATATGCGCGAGATATCGACGTGCTGATGGTCACGCCCATGCAGTTGCTTTGAATAGAACTGGGTGTTGTTTATGTCACTGATACAAGCAAGGGCATCGGCATTTTTTCTTACTTTACTAATCGAGGAAGGTTTATTTCGGCTGTTGAAGCAAATGAAACTTAGATGCTCTCGCAACTGCTGCTGAAAATCGGGGTAAAAGCCTTAAATAAACACGCGGTTGCGGTCCTCTTCCGATAGGGGACTTGTTGAGATTAGCCAGCCCGAAATGGATGAGAAAATTTCTGGAAGATCATCCTTTGTAGCTCAGAGTGAACTCGCGCTCTAGGTAGGAATGAGTTCGGGAGCTGTTGGAACTGCAGTTCTGAGTGTGTTTAGCTTGATCCTATGCGGTGATTGGAGGGAAGGAGCCTCGGGGTGTCACACAGGTGTCCAGAGGTAAAGAGCAATATCTTTCTGGGAGAATGAATGATCTTTCTACCAACAATTTGGAAGCTAACAACTAGTCAGGCCCCTATAATCGGTTCTGTTATAGTAACAGGAGCCCGACAGTCCGGTTGTACGCTTCTTAGTCAGTGTCGAGCCCGGGGCAGTCTTCCGACGTGGTCGAGATGAAATCGCCCTGAATGATCGTCCAGATGAGGTTATAACTTCACGCACATCAGCCTCGTACTATTGTCGAGATGTAGCGCTACTCACTCGTCGGAAGGGTAGGTAGGCGCATCGGCAACCCTGAGGGAAGTAGCGATCTCCGTGAGTTCGGCATGTTCCCAGCAAATGAGAACATTCCCTGCACCAGTCTGGTTCTGGTACGCCCATACGGCAGCAGCAACGCATGCTGGGTCATCCCTGTCGCTGTGGTGAAGCGTCAGCGAGGATGGAATGGGTCATGGAGAGAGGAAGGTACCAGGAGATGTCGACCGTCAGCCCAGGCTCTTCTGCCAAAGGCGTTACGGTCTCGAGCGGGCGGGTGCGATCACCATTTGACTTGGGTGTCTCGGCCATGATGTACCCGATGTTGTATGTCGAAGCGGGACCGAAGACCTGGCGAACATTTACTCGAGATATAGACTGATGGTCTGGGCGGTGAGAAACTTACGTTGGTGAGGCATTCGGCACGCTCTTCGCCTTGCGCGGTGAGGCCTTGACTGCCATTGGCAGGTTTCTCGCCGTGACGGATGAGATACTGATACTGCTGAGCGAAGGCGACGGCGCCGAAAGTAAGAGCGAAGAAAAACTTCATAGTTGGCTGCAGTGTATTGAGAATGGCGACTGCTTTCGAGCAGCTGGCACAATTCCTAGCATCTTTTATAGGCAAATCGCACAGGAACAAGCCGAATAAGCTCAGGGAGACGTTCAAGGCCTAGACGGCCATTCCCGAGAAAACCGCAGCAGATCGACTAGTAATCGCACCACCAGCGCGATCAAAGAGCCTAGACATATGCACCAGCTCAAGATATTCGAGGTATGGAGACATCCGCCTCATGGAAAACCAACCCGTTTAGAGAGATCCATGTGGAGAGAAGCTCAACGCAACAGATAATATTTGCGCCACTGCAAAGAGAATATGTAAGTTGCCCGAATGGTTGAGCCACAGACATTCAAGTGGAACCGATGACAGCAGACCATGCAAGTAGTTGCCCAGTCATATGGGCGTGTTACTGGTGCGAGAAAGGCCACGTTGAGGATGGACCAGCATATGGTTCGAGGCTCCGCTAAAAACTGGACGCACACACGCTGCGAATTTTTTTTTTTCGTCCTTGTAGTATTTCACATGATCAAATCAGTCCATCCAACACAGCACAAGGACGAATTCAGCAGCTTTGAGGAGAATTGATGAGAGAAGAAGAGAAGAAAAGAGAGGTCGGAAACGCGGGGAAGGCCGCGTCGGCACACCCTTATGCGACGGAGGCATCACCCAACATCCCTACTACCTACTTTCTACACACTGAACAATGAGCTTATGTCCGCCGACTAGACAGGTTAGAATAGCGGGCCCAAGCGTACGAAAAGACTCGAGGAATCTCCAAGAGAGATTACGAAAGGCCATACAAGGTGCGTATCGATTGAATAAGAGAGTTCATACGCTGACGACGACACAGATAATAACGTCTACCTCGTCCGCCGACTTGTGTCGCGACCCGATGTCGACATCCGGAATCCGGACGTAGATGACGACGATTCAGGGGACCAGTATACGTCGCTGGCATGGGCTGCACTTTGTGGTCGTGCAGAAATATTTGAGTTCTTACTGAATTGCGGGCACGATGATCTGGAGCTGAGCAAGGTGAATCTCTTTCCTGACAGCTGGCGAATGACACCTAACATCTCAACAGGATGAATCAAATAATACGATTCTCATTCTTCTTGCATCTTTACGAAAAGGACTACCGAATCCGTACAATGGCGAGATGGTGGTAAATGATGTCCACCAAGCGTCGATGACGATGGCAAGAGCGTACCACGAGCGATATCCGATGCTGTTAGACTGGGCAAATGCAGAGGGGAAGACTGCGCTTCATGTTGCTGCATCGGCTGGGAACGAGGACTTTGCTCGGGTGTGCATAATCTGCATTGCTGTTTCTACTTGACGACTGAATATCCTCCCAGCTTCTCTGCGATTTAGGCGCTGACTTCGACTTGCCCGACCTGCTGGGGAATACGCCATTGCACTAGTGCGTGATATCAAGCCATAGCGTGTTAGGATTATTTCTTATCGATCTACACAGCGCAAGCGCATGGGGACATTCCTCAGTTGCCCAATTATTAATCCACCGAGGATGTCAATACCTTGCTCGCAATAACCAAGGTTTCACTGCAGCGGACTTTGCGTTCTCGTACGTTAGAGAGAAATATTCACCTTATCGCCTCTTACTGTGACACAGACAAAATACTAAGGATGAACTGGAGCAAATCATTCGCAGCCTGATCGAAAGTAATAAGAAGCTCCGCCGAGCCCAATCCGCCGCAGCGCGTGAGGACTGGAACCGGGTCTCCATGGATGGGTCTGTATCTAGCGCATCGGCGGAACTCTATGCATACACCAACGGGCGGCAACGTGTGCGAAGTCTCTCGAACGCGAGTAGGACAACGAGCTCAGAAGATACGGACTATGGCGGTCCTGTGGATTTGCATTCCACCCCTGCGCGGTCACTTCGACCACAAAACAGCAAGGCGTCAGTCGCGTCCGTCCCAGTCCAGTTCCCTGACCATCCCTCTGGCACGTTCTCGACGACGTCAATCAATTCGTCCAGCTCGTCCAGAGCGCCGTCTATGATACCCACTCGGACTTCATCACACACCTCGCCTGAGACATCCCCGCCAGACAGGGTGTCCCTCCAGACAGAAACGCCGCGTGCCCCAGCCGCACCCTTCCCATCCAAGTCCACACCGCGCGGCCCGGCCATCTCCCCGGTAGCGCATCGGATACAGGAGAAAGACCAGGGTGCGATTGCCCAGTTCCAGGAGTACATGAACCGCAAGCGCACAGGCAGTGGGAACACAGTGAATGCCGGTCATGCGGGACATCCTCTTCCACCTCTACCTCAACCCAAGTCTTCCAAACCGAGGCTGCGAACATCTGCTTCTGCTGCTGTGCTGTTAAGCCCGACCAGCGCGACCTCGTTAGCCGGAGCGATGAATGGCGCTGATCCTCGGGCAATGGCAAGAAAGAACACAGAGCTGTTCGACCCGCATGCGACACCACGCCATCGAGCGGAAACGATGGATACCGTCCCTATAGCCAAAGGGAATTCTCCAACGCCGACCACTACATCCGCCAGCACGGAAGGGACGCTGAGGCGCGTGCAGTCTCCTTTGCTGACTGGCAGAGCTCCGGCGAGAAGCAAGGAGGTCACTCCCTGGGAGTTTGGAAGCTCGGATGAAGATGGCGTTCCTCCTGCCGCTCGACGGACAGAGTCGTCATAATCTTCGTTCGAGCGACGCACATCCTGGTTAACACCGATTGATTTATCATTGTATGGCAGTGTTGTAATTTATCATCATGTATACCACTCGATACCACACCATTGTCGTTGTTGGTCAGCCGACCATCGCATTACTAACCTTTGGACCCTTCGGAGGTCCATCGGGGTTGAGGGGAACGTCCGGCCCGCGGCGTCTTTCCAGCCGAGGCGACCTCCAACAATATTGTATGTTCAGGCTGGACGATGGCGCTATCTGAACCTGCTGGCAGCAGGTGTACTTAAGGCAGTCTACTAGCAGCAACGAGACGACAGAACACGATGGCTACCAAACCTGTTATTTTCGTCGTGGGTTACGGACCTGGTATCTCGGAAGGTGGTATGTGCGTCCTGGCTGAATAACACCCATCCTCCTAACGTTCGCAGTTGCGGAGCTCTTCGCTTCGAAAGGATTTAAAGTGGGAATCGCTTCCCGCACTGAGTCCAAGCTCTCTGCTGCGTCTGAGAGCCTCAATGCCAAAGGCGCAACAGTCGCGACAGCCGTGATCGACGTGTCGTCCAACCCCTCCGTCATCTACGGCCTGAGCAAGCTAACAATCGCACTCGGAGCACCAAACGTACTGGTGTTCAACGTCGGTAGTAACGGCCCGCCTGGGACAGACTTGGGGCCAAAGCCGCTCGAGGAGATCACCCCTGAGATATTTGAGAAGCATTGGAGGATCTCTGCTCTGGGAGCGCTGCATGTTGCCCGTTGGTCGGTGGACCATCTAGTACCGTTTGATGGGAAGAAGACGGTATGTTTGAAGTCTTGGGTCGTTACTAGACGTGTGATAATAGATCACCCAGCTGATTTTCACTGGCGGTGGGCTCGCCAAGGACCCAAGGCCGAACCATGCTGGTCTAGCGGCGGCAAAGGCAGCAATGCGCAACCTCTCCCGAGTATACTACAACGTACACAAGCCGAACGGTCTGTCATCTCCGTCTGGCTCTTACCACATTATTAATCATGCAACAATACAGGACTGCACGTCGGCCTTGTCACTGTGCGCGGGTTTGTCACTCCTGAGAGTGACAAATGGAGCCCGAAGCTCATCGCAGAGCAGTACTGGAAGTTGTATGAGGAGAAGGACCCAGAGAGCTGGACATGGGAAATCGATTACTAAGTGTATTGCTATTCCCTGTTATATCCGTGTGTACTTGTGAGAGAAGAATGGAAATTGGTCTGTGGTTATTGGGAGAATTGAGATTTCTTACTGTAAGGATTGAGCAGATGGAATGCCGCAGAGACGCGTACAGACATGCCGCAGGACCGCGTCGTACATTGTCCGGCTATGCCGGTCAGTCACAGGACACATCCCTTGCCATTGCACAGACTATAAATTCCACATAATTTCTCACTTTACACTGTCATAATACGGCTTGGACGATGATTTTGCAAAAGTCTACCACTCTCGCTCTGCAAGCCGGGTCGCGTTGTGCTGCCTTGGCCCCATCGGCTGTGGGCATGAGCCGTGCTCTGCTCGCCGCTTGCAGGACACAGCACAGAGACTTTATTACTATCGTCCCGCAGGGGCATGAGGCGTACAGGTTGACGCTTGGGAGAAGTCCGACGAGGCTCATGCCTGGCCTCCATCTGAACATCCCGGTGTTGCATACTCTGCAGGTGCGTCGCACAACCCACACACACACACACTCGGCCTGACAAATATGACAGCATGTCGACATGCGAGAAACGAGCATACCTATTGCCGACCTCACCGGGTTCACATCCGACAACGTCCCCGTCCTCGTCTCTGGTTCACTCTTCTTCCGGGTCAAAGATGCCTATCACGCCTGCTTCAGTGTAAACGACTTTGGGGACAACGTACGCGCCATCGGCACTTCCGCGATGCGCTCTGTAGTGGGATCGTTCCACTATGATGCGATCATCGGAGATAGGAACGCGATTAATGATAAGCTTAGGGGGGTAATTGGGAATAGTATCTCAAGCTGGGGGATCGAGTGCACGAGGTTTGAGATCCAGACGTTCAAGCCGAGTAATCGGGAGGTAGAACGGCAGCTGGAGCTCCAGATGGAGGTGTGCTCTGATTTTACAGCTGGCGATCACTTCTGACTAGCTGCAGGCTGAGCGAAATCGCCGCAAGCAGCTGCTCGACACTCAAGCAGCTGTGAACGTTGCCGAGGGTGTGAAGCAGAAGATGATCTTGCAAAGCGAGGGTGAGATGGAGGGCAAGATCAACCAAGCGAACGGGGAGCTTCAGGCGCGCCTGAAGGAGGCAGAGGGATTCGGACAGCAGATCGAGATCATCGCTCAGGCTATCGCTGGGCACGGCGCGGTCGTCGAGTCGGATGCCAGGCTAAAGTCGGTCGAGTTTATCATGGAGATGAGGAGGCAGGACACGTTCCGCACTATCGCTGATGGGCAGGGGAATAACACGTACTTCCTCCCTCCTGGGTTGACGAGCTTGAGTGAGCCGGTGAGTGTCATTTCACTGCGTGGGAGTTGGACTGATGAGCAACAGCATGAGATGGATGCGACGCAGCGCTGGGTACGCAGTATGCAGGACAAACGCAAGTCGACTGCTACACCGGGTGCATGAATGTCTCTGTATATTGTAATTAGGAGCATGATGATAACACACGTAGCTGTAATACCCATAGCTTCACCCCGCCCTCAATCCCGCTCGCTGAGAGCAGAGAAAGAGTGCTGCAGGAGAAGAATGTCACTCCGAAACTATGACTGATAGTAAACTGGACATCACTAGAGCCTCAAACGTGGAGATATTCATCTAGACCGCATTTCCCTCTTACGGGGCAGATGGACAGCGGGAGAGCCGAAGTGTCCATCGTGGTGGTGGTCAGGTAAGAAATGAAAGAAGACCCTGCTGTGAATATAAAGTGTACAGCGCGTCGCGTGTCAGCTCCTGTCCACGTCCTCCTCAACCTCTCTGCCCACAAACGATGGTCGCAATAGATATCACTGCGGACTTTCGGGCAAGCGTTGGAAGTGCGCTCAAGCTCGTACCTGATACTAAACGGCGACACAAGCCTCGTGTGCGCAATTTTTTTGAAGTCAAAGCAGAGAAGAACTATGCTCAGGCATACCTAAAAGAAGCTTATGCTATTGTGCGTCTTCACCTGTTTGTTAAAGCAGGCGCTGATAGATGCAGTTGGAGCACATCAACACGCTTGACCAGATGCTCGCTTCGATCCGCCATGCATACCTCTCCGTTGACTCGTCACATTCGCATACTCGACGTGGAGGGTTCGATGCGAGTCAGAAAGAGGGGTGGGGGGAAGTGAAGCGGTTGACGAACCAGGAGAGGGACGAGATCGAGCTACAAGCGAAGGTGATACTGAAGAGGTGTGCAGAGAGGGTGAAGCATCTTGAGGAATTGGAGGAGAGTGCGTGCACCTTCCTCCCTGTTGAATACCGTCCCTAACGTATATGCAGAGCGCGCATCGACACAACCTAGCAAACACCCGCTCGCACGTCTGCTCCCTCCCCGCTTGCTTGTAACACCCAGCACATCAGGACACGATGTCCTCGCAGCGCACTATGCGGGGATCACGTGGTACCTGAACCGGAAGCTAGCCTCGAGCTCCGGGAAGCAGAGGGAGATGCAGGAGGAGAGGGTGAGGCGGCAGCTGGAGAGAGCGCGGAGTTTGGGGAGCGAAGTGGCTGCTGTTGGCCCTGTGCAAGGGGATGTCAAGGGGGAGCAGGTGAGGCGGTTCGACCCCACGCTGGCGGGACGGGGACCATCCTACGCCAATGGTGAGGAGGACACGCCCTTGACAGCAGCTCAAGCCCTGCTCTTCGAGCAGGAAAACGCCGCCATACTCCGTTCGGCAGAGAGCGTGCTCGCCCAGGTCCAGCGGGCAGAGGCGAGCCTGTCCGAGATCGGGGCGCTGCAGAGCGAGCTCGTGCATCATCTGACTATGCAGACGGAGATGACGGACAGGCTGTTCGAGGAGGCCGTGGCGACGCAGGCTGAGGTTGAGAGGGGGAACCAGCAGCTGAAGAGGGCCAAAGAAAGGGGAGGGGACGCGAGGAGATGGTTGCTTGTATTTCTTATTGGTGCGACTCTGGCGCTGTTGTTCTTGCACTATTATTCATCTTAGGAGGTCCAAAATCATACTTTCAATGCTTTATTCGCATTCCGTCCACTTAAATATACACAGGCTAGTCCTCCAGCTCCCGACTCTCCTCAGCCCCCAACAGTGCCCTCCGCTCTGCGTCCTCCAGTGCTTCTGCTGCTAACTCGTCCGTCTCCGGATCTGTGCCTTCCAGCTCACGAATCTTGCGCAGTGTCAGCCGGTATATTATGATCCCTGTCCCGGCTCCGAGGACCATGCCGAGGACCATGCTGAGTGCATTGACGATCTTGGTCGTCGTGTCCATTTGGCCCCGGGTCTCGCCATCGGAGAAGAGAGCGATACGGCTGGCGATGAAGACGTGCAGCAGGAGGCGGGGGGTGAGGCACACTGTTGCGAAGATGAACTGCCACAGGCGGATCGTCTCGATCGAAGCGAAGAATGCGTTGGAGTATGCCCACGGCATGGGGCAGATCCGGCAGAGGACGATCAGCCACAGGCCGTGGTGCCGTACTACTGCTTCCATGGCTTGCCATTTTGTGGAGGAGGTTGTGAAGGATTTCATGCGATTCTGGAAGAGGAGGCGGAGGAGGAGGAAGGAGAAAGTAGAGGCGAGGATCGCTAGAGGTGCCGCGAGGAACCAGCCTCGCACGCCCCATGCGAATCCTACAACGGTTAGGATCGTCGAGAAGCCAATGAGTGGGGGAATGGAGGTGACAACTGCATCAGGTTAGAATGATACATTTGGGCATGTAGGGTATAATAACGCACTTATGAGAGCGGTCACGACGAGAATGCCGTACTTGCTCTCGCGCAGGTTGCGTCCTTGATTATATAGGAACTGGAATATCTTGTCCGGGTGGACTGACACGAAGAGCACAATGAGGGCACTTTCAGCTCGTCAGTTCGCCTTTTGTGCAAAGGACTGTCAGAATTCAATTACACATGCAATATGATAAGAAACCAGACGAATGCCTAACATTCATCAGCTTGGTCACAGCTAATCACTGATAGGCGCACCTTTCCCGCAAAAGGCAGCTTGTTGTATCTCCTCCACATCTCCCCTGGCGCCCCCTTGACCGTAGACCATATGTCACTTGGTAATACTTGCATTCCCGTCGTTGTATTCCGGTGTTGAGCAGGCTGCTGCTGTTGGGTTGGTCACTGTTGCGGTCAACGCAGGAATATCGGTGTTCTTGTCTGCTGCGCTGATTCGACGTCAGAAGCACTAGCATTAAATCACGTGCAGATTGATTTACACGGCCACTAAATCAATCACATGACCACGTCAGCGATTTGGCTATTGAGAGGTCATCGTGTGTTGGACGGTGACCTCGACGTCGACACCGACGATGAACAACGCACAAGCTGGTCCATCACGCACCTCCGACGCCGACACTGGGTATACTCCAGCTCCGCTCCTTACCCTCCCTCCAACGACCTACTGCGCTGTTGAGTATCCAGGCATCCTCAGGTCCCTCGACTCATATCCGCATGCACTCGCCACCCTCGGAGGGCAGGATGCTGTAGACACTGCGTTCAGGAGACTTGCGAGTGGGAGACCGATGGAGCTGTACCTCAGGCCGGAGGACAAATTGGCACATCCGATTTTGGGAGAAGTGTTGGAGTGGAGGGGTATGGTCGTGAAGGTTGTGAAGAGGAGGAGGAAGAGAAAGCGTCCGGAGGGGGAGAATACTGTTGATGGTGAAATTGGCAATGGTAAGGGAAGGGAGAAAGAGGAAGATGAGGACGGTGGAGTGTACACCACTGAAGTGCTTGGTATGGCCCGTAAGATCGCGCGCTTCCGAGGTATGCTACTTCCTCCACCAACTGCGACGACAAATATTGCTCACACACATAGCCATGGCCGACTTTGCTTTCTCACCTCCGGAAGACGAGCCAATTATGAATCTCCGCAAATCTATGGACAATTTGGACGCAAAGGCGATCCTTGCATTCGAGTTCAAACCAGTGAAGGAGGACTATGTTGTGTATCCGCCTGGTGTCTCTGCCTCTCCAGCGCCTGGAACGACCAAAGGGGCTTCCTCAGACCCCTCTGCTCAACCAACAAGCAACCTACGCCTCTTTCCTCCACCTCGATTCTCCCGCGCGGCTGTCCCAGCCCTCTACAACTCCCGGAAAAACATCGCCTCTATCCCCGTCACGGTCACCGACCCGACCACGGGCGAGGAACGCACTCGTTATCAGAACAAGTTCAGGCACAGCGCCACCCCCATCGCTACCATTTCTTACGACGCTCCCGATGTGCCCGAAAAGGAACCTGAGGGGGCAGAGAAGGTGTTAGACCAGCCGAGCATGCGAGTGCTGGAGAAGCTGAGGAAGCTGTTTGAGGAGCGCCCGATATGGAGCAGGTTGGCGCTCAAGAACCAGCTTTCAGAGGCGGAGGATCAGATCCTTGTCAAGTATGTCTGCTTTTCTCTGAGTGGGCAAGTGACTGATGCTTGAGAAGTACTCGTCCAATGTACGCTTACACAGGGTACATATTCAGTGACGGCCCATGGAGGGACTTTCACGTTAAGTGGGGATACGACCCGCGCAAGATCCCCGAGTCCAGAATGTGTGCTCCCTCTTCTGTTCGTTATTGGCTGGAACTGATGGAAACGTCAAGCTATCAGCGTATGCAGTTCCGCAACCTGGAGAACGAGTACACTCGCGCGTCCTCAGTACGCTTCCGCAGGGCGAATGGTGAAGAGGACCTGCCGATGGAGGAAGATTGGCGTGGGATCACACTGCAGCGGAATAGGCAAGTGCTTCTCCACACATTGAGTGGAGAGTGCTCACAGATATATAGGAACACACATATATTCAATGGCAGGGAGCTCTTTAGGAACGTAGGCAACTACCAGCTGTGCGATATGACGGACCCGCTGCTGCAGAAGCATATTCACGACCCGAATGGTGTAGACCAAGAGTGTGATGTGCGTTGTACATTTTTTCTGCATCACCTTACTCACTGGGCTTCATAGGCCTCATACGGCTGGTATACACCCACAGCCTGGGGGCGCATTCGCGCTATCGCACGGCTCAAATTCCGCGGCCTGGTCGAAGGTCGCATCCTCACTGATGCAGAGTGCGAGGATATAGAGACTGAAGAGCTTCCTGAGATCGCTCTCCGGAACGAGCTGCGCCGGTCAGCAGGCCAGAAGAAACTGCGTGAACTGCGCCAGAGGGGATTGATTGCTCGGTCAAAAGGGCACAACCAGGCGCTGGAGCCACTACCGCCGGAGGAAGAAGCAGAGCAGAGGATCAGGAAGAGGCTGGAGGCGGCTCGAGCGGAGGATGAGGATGAAGACATGGATTAGGTCGCTTGTAGTTTGCGTCGAGACCAATGACAAAAAAAATCACAATTGGGAGGGCTCATGATGCTGCGTAATGCATGAACTCTTCATGCGCATAGCTCACAGCAGAGCAGGTCTCGTGCTCCGAGCACTCGACAAAGACGGCACAGTACAGAACATAGGGTGAAACACTGAGGTTCCAACGTCTACTCGTCCTCTCCCGCACCGGCACGCTTCTCCCGTAATGCCTTTATCTGTGGGACGGTTAATCTACATTTGAATGGGTAAAAGGCATGGACGCACTGTTCCTGCACCGGCATGACGCTGGTTGCGGCGGAACTGTCAAAGCCCCATGAGAATCTCGTCATAATAACACAGCATCTAGCATACCTTAGGATCCACCTACAGACGAGATCAGTACTATGCCAAAACAAGCAGAAATAAAAGAACATACACCACGCATCGAAGGATACTTGTTCGTCTTCGGCTTCTTGATCCCATTCCGGTGAGCCTTCCGGTTTTGGTTGTGGTTTGTGTGGCTGCCCAGTATCAACACATATCCTCTCGCTCACAACCGTAGAAAGGGGACATACTTCTTTGACTTGGCCATTGCTGCAGTGCTGTTGCGTGCGGGTGGGCGACGACGATGAGCTCGAGGTTTGGGAACTAACTGGGAAATTGGTCCCGCTGAGGGGATGGTACTGTACAGTTATGAAAGCACCGCCACTTAGGGAGGGCCCTTGCAGCTAGAGTGGCGACTTCGCCTCTTCGGTGACTCCGATGACGATTCACTTATCATTTCGGATCGATCCAATACCTGTGTTGGCTTTCTTTGGGGAATAGCCTGAGTGCTATTCATAGATCGAATTCGGGCCTAATAATAGTCGGCGCTAATGGCTGGTGAAAGTGGAAGTCGATCTCCAAGACAAGAACATCATAAATCGGCACCAATGCTAAGAGGTTAGAAGTACATTGTCTTCATGTTCTTTTGTGCGATCCGCATCGTCGGCGGTCGAGCCGAGATATTGGAACCGCTTGGCATCATGCCTTTCAGAGCGCATGAACGATGTGATTTGGCTGCGCGGTTGCGTCTTTCGTGGGACGATTATTTTGGACGGCACCGAACAAAGCACAGATTATGATTCGGCCGGGGTGTTGACCGGCCGAAAAGGTGGTCGATAGGATAATTGATGTCCGTCAACACTTCTTCCGTATATTGTGGACTGGCCTTCTCTTACGTGTTCAACAATGCCAGGACAACGGAACCCTGCGGTTGGGAAACCGGTAAGGTGGTGCCCAGGGTGCCGGTCAAGAAGGCGCAGCTTTCTTTTGAGATGTGCCACGTCCTCTTCCGCATCGTCGAATTCCGGCACCTTAGCGCGACTTTTAGAAAGATTAAAAAATGCTCGGCCGAGGCCGACTCTCCGATGGGAGCGATGTTGAAAGGGACGAAAGGTGCTCAGTTTTCCACGTGGTTATCATTAGCCCACGTCTGATTGGCTGATGGTGTGGCTAGACTAAAAACTGACGGGGACCCCGAAAAGGAAATCGGGTGAGTTTGTCAGGGTCACGCGGTCGGGTCCGATGTCCGAAGGGCGGCTTTGTGTGTTCCCTGACTTTCCCCGCAACCGTCTGTGCCTTCCCCAAGACACCCATATATACCGCCTGTCGGGGGGGACCACTCAGTCCACTCCGGTCTCCCCCAACTTCTCTCCTTTCCACCAACTCAAATCATCCAAAATGCCCGCACCCGTCCTTCCACCGCGCACACTGTACGATAAGATTTGGGACGACCATGTTGTGTGCGTATTCAGAGACGGCATCTATTGGGCAACAATTGTATTGACTCGGTCCATAGCGACGTGCAAGAAGACGGCACGACTCTGCTGTATATTGATAGGTACGTCTGCGTATAGGCATCTTTAACACCCTACTTACCCCCACCCAGACACCTGGTGCACGAAGTGACGAGCCCCCAGGCTTTTGAGGGCCTGTATGCGCCCTCTACAACATAGAAATAGAGTTCATACTGATCTGGCTTATTAGAGAGAAGGCCGGCAGAAAAGTCAGGCGGCCAGACTGCACGCTGGCTACCGTGGACCACAACGTCCCGTGAGCCCCTTAGTCCCTTGCTCTAGCAATCCTGCTCACTTCTGCGGCCGCAGGACCACCTCTCGGAAAACGTTCAAGTCTATTAAAACATTTGTTGAGGAACCCGACTCCCGTGGACAGTGCGAAGCGCTTGAGGAGAACGTCAAAAAGTTTGGCCTGACCTATTTCGGTCTCGCTGACCGCCGTCAGGGTATTGTCCATGTTATCGGGCCCGAAGAGGGCTTCACGGTGAGTACCTGAATACGCTCCATCCCGAATTCGTCCTGAAATATGATCTAACAGCTCCCTGGCATTACTTGCGTCTGTGGTGACTCTCACACCGCTACTCATGGTGCCTTTGGCGCTCTGGCTTTCGGTATCGGCACCTCCGAGGTCGAACATGTCCTGGCGACGGAGACAATTCTCCAAAGAAAAGCCAAGAATATGCGCATTACGGTCGATGGCGAGCTCCACGAAGGTGTCACGGCAAAAGACGTCATTCTCTACATCATTGGTCTGATCGGCACTGCCGGCGGTACTGGCTGTTGCATCGAATATGCCGGAAGCGTCTTCCGCAACTTCTCTATGGAGTCCCGTATGAGCGTCTGCAATATGTCCATTGAAGCTGGTGCTCGGGCTGGAATGATTGCCCCCGACCAGGTCACCTTCGATTACCTGAAGAACCGCCCGCTCTCGCCAAAGGGCGAAGAGTGGGACCGCGCCGTCGCATACTGGAAGACGCTCCCTACCGACGAGGGCGCTAAGTTCGACATCGAAATCAACATCCGGGCAGAGGACATCGTCCCCACTGTCAGCTGGGGCACTTCTCCCCAGGATGTCGTCCCGATTACCGGCACCGTCCCCGACCCCGCCAACTTCACCGATCCGATGAAGCAGAACGGTATCTCCAGGTCGCTCAAGTACATGGCACTTCAGCCTGGCACGCTCATGGAGGACATCAAGGTGGACAAGGTGTTCATCGGTTCGTGCACCAACAGCCGTATCGAGGATCTGCGTTCCGCCGCCAAGGTTGTGCTAGCCGTGAAGGACGCCAAGGTGGCCGACACAGTCAACGCGATGATCGTCCCCGGTTCGGGGCTCGTGAAGCAGCAAGCTGAGGCAGAAGGCCTGGACGTCATCTTCAAGCGGGCAGGCTTCGACTGGCGCGAGGCAGGCTGCTCGATGTGTCTCGGTATGAACCCCGATCAGCTCAAGCCGGGCGAGCGCTGCGCGTCTACGAGTAACCGGAACTTCGAGGGTCGTCAAGGTCCCGGTGGGCGCACTCACCTGTGTAGTCCCGCTATGGCTACCGCTGCTGCCATCACTGGACATCTTACCGATGTTCGCAAACTCATGGGCGGCGCGAGCACTACCGGCGTCACCTCCGTCGAGCAGATCAAGCAGACAAACTCGAAGGACTATCTCACCGACCCTGTACTCCCCCCTCCTGCCCCACAACCGGAGACGGTGCACCACAACACTGTGCCCAGCGGCACCCCGGCTGTGCACGAATCGAAAGTTCACAAGTTCACCGTTCTGACTGGGATCACCGCGCCCCTGCATATGCCCAATGTCGACACGGACATGATCATCCCTAAGCAGTTCCTGAAGACGATCAAGCGGACGGGCCTGGGCAATGCTCTGTTTCATACGCTGCGAAAGGACCCGGCGACGGGCAAGGAGACCGACTTCGTGCTTAACAAGGCGCCGTATGATAAGGCTGTGATTATGGTTTGTGACGGCCCGAACTTCGGCTGTGGCTCGTCCCGTGAGCACGCCGCGTGGTCTCTGTATGTGTACTGCCTTTTATTAAAATTGACAGGGACTGATTGTAACCAGGATGGACTTTGGTATTCATGCGGTTATCGCCCCGAGCTTCGGTGACATCTTCCGGTCCAACTCGCTACAAAACGGCCTTCTCCCAGTGCAGCTGTCACAAGAAGAGTGCAGCCAGCTGTGCGCCGACGTCGAGGCTGGCGGTCAGCTCGAGGTCGACCTGGAGAAGCAGGAGGTGCGCCGGCCCGGAGGCAAGGGCGCGTTCCACTTTGATGTCGACCCCTTCCGGCGCTACTGTCTCCTGAACGGACTGGACGATATCGGGCTGACTATGCAGAAGGCGGACAAGATCGAGCAGTTTGAGGAGAGGAGGAGTGAGGCTTGGCCCTGGCTTGATGGGTTTGGGTATGTGAAGAGTGGTGGAAGGGTGGATGCTGCCTCCAAAGGTGGGAAGAAGATGGATTGGTAAGGACGTGTTTGTGTATGGGAATAGAAAGTGTATGGTAACGGAGAGAGAAATGAAAGAATATGATTCACATCTCTTCTTTCATTCTATTTCTCAACAATTCATTGTTCAAATCTGGCTGTGGTCGGTGTAATGTATGTATTGTCAATACAAGATAAACTAGCGCGAACCCAAGCGCGGCAGGAACGGACTAATAGTGCCGCCCGCTGTCGACAAGCACCCTTACTGCCCAGCCTTCTCATCCTTCTACTCTTCCTGCTCACTGCTTGTCATTCTCCAGCTCATCTTTGCTGTCCAGAACGACCCAATCGGCCAGTAGCGAAGGATGAGCAGGCAGGGGACCGACAGCGTGCTTTCCGGCGGCATGTCGGCTACAGTCGTCCGTACACCTTCGTCCGTAGCAACACCTAGTACAGCAGCATCATCACCATTGTCAGCAGCCGTGTACGGTACAGGTTTGTAGTTTATCCTCTTCTTCTACATCACGCATAGCTGACGATGTCCTTAAATTGGTAGAACGTCCGATTCCGGCGCGTCAGGTTTCCCACGACGTGCTTTCCTACTACTTTTCGGGAATCGATTCGGACGCCCAAGGACTATCACGGACGCCGAGTGGAAAGAGTATGGGGAGCATGCGGGCACAACATGCCTCGCAGACAGAGAGGGAAGAAGAAGATAATGAGCGGACGCCAAAGGCGAGGAGGCAGGTGACGGCCGACAAGTATCTCGCAGCTGGAGTGGGCGCGTCGCCGACCAAAAGCAGCGCGAACGGGAACGGGTCGAGCAGTGGTCTAGGCGAGGAGGTGAAAATTCATCGAAGGAGGAGCAGTAAGACTGCCAACGCGGCCGATAAACGAAGACTGGCAATCGTCGAGGTCGACGCTACCCCTGCAGCAGCCGTGCAACATGAGGAGGCAAGTGTCGCCGGTACCACCGCCCAACCGTCGTTACTAGCCAGAAGAGGGATGGATACGTCCCGGCTTGCACTTGTCGCGCCGCCCGATGCCTCTCCATTAGCATATACGGACCTCGCACCCGCACCCCCTGTCTCTGCACCTCCCGTGCCTGCCGTTCGCCCCAACCCGCGTGCTGCCGAGGTTGTAGGTACTCATACGAGGAGCAAGAGCAACATGGAGAATGCCCTTAGCACCCCTGGGGGAAGGAGGAGCGCGAGCAGCAGAGATATCGGCATAGTTGGTGCTGTGCGCAGCCCGGTTCGAACGCCAACACGGGACGAGCATAAGCTTGGAGACACTTTGGGAGTGCCGTCTGTGCAGGAGCTGGAAGTGGGGATCCCACACAGTGCTCTGGGGGAGAGCACAGCCGTTGCCCCTATCTTCCAGACTCCTACAACGAGGACGTCTTCGCCGGACGTGTCTAGCAGTGCGGCCAGCTCGACAGATAGGATTGCCCACCCCAACTGGGGGCAGCAGCTAGCGGCAGGTACTAAGGCGGGGCAGCCAGGACAGGTGGGTATGAGCACCCCCCAGATTGGGGAGTCAAAGGAGCTCTCTGCCGCGGTCGCCCCACCTGTGGTGACTCTTCTCCCCGGGTCGTCTCCCCATCTCACGCCAGGCGCTTTCCCTACCGCGTTTTCTACCCCTTCCTCTGCCAGCTCGAACGCATCGGACTACTCCCTCCCTCCTGCTGGGCACGGTGCTGCATACTACGCCCATGCCCACCCCGGGGTAATGAGCCCCCCACAACAGGCCTACTATCGTCTCCAGGGAACGCATATCAACTATGACCCTGTGCTGCATGCTACTGCCGGGCCCCTGCCAGAACCGCCAAGAATGACAAATCTCGTCAGCCTCGCCCCGCCCCCTCCCCGACCACCAAGAGTCAGCAGGAGCCGCTCTCCGCTGAAAGATGCTGCGGCCGCAAGCAAACAGAATTCTTCTCAACCCCAGCCTGCACCTATCCCAGAGCAAGATCCATCCCCTGGAGGATCGGAAAACACTCCCAAGGCTCCGCAGGGGTTTATCCCCTCTCTTCCCACTCCGCTCGTCCGTTCCATGTCCGATCACTCGATCACCGCTGTCTCCGCCTCCTCGGAATCAGATTATGGACCCATGAGCCCTACACCCTCTACGCCTCCTACGTCTGAGCCGCAAGTGCCTGGCGCGAAAGCACGACGAACTCCCTCTCTCGAAAGGGGAGAACGGTACGCCCGCGAAGGCATGAGTGTGCATCCGCCATCGGCGTTCAAGCGCAGCAACTCCCGTTCTTCGCATACCGCTTCACGTTCATCTGATAAACCTGGCCCTCCCAAATCGGAACAGGGATCCTCCCCTGGTCAACAAGAGGTACCATCAGCCCAGCCGGTATCGAGAATCGCCACGCCACCACCAAGGAGCGAGGAGGAGGCAGAGCTGGAGGAAATGCTCGCTAGGATGGCACCTGTTCTGATAGGCAACTTTCAGCCGACCAACTCGCCTGAGCCAAAGGCGAAAATGTTGGAGAGCCTGCCCAAAACTTCAATGTCGGATGCAGAACTTGAGCCTGCGGTCGTGCCTGTGCCTGTGCCTGTGCCAGAACCTGATCATGCTCCTCAGCGCGTACTAGAACCTCAGCCTCAGTCTTACCTCGAAGTTGGACCTGTTCACAAAGCAGAGTCCGGGTCAGAGGTATTCGAGTCGGCCGATGAGACAATTGTGCACCAGCCGATTGAGAAATCGAGTCCGCCATTGCCTGCGCTCCCGCTCGAAGCTATAGAGCAAGTAATAGATGTGACAACCGAACCTGAACAAATGTCCGAGACGGCAGTCATCTCCCTCAACCAGAGTCAGCCCGATCTGACGAGACGACCTCAAGCAGTTTCGCCTGTCAAGTCGGTGGATACTGTGGACTCAGGTTCGTCTTACGAGAGTTACGTACATGCGGAACGCCCCAGCACCCCAATCACGGACACAACGGTCTCTCCCGGAAGGCATTCTCGCAAACCGTCCATCACCCTTCCTTTCACTCCAAAGGGGCCCAAGGGATCGAACGGTACACGCTCTGGCGCTGAGCGTTCCCCTTCCCTCTCATCACAATTCAGCCGTATTGCGGGCAGCGCTCGCCACAGGCCTCCAGATCTTCCACTGCGTTCACCTTGGAGCAGTTCGAAACCCAATTTGGTCCAGAAGGCTAAAGCTATCGCGGCATGGCCTGCCGCAATGCGATTCGACGATGTGATTAGGATGAAGACCCCACTAGAGCGCGCTAATGGTTATGCACGGAAAATTAATGAGCTTGCTCAAGTCGAGAGTGGCCTGACAAATTGGATTATTGCAATCAAGAACGGAGGTCAGTGGTTTAACATGGGCTGCTTCTTCGTCTAAGCAAAAAGCAGCTTCCACACCAGACGGTTCATATAGACGAAAATCGCCTCTTAGTGGTAACAGCTTCACCGTTGGCGGAAGCAGGAAGGTCTCCGCAGGCTCTCACGTCTCCGATGCTAGCTTCCCCACCCGGCCAGATGCGACTATTGCTACAGAAATCTCGTCCGTGGAAAACGACTCACCGCCTCGCATCATACCCACCAACTTGCCCTACCCATCATTAGCACAGGGCATTGGCCAACGTTCCCAGTCTGTGCGAAGTTACACTCCCGCGTTATCGATCAATACGACGCCTTCACGATCGCCTCCTTCTGGTCCCCTGAGCGGCAAGAAGGGCACCGGGTTCTTCTCTTCCATTGGCAGGAAAGGGAGTCAACGCAGGGACCGTCATCTTCCTTTGCCCAACTCAAACCCACTCTCTAGGCAGGGAACGATGCCTCTTAGTGTAGGAGTTGGCTCGGGTTCGGAATCGCCTACTAGGTTGGTGCGGTCCACTGCAGTTCCCAGCGTACCAGGTGGACCGAGAGAGCCTCCAGGCCGTTTGCATAAGGCAAACCCCGTGTCCCGACGTTCCTCCCTCGACTCCCCACCTATGGTCCCTTCGGCACCATTACCTGCTGGCTCTTTGGATAAACGCCGCTCCGTTGGACATTCTAGTGTGGGACAATATGGTAGACCTCTTGAAGCTCCGCGTGGAGCGCGCACGTATGGATCACTAGACCAAACTAGCCCGCGCTTTTCCGCGAGCCTCCAGAACATGGCAGATATTTTGCCGCAGGCAAATCGAACTATGCTTGCTCGGTATCTTACAGAAGCGAATGGCGAAGAGATGTTAGCCATTACGCGTTATATTGAAGATGAAAAGAGGGGCAGCGTTCCCTACTGACGAATCATTACGTGTTGATTATGCATTAAACGTATCACTGACGATATCCACATGCTTGTATTCCATACCCCCACCGATTGCGCACATGAGAATAGTATGGATTTTTCTTTTCTTTGGTGTATGTATGTAATCGCAAATAGCCTTCCCAACTGGTTCACAAAGGCAAGTTTCTTAAGAGCGGGCTATCACGAACGGGGGTATCACTGATACGCAGGTATAACCTATTGATGAGGGTATCGCGAATGGTCAGCTGTTTACAGTCAGTTAGCCTGGGAAGGCAGTCTGGTAAACGTTCGTTCGACGGTGTGAAGTTCGCACTGTTGACAAGGTTATCCTGGGAGATCCGCGCGAAGCGGCGACACGCCCCTAATCTCATATCGCGGCGCTACGTACCTGGAGCTGGGAAGGGCATAGCTTGTACAGGGCCAGACTGAGGATTGGCAATCCGAGATCCAGAATCTCGATATGGCCTACTTCCATACCCTGTAGTGTACGCGTTGTGATGCATATGAGGGGAAGACATGTTAGGATGGTCCAAGCTGATGGGATGCTGAGGTTGAGTGGGGTCAGGGCGAGTTGCTCTTGGACGAGAGGATTGTATCGTATTTTGCATATCGGGTGGAACGGTCTGACGGCGACGCGAAGGAGTGGAGAGAATCTGGGCTGATAAGAATGAGAATAAGGGGGACGTGGAGAAGGACCTACTCCAGTCGTGCTGCCAAATATAGGCTGCTGGGAGAGACTGTGGAGTCCACCAGGGGCTTGGTTCATCGACATGTTGGCACCTTCACCTCCCGTCGTGAGGGAAGGATTATGGGGAAGAAGCGTTTTACGCTTGTACTTGTCCAGCTGGCTCTAAGCAGTATACGTTAAACCTTTAATGATCAATACATCCAGCATAGGAAGGGCACGGACCTTCAGCTTCTGGTAGTCTTTGTCCCGCTCGCGAGAGACCTCCTGTAGGTCAAAGACACGGCGTCGTTCCATGTCTAGTTCACGTCCAAGGCCTGGAATTTGGCTTAGAACATAAATATATGCGCTCATATCTTAGCGTACCGGAGACCTTATCCTGCATTAGACCGATCTGGCCATTAGCTATGATTATATCATGAGTTGTCGTACAAAAAGCACAGAAGTCGTGCACAAACCTTCCCTGATGACGTTGTCAAGATGTTTCTGCATTTGAGCCAAGCTTTCATTGGCATTTTTGAACATCGCTTGTTGGTATGAGTTTTCCTGGGATACCTGATAGTTCCAGAAAGAGATCGCCCTGAGTAATGTCAGGTCGCTTGAACGCGAGCCATTGGGCACCGACTGACCTTCCGCATATTTCTGATGATGAACCATCCCAGCGTTCAAAACAAGTCGTCCGTTATCATAACCAGGACATACCAAGGATGGTGACTGGTGTGAGACCTGCCAACACGGTCTGATACATGGGTTCAGAGAAACAAAGAGCACACGCCGATTGGGGACTTGCCGTCTTGTAATCATTGTTGGGACGCAACGAGCACATCTAAAACCTGTGAAACAGGCTGCGGGGAGATATGCACCACTTTCGACGTACAACTATATCGTCTCTGCACAATAATCTTCAGTGGGAATTGGTAGCTGCATTGGGGACACGCGCACGGCTCGGTGAGGGAGGTTTCGCAAGCAGGACACATCTGACTCGCACGAAAAAGTTCGTTGGCACATGAGACTGCATCCCTTTCTAGCATCACATAAACAATATTTGAATACATTGAACTTGCCGCAAAATATATCTGTCAGACTGTCAGTACAGAGGGCGTGGAACACGACAACGTTGGTCGCGAGGTGTGTAATTGCAACGTACGGGAACAAGTCGTCACGATAGCCTTGGCTTCGGCATCACAAGGCAAGGGCTTTCGGCACTTGAAAGAATTGCATTTGAAGTCGGTATCCATTTGTGGGAATAAGCAATACCAAGAAAAAGGGGCAAGATGAGCATATAAACAACCACTGGGAGCAGACGAAGGACGCAAGAATCAGCTTGGAGCGCGCTCTCGGCGCCAGTGTGCGCACGTGACTGATTTCTTTCTCCTTCAGGGTTCAGACGTTGGCGACTCGTGTCGATTTTCTTCTGACTGCCACCATGTCTAGGCGGCGGAATCTCCAAGCGGCAACTGAACAACCACCATCCCCGGATTCCTTTGCTCCGAATCAAGTGATTTGCTTGGTTGGACAAAGCAAGGGATCGAATGTCTTTGAAGTCACAGACGTGACTGGTCAAACATTACTTGTCGAGCTTCCATCCAAATTCCGAAAAAGTGTATGGATAAGGAGAGGTGGGACAATCAACTTGATCATATCTTTTCTGCAACTTACGTATATTATAGGCAGCTACGTGATAGTTGCAAGGACCGAAGAGTTGTCCGGCACCAAGCTTCAGGGTGTGATTGAGTTCGTTATCACCGCAGACCTACTTAAAGAATGGAAGCGCAAAGGGTTGTGGTTAGTCGAGCCTCAATTCACGAAGACTGAGTCTACTAAAAATCCGTCTGAGGCCTGAGGATCTTGATCGAACAGACGCGGATGAGGACCAGGAAGCAAAATCAAACGTTGTGACTATCTCGGAGCCTGAGCATGCCGAGGAGTTGAAAGGCAAGTGAATCAATTTCGTCCCCGCACACGGTTTAATTGAGACAGAGATGTTGCATATGCAGAAACTACATGACGAACATATTGCATTCAACATGGTTTCATGAACGGAGCATGACCACATTGCAAACAGGACAACACACCGCACGCACCCGATCTGCGGTGCCACGGTACCGAACTTGATGTCGGCCAATGCCGACGCAGTATTAGTACGATCATACAAGTATGGCATAGCGGAATGAATGCAAGAGCAAATTGTTGTTTGGCGCAATACTTGCAGGATCACGTATCAGGCGCGTTCAAACGGCAGATCAGGGAACATCTCCGCTGTTGCACGAAGCGCGACGTAGATGTCATGTCTCTACAGAACAATCAATACCGGCAAACTCTCCCTTCAGAATGGACTTACCCTCATAATCCTGGAAAATGTTTGCTTGTACGCTTCAACAATGTCCTGGATCCTCTCGTCCGCGAATGAGACTGCTTTTCGATTGGTAGTGACGTTGACCAGTACTTCCGTGAAGAGAGGAAAACGTGATTCTGCAGGTAGCCCCCAGAACTGCTGCACGGCCTGTTCTTGCTCACCCCCCAACCATTAGTTTCTTTTTCCCTCTCCAAGGCGCCCACGTACGAGAAATGCAGAGAAGATATCCTCGAGCGAACCAATTCATGGCATCGACATGAATGAGGTTCTGCCTCCAGTTGGTTACGAAGTCCTGGCGGCTGTTTTCCCAAACTCTTCCGGGCGCGGGAAGGAGCTCTGAAGCACGTCTCGCACGGTCGAGTAGCTTCTGAATCGTTCTTGCGCGCCTGACGCAGCCCTGGGCGCCAGCATACCTGCGCTGTCACCACGTGTTTCTCGTGAGGACAGCGGGTACCCACGTGTCACAACGACTCACCTCTCGTAGGCTGACAGGAGAGTCTGGATCATCACAGACACTGTCAGTCATGAAATCAGACGGGGCAATGGCACCAGAAACGTCGGCGATATGGCGAGACATGTGGAGAACGCCGAAAAAGTGGACCAACTTGCACAACCAGTGGGGGCCAGGGTGTACTGAGCTCGACGCTGGTGTATATTTATTCAATGCTGGACAGGGGTCATACTCATCACTCGCAGGAGATTGTAAGGTCTCAAGCCCTCGCTAGAGCTAATAGGCGCGCGTGGCGTGTTCCGGTGATCGTGATGCATCAGCTTCTGCGCGCGGACATAGGCATGTGCCTCGAGGCTGGCTCCCTTACGCAGGAGGGAAACACGCATTCCCAGCGCGAGGGTGAACCCGCGGGTTGTAGGTTGCTAAGTGATGTACCAGTAAAATGGGGCCTCTGCGTCGGACTTGGAGACCGGCAGGTAGCGGAAATTCGAAAATAGGCGAAGTGGTGCATTCGCTTGAAGCTGCCAGATCGCCGAGGGAGACGATCTCACAGATAGGTGGGCCTTAGAGCGCATAGGAGGAAGGATATGCCATTGTCAAGTAATATGCCTGAACTAGCTGTCAACACTGTTATGACATACAGAAGGAGGGCCGCGGCCCACGCCTAAATATGGCACAACCCCGCAAATTAGACCACGCGCATAGCTTCCCGAAGCTCCCCGACCAGAGTTTCCCATATCGAAGTCATTGTGAGTACGTCTGAGTCATTAGAGCATGTACCGTTGGATGTACGAAGCCAAAGGACCAGAGGCAAAAATTAAAGCAGTTTCCCATGATAACCAATGATTGGAGTGAGGAGGCTAGCGGTATTGTTGAATGAGAAAAGCGAGGAGGATAGCGAGGAGTATGATGAGGACTACGGTTGTTGTTGGGAATGCTAATGCCACGTCAGTATATGCGTCACGTGGACAACGGACGTGAACCTCACTTGATGACGGTCTACCGGAGGGAACATGTACCAGCCGGAGAGAGTTGTCTGCACTGCCGGAGACGAGTAGTCTAGCATCAGGACTGAACTTAAGTGCAGTAGGGGGGAACTCGTGTGCTTTCAATATCTGCAGCAGGGGCTGGTCTGATGTCAATAAATGGGCCGCAGGAGCCCAAAATAAGACAGACCGAGAGTGTCTTTGCATCCAGTACCCCAATCTTCAAATCGGACGAACCCCAAGCAAGCAGGTTTCCATCTGCGCTCACATCGAACACCGTCACAGGCCTGTTGTCCACTCGGTGGGAGCGTGTTACACTCCAAGTATTCATATCCCACCGACAGATATAAGAGCTCGTGGGTTCCTTAGCACCGCGCGACTTGGAGCGTGCGCCGCCGGAGGGGTTGAGTACAGTGAAGAGGCGATCTGGTTGAGAGGGCGAGAACCGGGCGGCACGGAAGACGACTTTGTCCGGCTTGGTCCTCGATAGTGTTGGCCGTTCTATGCGTTTTGTGAGTTCCAGTTTTGCTTTCCCCTTCTCTTTTTCATTCCTCGGTAATGGGTAAAGTTCCAAATGTGATGATGCCGTGAGCAAAACCTGGGCACCTGTCAGCAATGACACTCCGCCCTGCGGGGACTACAGTGAACGTACATGTTGCTCAGAGATGGACACGTCATATAACTCCCCGTCCTGCACCTTGAGCAACTCGCATACGTCCTCTAGCCCGGGATAGGTCAGCACGGCGACGGTGTTATCCGTGCTGCCTACAGCAACCATTTTCCTATCCGGACTGAAGGTCGTCACTTTCTTTGCTCGGAGTCAGCATCGGACCTGGCTGTTCAAGGCAGACGTACCTGGTAGATCTCCGAATCGTTCCCCGTGATCGTTCCCCTCGCTCGATCATACTTGACCTCATCTCCCTCCGTATCATATACCCGGCAGTTCTCATTCCCCCCTTCCAGAATGCGGGCAGCAGCACTGTTGATCCCGCAGACGATATGTGGGTCTCCCGCAAGAGGAGCAGAGATCGTCATAGGGACATCTTCCCCTGTCTCAAGCTCTAGTTCGGAGAGCTGTTTGAGCCCTAGATTGGCGCTATCGACTTCGTATAGTCTCTAGGATCAAAAGTCAATACCATGAGCAGGCACCAAAAGACGAGCAAACAAAGAACATACGAGCTTGTTCTTGATCCCACTCCTGCTTGCTCCGCCCCCACCGCCCACCACAAGTCTTGAATCGCTGACGAACGCAAGGGAGTAGACAGGAAACGCCTGCAGAGGGTGCAGCGTATGCTCCGTGCGTGTCATCCTGCCACGGATTGACTCGCAGCCCTCAAGTCGGACTTAGCACGACGGTGAGTGTTGCCAAGCGCTCGTCACTCGGTCAGCAACGAAGGACGTTGAACACGAATATGGTGGGCATGAGCTGCCAGCTCTAATATCAGGGATGCCTTCACTTGCTCCCGTCTCCTGGTCCCCTGTCCCAGAGCGCCCAATGCCTTCCGTTCCTCTCTCTCTTACCACCACACTGCACTAGTCGTGTTGGCTGTCCTCAAATCGACCTCATTAAAACAGACCCCTGTCCGTGCTACTGTGTGCCAGAATCAAATCTCCACGTTTTCGAACGCTGTATACTCTGTCTGCTCCCACCGTGTCTGTCTCACAGTTGCTGCTCCCTGCAGGGCTTACTTTCCTTCGCCGCATTCCTCAGTAACCCGGCCATTGGTGCGGGCACTGGATCTAGTCTGATCGAGTCGCTTAATTAATGCATTATGGAATTTTTGGATCCCAAATCCCCCAACGGACCATCCCTACGCACGAACCACTGTCGACCCAGACTCGATCGATCTTCAACCCCACGTCGGCCTTTCGACCTTGTTCCTCCTGCCCGGCCTGTCACATCCCTCCTTCGAAAGCCTGTTCCATATCTTTCGCTGTCCGACTATAGGCCCCCTCCCCTTGACCAATCCCGGCTCACCCACTCACCGTATCACACTCATACTGAGGTCTCGCCCCAGCGGAGCGCATCTGCTCAAGTTCCCTTGGCCGATCCTGCCCTATATAGTCAACATCACACTATTTTGTCTCCTCGTGGGCATATGCAACCCCCTTCACACATAAGTATGCTTCTGTTCCTCCCAAGTACGCATATATGGTACTCATCAAAACTCAGAGCTGCCTCCGTCGTCTGAGACCGACCCTTCTTTCCGGACTCCATCCCCGCAAAACAGCATTTGTACGTCCCTTTGCGGTCCCATCCAACTCGAACAAGTATATTCCATCTGTCGTATTTTGCGTAACGGGATACTTACATTTCTCCATTCACCAGAGCCGTCTTCACCTTATCTCCCCGCACGCCTGTCTTCCCCAATCGGAGAAGTCGCGAAATGCCTTCTCCCATCATCGTCAGCTCACGCAATCTACCTCGCCGCATGCCCGTCCCTCCCCACCATACGATCCATACCTTTCTCCTGATCAGCAATGGTCTACCCCGCATACCCCCCCAACACTGGGTGTCGAACACAGACACCTTTCCGATTCTCCAAAGAAACATAACATGGTAGCCTCCTTCCAGGAACACCATACCTCCCCATCCGTACGTTATACCCCTCCCGGTCCATCCCGTCCCACTCTCTATGGTAGTCCACCACATCCACGTCTTCCGGATATCACCGCCTCAATCCCTGCCAACTCCTCGAACCCGGTTGACTTAATTCCATCTCATTCAACTCCCTGCTCTAGCACAGACGTCCCCAATCCCCCCTCCGCCAATGATCAACCAGTCCTATCCCCGTCCGAATCCGCCATCCATGACGGAAGTACCCCCACGGCCAGCGACCTGGAGTCTCAATTGTGTCGTGGTATTACTGACGCGTTAGACTGTGCCTTCCACTCACTCTCAGCTATAGAATGCGGTGAGTGCCCATTTTTCATCCTGTACAAGTCATCCCCACCTCACTCACATCCTCAGCCCAGCTTTTGTATGCCTCTCTTGATGCTGTACTGCAGCGTTATCATGTCGCTGTCAATGCCGACCACCTTCCCTCCGGCCAACGGATTCCTTCGCACGTGTCCGACGTGCTTGACCTCATATATCTCATTTGTCAGGGCAACCACGCCATCGTACAAGCAGCTTTCCAGCAAGCCGCGCACGAAGCGCTTGATCAGCTCACTGGACCCACCACAACTATTCCCCATCTCCTAGGCCAGCTCATCCCTGCCTTTGCCGATTGTTTTATCACCGCGATCCAAACTTCTGAATCGCCTTTCCTCCTGCCACCAACTCTCATTAATCACATTGCAGCGGCATTGCCTGGCAAGACACCACGCCCTCTGCCCACATCCCCATCACTTCTCCTCGCTTCATGCCCCACTGACGGTGCATCCGCACTGGTCCCAGCGGTGAGCTTCCCTCCCCCTCCAGCCCAGGTGGACCACACCTCCCAGCTAAATGCGTCCCCATCCCTCTCTCCGCACATTCCCCGGAATGTACCATTGTCCGCTACCCCACCGCACCCAACCTCGGTAAGAGGTACGGCGATACCTTCTGAGTCTAAAGTCAGAGACTTTAGTTTCCACTATACTCCCGACCTCACCGCTTCCGATTCCACCAAGACCACGCCTTCATCACTTCCTCCTTCCGGAGGCCCCCTCACTTCCCCTCCTCCTGGTACCCCCCTTCTTCTTCATGACGTCCAACCTACTCCTTGGCTCTCGCAGTTTAGCACAAAGGCCTACTACAATGAAGAGCTAAAGTCCCTCCACGGTCGAACCATCGTCCTTTGGGGCACTGGAACATATCCCAAAGAACTTGCGGCTGAGTTCCCCCCCGATCCCTGTGCGGAAGGCCGTAAAGACTGGCCCGATCGACCTACAGTTCGACTCAATCGGGATACACATGCTTTCTTCTGAGACATGATCTCAAACGTTGGATGGGTGCGCTAATTCATGCCTGGTCTCTATTCCCATGAAAGCTGATCCATCCAAGCACTTTCGCCTCTAGCTGGCCATGTTCTCTAGCGCGAGCTGCCCGCCGCCCTTCATCAAAAAAAATGCAAGATTATCGGTTTCAACAGATTTCTGCCTTTGATTGGCCGCAACATTCATCCGTACCATTCATCCAGCGCGCAGATCTGGATCATGGTTCGCGACATATGGGAGCAACGCATGTTAATTATCTCCCTGCCCGAAGGTCTGTCATAGTGCCTTCGCTTTACCGCTTGTTCACTCACATTCTCCCAGCACAGTCCCAGGACCCGGACCCTGTGGTTCTGGAGTACGCCGAGGGTGACCCGGTCCTTCGAATCTCCCACATTCCCCTCCTTATACCTGATTACGTCAATCCTGCTCGCGTGTCTGTACAGATCTGGAATGCCAACCAGGCTGTGCCTGACTGGAATTCCTTTCATCAACAGTCGTTGCTCCCGAAGAAACTGAGGAAAACAAGGGCCAAGGCTCGCACTCCCGACCCTGCGTCTCTGTCAACAGATGACCCCCCCAAAGCCGATTTATCTCAGTCTTTCCTCACTCCCGTCCCCTCGCATTCTCCCCATGTGGTCTTACCACTACCCTTACCAAAGCCTTCGCCTTCCACGTTCGTCGAGCATGCCTCTGACGACCAAACTTACACATCTTGTGGCCCCGAAAATGCAGCCCTCTCCCCAGGCGCCTCTAATGATATCCATCCCATGTCTCGATTTCCTCCGACCTCCCAGTCGCGGATGCTCATACCAGCCTCGTCGCCCTCTTCATCCCTCGAAATAACTGCCGGTTCAGTCGTTGATCCTGTCTGCCTGGTGCCTTCAGAATACAACTCCGTCCTGTCCCAATGCGCTCAGGTGCCTAGTACCCCACTTGAGGAACAAACCCCAGGCCCGCCCTCGTCTTCCCCTTCTATGCAAAGTCCCCCCGTCCCCACTGCTGCTCCTCTGATCGTCTCACCTCCGCATGACCTGCCTCTCCTCCCGTCGTCTACGACTGATCGATTCCCTGCAGCCCCTTGTTCTCCCTCAACCCGTGCTCCACCAAAAATACCCTCAGGGGATCCCACACCTCCGCCGCAGGAGTCCCTCGCAATCCACACATCCCAGCGATTCCTGCGGTTGTCCAGCCCCCGTCCCGTACATGGCCTCCCCCCGTCAACCCCTCCCCGCCCTGTGACTAGAGCCATCACGGCGGCTGCTCACTCGTCCCTTAACACCGATTCCAACCATAGCCCCGCTCCGGAAAGAGCTTCGCGCGTTTCCGGCAAATCGTGCCCGCCCACCCCAAGCAAGGCCAGCAAGACCAAACCTGCCAACAACTCCGGCAAACCCAGCAAGTCCAAGCACAGCAAGTCCAAGCACAGCAAGTCCAAGCACAGCAAGTCCAAGCCCGGCAAGTCCAAGCACAGCAAGTCTAAGCCCGACAACAATGACAAGTCCACCCACTCCATCGAGGACACCAGCTCGATATCCACGTCCGATCCCACCGAATTACCACCCATCGCCTCTCCTCCTGTCCAATCATCGGGCCAATATTCGGTCGCCCAGGACTCGGCAACTACGTCCGACCGTAGCCCCTCTCTTCATGCGCCTCACGTGCGTAGTCGCTCTGGCTCCAACCCCATCCATCTTGTACCAGCCAAACGCCGTGTCTCGAATGAGCCTCTCACATCACTGGCTGCAGGTGGTGATCAATCTGGCCTTCAGCCCTCCAAACGGCAAAAAATTGGCCCGACTGGTTCTTTCGTTTTCTCTCTCGATCTCGACTCGAACCATGCTGTATTCGTCGAGTAGTTTTACGATCACATGCAGAGCTACTGGTTCGACGAACCTCTCCCTCCTAGTATTGGGAATATCGACGATGAACGCCTCGCCTTCGTAGACTGGGTGCATTCCCAGTCTGGCTTCGATACACCAGCTGACACCGACATGGCAATCTCTACCCTCTCTGAGGCCTATTCTGCGTACCGCAAATCTGTACTCTGATGGGTTTCGGGCTGGGGGGCTTGTGTCTCCCCGTCGTAAACGTCCGGACATGGCTGTAAATGCTCGCCCACCTCCCAAGGACCTGGGGCACATGGAACATCTCTGTATTCCTCAGTTAGAAACCCTGCCCCATTCCCGTATTCACTCATGTCTTTATTAGGCACAACATACTATGCTCCTAATTGATCGCTCCCGTATGGTCAATCTACCGATGGATGATTGGCAGATTTGGCGCCCTTACTTCGTCCCCGTTCGAGGAATCCGCTGGTTCACATGACTCACTCCGTGTGCTTGCAACCTCTCCTTTCCATCCGACCAAGCGCGTCCACATGTCTTCACCTCTGTACCGTCACCAAGATGCTTCCCATTTGGTGCAGTCAATCTAATTAGGCCCACTCTGCGGCCCACAGGTCCCTCCTAGCCGTACCGGGGTGTCCACAAGCCGCCCACGGCCGACCCTGGCCGAAACCAGCCGTACACATCAATCACGGAAACTTTCCCGTGTGTATTTCAATTTCGTGACTACGTTTGAACATGAGGGAAATGAATACGTCTTTACCCCTGAATATGCGAGTGCCCTGTGATCACTTGCCCACCTGGCATAGGATCGAATGTCATGCCGTCCTAAGTAGTTGATGTAAGGATAAATATTTATCTGGTTGTATATATAAGATTGCCACCAGTCGATCTAGGCTCTGTCCGATCCTTGTGCGTTCATCGTCCAGGGGTTGCCTTCCTAGTAATCCGGTCCGTTTCCGATTGTTTGCTGAGCGGTGCAGGAACGACGGGCGTCCTTCGGCGTTGGCTGATATCTGTCAGGTCCATGTACGTGACTGCCATTCAGAGATCTAACCCAAAAATAAGTCTGCCTTCCCATGCATTGCTAATCACGTCCTGCGCTAATGCCGCCCTTCCTGCTTGATCGGAGTCGTCCAGCTTGAGTGTCACGTAACGCGGGGTGGCTTGCAACGACAATAGTCCCCATCACACTTCCCATGACGGCGGGAAAGTAGTACCCGGCCTTCACGGTCCATCCGCTGCTGAGTCAGGTCGACCTCACTCAGTCGTACGTACCGAAGAGGCCGGTCCGCACCTGGCAATGCCAAGATACCGCCCCAAGTGATGCATGCGAACCGCCTCGATTATTCCCTCACTCTGTCTGTATGAGGTCAGAGGCATGTGAAGGACTGAATTCGGGGAAGGCCGCACAGGTACAGGTTCACATCGACATCGGAGACTGATAAAGCTTGACCCCCATCAACCTGCAAACACAGCGTCTCCAGGGACCGGTGCCGATTCACGATCAGCTCAAAATCGTTCCAGGATAGGCACGGGCAATCGACGACGCAAATGAATGCTAGTATACACATGCTTCGATGCTCGTGGATGCAAGACGCGCGTGGGCCCGTGTTCGGATGCGGACGGGCGTGGACGGGTCTCCGGAAATGTTTCTAACGAGTGCTTGATAAAGAAATGGCACTTGGTATTCATCCTGGTATCTCTGTGCCCCCGTTTAATGCTTTCATATATACGCAACTCGTCTTTCATTGGTTCAATATGACAGATCCACTTGGTACCCTGTGTGACGGTGACACCCACACCAGTGGATGGATCTCTTTCAGTTCCGCGCCCCATATGGGTAACCCCATTCATGCCAGTTTGTCGTGACCATCTCCGCTCCATTCCTCGCTGGGTCCAATTGTCCATAGGGAGGACTTATGAAGGCGCCATTGACCTGCCGTTCTTGCCAGGACATTGTCCGCATCCAACGCTGCAAGGTATTGTCGCACGAAACCACTGGAGGCAGGCAGATTAATTGCGGAAGACATGGTGTGCGTGGGCACGAGACTTGCCTATTCGCATCATGCATACCTTTGTGCAGTTTCAACTTATGGTGTATGCGTGCCCGCCCCCACCTGCACACCACATCTTCTTCAACCAGCTCCACAATAGCCTGTGCGACTTCCTCCTCAGTATGAACCGGCCGGCGGGCCGTCGCAATGCCTAGACACAACATGCATCGGAACAAGGATTGCTCATTACAAGCAGGGATTAGTCAGTGCCAGTATCAGAATATCAAGACACCCAGCAACACACTTCATATAAACACCGTGAATGTCACCTAAGTCCCAGACTATTTTCTTTCAGGTGAGTCCCTGCCTCAGCAAGGACACCAATACCTCATTTAGCCACACCTAGTTGGACTGCATTACTGAGGAGGGACCGAGTATCAGCCAGAGGGTGGGTTGGGTCACAGCCCACACTTACCCAGTTGTGATCCATATTGATTGCATCCAGTGGGATTTCGATTGAACGGATCTGGTATTGAGGTCATACTTGACCTCAGCAGCGACCAAGAATGAGTCGCCTTCCTTTAGGGGGGGGGAAAGTCCCCCCCCCCCTCCCCGCAAAGAACTGCCTCATTTCCCATGCATACACAGTCAAACAAATCACGCTTGCGGGACCGGAGATTGTTTGAATATTGTGCACGCGAGCTGGTGGAGTGCCCCGGGATGGGTGCCTCAATGTACCATGCTCGCCGAGCCTAAGACATTCGATGTCAAATGCAAATATAAACTGCGGGGGTGGACATCCAACGGGTACAAGTTTCATGACGGGGAGCTTCCGTCAGGGATTCCCATCTATGTTCGGAAATGACCATCCATCGGGCCGTGGTCAGCAAGGGTCTGTCCACTTTACCACACCGGAAGCATTGGGTCGTTGGCAGCACTGTGCGGAACCATATCCATACATTCTATCCAGTACACTACTGCGGGATCTGTCAGGGCACCAGCTCATTGCTTGGTCAAGAGACATGACTAAGCCTTTATGACA